TGCAGCTCCCTAGAAACTTTTCCTGTCCAGTTGAAACGTGTACAGCCGTTAAGTCCTGTACAGCCCTGTAGCTGCTAAATACGTTTTACAGCTCTTTAGACGCACCTGGGGCAGACAGTGAACGTAAATTCCAAGTACAAATTCCCAAATCATAGTCCTTTTTTCGAGCGTGGGGTCGTTTCCCGTTAAATCCATCCAATTTTAATCTTTTTTTACTTTTCTTAATAATAAAAGTTTTACAAGATCAGATTATTAGCCTAACGCCGTTTGTGGGCTGCACTTGTATCGAGGAACCTAGGTTGTCTGATATGATGTTTCCCAATAGACGAAAGATTCGCACCTGGTACTTGGCCGTACACAAATATAAACTTATGTTCTTTGTCCTGGAGGCTCCGCGAGGAGGCGTTTTAGTCTACTTGGCATGCAGAAGCAACAGTTACAATACTGGGAGACACCTGCAACAGGTTGTACCGACCCTGTGTCTGCACACCCGTATCCCCTTTTAAGAATTGTTACGTTAAGTTAATTGATGTCATCAACTTCTTTATTTTTATTAATAATATCATCAAGATACTGCGCGGCTATCATCAGATTCAACACAATCACAACTTCCCAATAATTCTTTCTCAAAGTTCTGGTTGTGCTCCATATTGCCAACAAGGGCAATGTCAGACAACTTAATGTATTTGTGTTTTTATATTTTTATCCAGTTTATGTATTAATTACTCAAAATTCAAGTTGTTAATTAATGAAATAATTATAGGAATAGAAATGAAGAAGGGGTTCTGATATAGCACATTACTTTCCGTACTAATATAAATTTTCTAAATTTCTTCTTTTATATATATACGTATATACATATATGTACGTATGGATATACGAGTATATTCTCTTTATATACATACCTATGTATTTATATACATATTTATATGAATGTACATGCGTATTGTATTATAGGTATGTATGTATAATACTCGTATGTAACACATTCGTAATGATACTAATAAAACCATGTTTGTAAAGTTATATATAAAATGCATGCATGTATGTAGTATATCTTTATTGCGGTATGTGCAAAACATTTGGAATAAGAGATTATTTAAAAAAAATTTGCTATTTGTAAATTTAATTGTCATTAAATACTTTCATACTAGTATTTATGGCACTAGAGCAAATATGTATATACATATATAATAAATGATATTTCCGTGTAATAAAACCAAATAAACTTGTTCCGGGTTCGATATACCTACTCGTATATTCGGTAAAATTTTTGAAATTGTAGTTTTAATACAATACCTTAGCATGACAAACTTATAAGATCGAATTCGCGTTTGCAGTTCTAACAGAGGTCTGCAATGGTAGTACATTTTTGTAGTTTGCTGCAAAAAGCATTCCGTTTTTGTTGGTAGAACTGCAAAAGATACGTTATTCTGTAAAAATACGTTATTGACACCAGAGTTTTTGTTGCCAATGCTGTTTTACAAGTTCTATTGCAGTGCAGTTTTAACTAATAAGATCTCTCCCAGTCAGATATGCAAACGAGAATTCAATTTTAGTTGATAGAAATGTTTTCAATAATATTAAAATAAACTTAAAGCAATATAATAATTTTTCTATTTTACAGAATTTATAAATTGTCTGGTTTGAACGCAGTAGTTTTATACCTTGTCAAAATACCGGTACTTCCAGTAGCTTTGTACCTTGTTATACCGGTATTTCCAAGAATCAAAAATTGAAAAGAAAAAGAGAGGAGGCGGGAGGGGACGTAGGACATATGTATGTATGTGAAAATTTACCTTTTTAATCCAAACTTTATCCTTTGAATGATATTGAAATTTTTTTTTTTGAAAAAGATGGTCAATTTGAAAATTCCGTTTCGGGATTATTCATTTTCGATTTTATAGTTCGGTAACCATATGTGTGTGTATCTATTTTAACTATTAAATAATATTGATAAAATTTTTGTTTTTCTTTACACAAATTAAATTATATATCTATCATTTTTGCTTACGTTTTATTATACTGTGTTTTCTTCTCTTTAATTTTCTTCTACTTATACGAGTACATATCTACATATAAATTTGTGTGTATAATTTCAGATGTGGTAAACTTGTATTGTGATTTCATTTCAAAAGTAAACTTTTCCAGTTTTCATAATTTTTCTCAAATGAAACAAAAGGAATACTCAATTAATGATATGTTTTAAACAAGATAGCTTATACATATAATGTAAAAAAATTTTCTCAAAAATTTTATATACATATTATATTTTCATATTTTCCTTGTTATACCCAAAATTTTTATTGGTTTACTAACGCTGAAAAAAAAATACGATAAAAGCAAGAACAATCTAAAATAAAAACTACAACGAGAATTGATGGAGTTGAGGCTGTTAGTTGTGGGTTATACCTATATGATTGAATGATTTTATATAATGTATATGATATTTACCACGCTGCTTTAGGAACCTGTTTATTTTTTCATATATTTAATGTATGTATACCTTTACCATATAAATAGGTGCTCAATTGTTAACAACAGAATAAATAACTTTTGGATTTAGATGGCGGTCATTAGAGCCAGTGTCTTGATTAAAATAATTTAAATAAGATTCTGACATTTACTTTAATAAAGCTTTTAAGAAAACTTTGGCAAACTGATTGAGTTAAGGTATTTCACACCGTTATTTTTTCTGTAATTCTTTAAACTGTTTCCTTATTTGCGTTAGAAATGGTATGGTAAGTTTATAACATAAGCTCCTATAGATATTAAAATGAAATGAAATAACTATAACAAAAATAGGTAGAAAAACTGTAAAATAAACGTTTTATTTTTGTTTTAATTTATTTATTTTTTGAGAAAACCAAAAGGAAAGAACAAGTATTTTGCATAAAACGAAACATAACAGTACCAAAGATATAAATGAAAGAAAAGGAAAGAAACTCAAGAGAGCGCACACAATTAATCGATGTTTTAATTAAACAAATAAAAAAATTTTTTTTCGGTTATGAACTACTCAACTTTTCAAAATCATCAACTATAATAAATTTATAACACAAGTTTACGTAAAAGTATATTTATTTTTTAAAATTTAATTTAATGTAAAATTGAAAAAAAAAATAAACGAAAATTTGAAAGTAGGAAAGAAAAAAAAATAAGAATTTTAATAAAAAATTTAAATTAAAAAAATTAAAAATTTTGAAACATACTTTTAGGAACTAAAAACGAGGTAGAACATTATAATTATTTTTATGGTGTTAATATTCTTATAGTATATCGTGCAAATAATACATATATATATATATGTATATGAATAAAAAAAATCATTATAAAATTGCAATTAAAGATTCGTTGTGCTAAGAAATTAATTAATTAATTAATTATCTCATTTATCCTATATATTAAAATATTTTAATCCGATTTATGTAATTACAATGATTATATATTTGAATTTTTGTTAAATTATATTGAATAATAAATAATATAAAAAGTCAAAATTACAAGAATTAAATTAAATTAATTAAGTATAAAAAATTATCATATATCAAAAAAAAATTTTTCATGATATATCCAAAAAAATTCTTAAAATTATACTGAAATATAATTAAATAAAAATTATCGTAAAAATATTAAATTAAAAAATATAGAAGAGAAAAAAGCTTATTTAATATGATTATATTTAATAAAATATTAAAAAATATAGAAAATGTCCAATCAAATTGTAATAAAATTTATTTACAAATATATTAATATTTTATTAAAAAAATGTATAAAATATCAAAATAATATTATTGTAGTTTTAAAAATTTTTAATATTAATTGTAATAAGAAAAAAATAATAAACAATAATTTTAAAATAGATAAAAATTATATTTTAATTATATTAACAAAAAAATATTATATTGAAAAATCAATAATAATAACACAGAAAAAACAACAAAACGAAATTAAAATAAAAAATAATATTAAATTTAAAAAAATTTTAAAAAATTTAAAAAAAAATTACATAATACAAAAACAAAATCAGACCACGGAAAAATATCAAAAAAATAAACTTCAAAATTTTGATAAATTACATTTACAGAAAGAAATACGAAATATTAAAAGAGAATTATTATTAATTATTATTAAAAATATTCGACTACAACTACTATTACCATTATTATTATTATTATTTTTAATAGTACTTCTTTTATTATTATTTATATTTCAATTAAATTATAATTTTATTATTGTTACAATTATAAAAATAATATGTATATTTATTATAATTAATTATAAATTATATATTTATTACGCATCAATTAATATTACAATAAAATTTTTTATTTATTCAATAATATATTATTATAATGCTCATAAAAAAATTAAAAAAGATTATAATATATATAAAATATATTATTGTAATTATATTAATAATTATAATAAAAATTATAAAAAAAAATATTATAATATTGATAAAAAATTTGCAAAATATCAGAAATTTCAATATAAAAATAAAACAAATAAAAAACAAAAAAATATTAATAACACAAATATTATTAAAATATATTATAAAAAAAATTACAACAAAATACATAATAATAATAAATTTATTTTTATATATTTTAATATTATATATATTTTTACAAAAAAATGCTACAATAACTGCCATATTATTATTATTATTATTATTGTTATTATTATTACTAGTATTATTATTACTATTATTATTTATAACAAAAAATATAAATTTAATTATAAATTACTACAAAACACATTACAATATATATATAATATTATTATGGAATATGATATTAAATATAAATACTATCATATTAATATTAATTTATTACATTTATAACGCTCAATTTATATATAATTCTAAAATATATAAATTAATTAAATATTTAAATTTTTATGAATTATTAAAACATTCTTATAAATATAATAATAATAATAATAATAATAATAATAATAATAATAATAATAATAATAATAATAATAATAATAATAATAATAACAATAATAATAATAATTATAAAAATAATAATAATAACAACAATATTACGAGTAACAATAATAATAATAATAATAATAATAATAATAATAACAATAATAATAATAATCATAATAATAATAATAATAATAATAATAATAATAATAATAATAATAATAATAATAATAATAATAATAATAATAATAATAATAATAATAATAATAATAATAATAATAATAATAATAATAATAATAATAATAATAATAATAATAATAATAATAATAATATTAGCAAAAACAATAATAATAGTAACAACAACAAAAACAATAACAAAAATAATATTAATAGTAATAATAATAATAATAATAATAATAAAAATAATATAAGTAATAGTAATAACAATAATAAAAATAACAACAACAATAATAAAAATAATATTAATAATAATAATAATAATAATAATAGCACAGATAATAATAATAGTGATTCTAATACAAAAATCGAAAATAAAAATATATTATATAATAATAGAAATAAGCGGTATAAAGTTCATTGCTTATATCAATTTACTTTTATGATAATAATATTTTTAAATTTTATAAATATTGTTAGTTGTGGTCATGGTTATAGGTAAGGGACTACGCCGTGATTTCAAAATTTCGGTATAATACGGTATATTCATAATAATAAAGTTCTTATAAATTGTAATTTGTGGAATAGTGTAACAACGCAGTTTTTATATATGTTGTTGCTACGATCCAGTTGTATTTTATAAAGCGTTAGAAGGTTTGAAGTGTAGCCTCTTTGAATCGCAAAATATTTGTTACGCTTCAAATAGTGAATTCTAAGTATACATATATAGTTCAAAATTACTATGAGCTAACAAACGTACAGTCAACTGAAATAGACCATCTTTCCTGAAAGCTGTTGGAGGGAGACTCCAAATAGCACTCTAGAGATCTTTTGTCCTGTATAAACTTTTACATTCTATGAAATACATTTTACATTTATTCTATAAAAATCATTAGACGCACATATACATTTATTGCAATATATACATGTATGTACATAGCAAATTCTAGATAGATTAATTTAGAAAAATTGATAGGAAAAAATAAGAAAAAGGAACATTCGAGAATTTAAATTTTATTTTGTGAGCCTCTTATGCATTTAGTTCTGCTTTCTTGCATTTTGTTGACAAAAATTTTATCTCGTTTTAATTGTTTTTTTATATTTTAGAAAGGAATTCAATATATAATATTAATATATAGAAAGTGTATACGAATATTGGAATAAAATGAATTGTTTTTATTTAGAGGGCTTCTTTTAAACGCAGGTATATGAGGGCAGAGAAGATTTAAAATGTAAAAATGACGACGACATAGAAACGGACAAAATAAGAAAAAGCAAAAAAATATGTAATTTTTTTAGATTTTATTCTTACATTTTCAACTTATTTCTATTTTATTTATATTTTAAAATCGTGATGTAGGCACACCTAATTTCATTTTTTATCTAATTATAATTTTTGTGTTTCACATTTATACGAAACATAATACTACCAGTGCATATAGCAAAATTTAATAAAAAAAAATATATTCTTATTTACATAAACAGTACAGTCTCTATATAACGAAGTCTCCATATAAGAATTACCCTTTTCTAGCCTTTCCTTGCAATTTGGCTTTAAAACTGCATTTAGTTAAATATTCCCCATATTACATAAATTTTTGACCCTTTTGCAAAATTTGCAAAAGGGTCAAATACTGCATTTATAAGCAATTCAGCAATTATAACTCATAAGTTGAATTAAATATTTAATGCCGTATTATACTGTAATTTTTTGAAGCTGAAGCATATTGTTTTTGTTTAACGTAAGAGAAAAATTTATTCTTTTCAGAAATAATACAGAAAGTGCTGAGCTTGTATCGAATTATGAGCAAAGTTTATCGTTACCAGATATTCTGCCAATACCATCTAAAACTTATGATAAAAATCGTGCACCAAAATTATTAGGGCAACCAACAGTTGTTTACTTTCATGTAACAGTTTTGTCACTAGATTCAATTAATGAAGAGTCTATGGTTTGTTAACTTTGTTTCTTTTTATTTAAGAAAATTTTTATGCAATTAGTCATAAATAAAATATTCTTGAAAATGTTCTAAATCAATATTAATTTATTTTTATATTTTTATGTAATAGACTTATGTTACTGATATATTTTTGGCTCAAAGTTGGAGGGATCCAAGATTACGTTTACCAGAAAATATGAGTGAAGAATATAGAATATTAGATGTTGATTGGTTACATAGTATATGGAGGCCAGATTGTTTTTTTAAAAATGCTAAAAAAGTTACATTTCATGAAATGAGCATACCAAATCACTACTTATGGCTATATCACGACAAAACTTTACTTTATATGTCAAAGTAAGTCCTTAAGTGTAGTATATTCTTGAATTATATATTGTACACACATGAGGTTTTGTGATGGTTTTAAAGAAGAAAATTGTTTAAGTGTGAAGAAATAAATTTTAAGTGAAATACCATTAAATGCTTTCAGAAGTAAATGCAATTAAATGCTTTATTTGAGAAATGATCGCATTTTGACTCCTTTATTTATTAAACCTCTAAATTGTTTTTTAATTTTTTACAATACAAATAATAATTATAAATTAATTATTGTAGGCTTACTTTAGTATTGTCATGTGCAATGAAATTCGAATCATATCCACATGATACTCAAATCTGTTCAATGATGATTGAAAGTTGTAAGTATTTATTCCATATTACAGTTATATTTTATTATTGTCGTTAAGAAAATCATAAATTTATGAATATATTTTTGTAATTATGAATTGCATTTTTGACGTTAAGAAATTATGGACATTGAAATACGCTATGATTCATAAAGTATTTATAAATTTGCTTTATATTTATAGTGAAATTTTCAGGATGTGCTATGAAATCAGTAAACTTTACTTAAACTTTACATACATACACTGTAGACAACCAGAAGGCAAATCCAATTTTTCTTACTCATTATGTACAATTTGTTTAATCTCTCTTCTTTATACCCGTACGAACGTATGTTCGAAAAGTATACTAAATTTGCCTTACCGTTTGTAACGCTAAGAAATAATGGTCTGAGATATAGACTCAAGTGTATGTTTTTTATCAGCGTCGAATTCTGAGTCTAATTAGCTTTGTTTGTCTGTCCGTCAGTCCGCCCGTCTCAACGATAACTCAAAAGCTAATTGAGCCAAGTTCATAAAATTTTCACAAATGGTTTACTATAGAAAATGCCAGAACCGTATTTAAATTGGATATGATCGGGATACTGATTCGAGTAGCTGCCATACAACACCAAAATTTATTTGGCTGTATCTTAGAAACTGTAAAAGCTGTGGTATTGAAATTTCGCACAAGTAAATATTTAAGTAGGGTCTATGTGTTTGATAAAAGTCGTTGAATTTGCTCTGCTCTTTCTGGTAGCAGGCATACAACTTCAATAGTAATTTGGCCATATCTTAGACACAGTACTGAAATTTTGCATAAATTAATATGATAATACGGCAACTTAAAGTCTTAGTCTATCCCTTACTCAGCTATGGCATATTTATTCGCACATAGGAAAACAAATTCGTACGGGTATCACAGAGTTGACGCGGTCAACTCTATTTTTTCTCGTTTTAATATTATTTTTAATTTTTTACTTAATTTTTTATTCTCCCCAATTTTTTTTGTTTTACGTCTATTATGTATTAAAATGTATTTTGATCATTCGCGGTTATTGTAGTAATTATAGTGTTTTTTTTTCAAATTAGAAAACATATTATTTACTTAGAAAATTAATTATATTATAGTTTTAATGAAATAATACTAATTATGTATTTTCTTTTTTTTAAGTATCACATACTGTTCAAGATCTTGTATTCATTTGGAATATGACAGATCCATTAGTGGTTAATTCCGAAATTGAACTGCCTCAGCTTGATATATCAAATAATTATACAACAGATTGTACTATTGAATATTCTACGGGTACGTATATATATACATATTTATGTATATTAGTAAGTGTTTAAATGAAGATATAAAAATATTTAATACAACAGTAGAAATTTTAACGTCTTTTAAAATTAAAAATTTCTTTAATTTCACAACTTATTCGAATTCAATTCATAATAATGCTATTAATGTTATAAATTATTTTTTTTATATTGTAGGAAATTTTACATGTTTAGCAATCGTATTTAATTTAAAACGTCGTCTTGGTTATCATTTATTTCATACATATATACCATCGGCATTAATTGTTGTTATGTCGTGGATATCATTTTGGATAAAACCAGAAGCTATACCGGCACGTGTGACATTAGGTGTAACATCATTATTAACATTAGCAACACAAAATACACAATCGCAACAATCTTTACCACCTGTTTCATATGTTAAAGCAATCGATGTATGGATGTCATCATGTTCTGTATTTGTATTTTTATCATTAATGGAATTTGCTGTTGTAAATAATTATATGGGACCAGTTGCAACAAAAGCAATGAAAGGTTATTCAGATGAAGATATTCATGAAGCAGATGATTTAAAAGTAAGTTTATTCTTTTATATGAAAAATTCCTTCCCCAAAGCCTTTGCCTTTTTAAGCAAATTAAAAAATTGGTATTTTATATATTATGTTCATCTTCCTTTTCATCTTCTTCTATTTATAGGGAACTGGTGTACATCGAGAATCAATTTTAGTGCCGCAATATGATACTTTCTGTCATGGAAGGGAGACAGCATTATATATTGATAAATTTTCAAGATTTTTCTTTCCTTTTTCATTTTTTATATTAAACATTGTGTATTGGTCAACTTTTCTATGATTTTGTTTTTCTGTTTACTTAATTTGGTTTTGTTTGTTTTTTCTTATTTTATTTATTTTATACAATATATAGGTACTTATTAACCTATATAATGAGAATAAATTTATTAATGTAAGAAAAAATCTAAAGAAAAATGTTTTCATAAATAAAGTATTGCATTTGCAGCTAGAAACTTCCTTTTTGGAGTGGTCTTGGCATTTGGTCTTTCGCTATTCCAGTTTTTAATTTAAAATTGTTGTTGATTTAAAGTTGACGAGCTAACTTCGAGTTAGCACTGCTTTCATATTTACGTTCAAACAATTTTGTATTATCAAGTCGAAGAAATAAGGATTTCTCTGAAAAAATATCTCAATGTAATAAAAAAGACGGAGTAATTATTTTCTTGTTTTATTTTTTGTAATTTTAGAATGAATAAATATAACCATATTGTCATTTTTTCTTTATGAAAAGTTCTATTTTTTATTACCAACATTTGAAATGTTATTCCTTACTGTAAAAGAAAAAATTTTATTTTTATTTTAATTCAAATTTATTTCCTTATTTTTTAAATAAAGCCGACTTTCATAGCAGTTTTCCATAAAACAATTATTCATTGGTTCCATATAATAAGGAATGGCATATTTAATATATTATATTTAATATAAAACAGTTGTCTTTTTGTTTAAATACTATAAATTATTTGATATAAAAATTATAATTATTTTTTATATACAAAATTTTCAACCGAAACAATAATTATGATTGAAATGTAATGATTTACAGACACAAAACGAAATTGAAGTTTTCTTGTTTATAATATAAATGCAAAATAGAGCAATATCACTGGAATATTTATAAAATGTTAATAGCCATTTAAGACTCTGCGCGTAGCAAGAAATTTTATTTCTCGTTACCCGTAGTTCAAGTAAGTTTTTAAATTGTAACCTAAATTTAAATATGTAGAACAAATTGCATTAATGTTAACAGCTAAATAAATTTAGAATTTCGTAATTTATGAATTTATTTTTAGTTGGATGCTCTTATATGATGTTTTCGATTAGGGCGGTTCTAACTAATCTTAAATTATTATGAAAAGATATAAATAAAATTATTCTACTTTACATTTGGTTAATTTATAATTTTTTTTCAAATTAATTCAAACTGTCTGAGTTATTCTACTTTACATTTGGTTAATTTATATTAGACTAAATTAGTTAAAGAGGAGCAATTATAGATTGTTTATATAATGTATAGCTAGTTAATAAGTAAATTATAAACATTATTAAATAATAGTTATAATAAATTAATATCAATATTTAATTTTATATTATTCGATCATTTACGTACGTGGATAAACTTAAATTCTGGATTAATTAAGAGTACGTTTCGTATAATAAATTCTTCTTAAAATAAGAAAAAAAGTAAAAAAAAAGAATAGAATATTGTAAATGACAAAATATTAAGAATATTATATGTTAAGTTGTTCACACAATTCAATTTGAATGGTGTTTACTTATTATTTTCTTTTTTAAGTGATAATGATCGAATTAAAATAAATTATGAAAGCAGTACTAGTAATTGTATTAAATATTGTAGTAATTGAAGTAAATAATTTTAACAACGAAAAAGAAAAGAAAGTTCATTGAATCAAATTCTATTATTATCTATTTTTAACCTGCAAAATGTGCTCGATATAATAATAATTACTCCTGAAGCTGTTCTGAGTATAATTTAAATTGAAATTTCAATTAATCGCAATCGTATCATAAATACGTATAAGGAATTAATTATTGCAATTTAAGTTATATTCTCTTTTCATTTTACAATATATATAAAATAAAAATAAATTTATTTTTATTTTATATATATTTTGGTTTTGAATAAAAGCATGAAAAATTAGGAAATATTATTATAAAATTTTAATAGTCAAATAACAAAGTTTTATTTATATAAATTAAAATATTCTTTAAAAAATTATTTCCATCAATAATTAAATACTCCTCCTCATTTTCTTTCGGAAATAAATAATGAAATTATTTTTTTGAAAAACTATTTACAATATTTTTTTTTCATTTACTAAAACTCTTAATTGTAACTTTGCCTTTTAAATATTATAAACATTATAATAACTTTTTTTTACTATACTTCCGTCACTTTATGAGTTACTACTGGTACTATCATCATGGTTTATTTTTGATCTATTATTTGACAAATTATTGTCATCATCATATTCCTCCTGTTCAGTTTTAATTTGCTTCAAACGACGTTTATTAGCCCATTCAACAATACAAAAGCATCCAGTTCCGATTATTGAAAATACTAATAATATTGATAATTGAGCATGTAATCCTAAATGTGATGAATAATAAAAACTTATTGCTGCAGCAACAGACTATAAATATAATTAAAAACAAGAAAGAAAGTTGAATTTAATAATAAAAATATTTAACTTAATATTTACCTGAGTAAATTTGAATAAAGCAAAAGCTTCAACTGATGATCTAACAAAAACACCACCCAGCATTGAATATATTTGTGTATTAAAACATGCATCACCAAAACCTAACATGAACGCTGCTACTAATGCTAACCATGCTAATGGTGGATTAATATAACCGACATTTTCTGTATTTGTAAATGGCGCATCATTTGGTAAATTCATAAATATTAAAAAAAATGATATTGCATGTATTATAAAACCCATTATAACAATTGGATCACGTCCATATTTTGTTGTTTTACTCCCAAGTAATCCAAATAATCCACCACCAATTACTTCACCAAGACCAATAAATATACCAGCTAAACCAACAATTTGTTTTGGTTTCTCTGCAATTTTTTCTGTAAAACCAATTGATGATCCATAAACACCGCTAAAAAATGATAGTTCCAATCCTAAAATAAGTTTTCAGTTTTCAAATAGAATTTGTTTTTTACGTTTTTATTAAAACAAAAATTACCAAATAAATATTTTTTTTTATTTTTTAGATATTAAAAAATTCTAATAATAGAAAAATTTATCACAAATTACCAGTATAAAAGAATGTCCAGCTTAACAAGATCATATCTTTAGTTAAAAATAATTTCCATGCAGATTTTAACGCATCAAATGCAATATCAATTGCATTTTTATTTTCTTGTAATTCTGAATTTGATGTTTGATTATCTGGTATTGGACGTAATGCAGCTAAAAATATTAAACCTAATACCGCAACAGCTATTAATACACCAATAACTAACGTCCTTGATTCATCACTTATATCTTTATCTTGAAATTGATAGTAAACAAATAAGTTACCAAAAAACATACTCATTTGTAACATTGCCCAAAATATACCAGAATTACGTGATATTGTTTTTGTATTACTGCATCTTGATAAAAATGTACCCTGACCGGTCCATGTTATTGATGCACCAGCCCCTAGTAAACCACTTGCTAAATATAATAACCATGTTTTAGGCCAGAGAAATGTTAATATAAATAAGCTTTATGAAAAAAAAAAACAAATTAATAAAAATCAATCAACAGTATATGTAAATAATGCAATAATATAAATAAATATATTTTAATATATTTTTTCTTACAAAATTTAAATATTAATGATTTCGACAAATGGCTAGTTCAATGCGACGATTACTTATTATAAAAAACAAAACTACTTGAAAAGAACGCACTTAATTTACAAAAAAAAATCTTAATTTAAATATACCAGTATGTTGTACCACCAATTAACATTGCACCTCTTGGGCCACTAAAAGACAAAAATGATGGTGCCAACCAATTGCATAGTGAAAATGCTGTATAAACAATTGCTAAACTTGTGTAACCGTCAGCTTCAAAACCTTCACTTTTAATGCTATCTAGTACAGTTTTCTGCAAAAATATACAAAAAATTACACTCAAGTATTAGTGTATTATAATTTCGCTCGTTGTTTAAAAGTACTACAGTAAAGATAGATTTGTTGTATTAAAAAGAAATTTATTTACTTAAAAAATTTGATAAACCTTAAAAATACGAGCACATCGGTCCACCTATAATGTATAATTCAACTTATACATATATGTATATGATTTGCTGAATAGTGCTTCAGAAATTGTTCGAAAATCTTCAACATTTAAAATACTTTTTGTATTGTTAAAAGAAGAAAAATAGAATTTTCAAGTAACAAATTTTAAATAATATATTTTTTTATTAAAGCAAAATAAGATTTGAAAAAGAAAACGTTTAAAGGTCAGATTATAATAATACCTAGGCGGTATGAAACTTATTCCTTACATACATACATATATGAATATCTATTGTATGTATAATATAAAATTTCATTAAATCAAACTTTAAATTAAAAAATTAAATTTCCCCACATAAAAACACAAAAAATATTTAAAGGAAGATTAACATTTGATATCTTATTAAAAAAAAATTTAGTCCGCATTATATTGTAGATTACATGAAGTCAATTTTGTTAGTGATTGCTTATTTTTTTATTGTTAAGAAAGCCTACGCCTATCTTTCTTTGAAACAATAATTCTTTATCAAACAAAAAAACTCGTAGATGTACTTGAAAAGTAAAACGATTTTTTGGTTAACATCAGTAATACCTTAAGAAAAAGGAGTAAAAAAATATTTTCAATAAAAATTTGTTGAAATGTGCTCAATATTTCTACCTTTTTTAATTATCTATTCTAGTCTTCATCTATTTTACTCTTTTAATCAGTCTATTTTGTTTTGATTCAAAAAACTTTAGTAATATTGAATAACTATATAGGATATTCAGTAACAAAAACTTATCAATTCAATTGCTCAATTCAAATACACTTTTTTACTGCAATTTTGAAAACAGGATTCTCACCTGCTCACATTATATATTACTTTTAAGCCGCTGGAGGGCGTAAAAGATAATATATGATGTGATATTTTAATGGAAAAATTATTGAGGTGAAGCTACAACCTCAATGAATTCTTAATCTCAATTTGACTTAAGGTTATAAGTCAATTTAGTATTTTCCTTTGCGTAATTTGGAGTTTTGTTTCTTTTTGTGTAAGTTCATATAAATAATTTAATTGGTAAAAAGGTGTGATATGGCAAAACACAATAATATTTCATTTAAAAATGTACTCTTTATGAAAGCGATAGAATTTATTCGTTTGTATTAATTTCTTTTATTATTATTATCAGTGAAATATCAAAGTAATCTCGAGTTATTGATCCATTATTTATATAACTTTCATTAATTTTTTGACTTAATAACATTTATATCATATATATGAATATCATATATAATATCAGTGAACTCAAAAAATATCATAATTATTATTTACATACTTAATTGATATACACAAATTGTTCCATATTAGGTATAACGGGTTACCAATTTGTTCATTTTTCTTTAGTTTTTAATTAATTTCACGTTTATAATGCTGCTCACTTACCGGTCCTGTGCTTTATATTTAATAACAATTTTACAAATAAAATAAAATATTGCGAAATTAAATTTATTATAATTACCTGTATATTACCCATAGTTTGAAATGATGTAAAAAGGAACATGAATCCGAATCCAAGAATCAAAATATTAGCAAATTTTTTATCCATTTTTTTTCTTTCTCTATTAATATTTTCCTTAATTATTTTTCAAAAATTTATTTTAATTTTATGTTTTTATTACAATTGGAATTACGTTTAAATTTGATTAAAAATTTGTATTTTTGTTTTACTTATTGTTAAGAACATTCACAGTTCATTTTATAATAAAAAATTTTGTAAACAAACAAAAACAACAAAAAAGGAAAAAGTTATCACAAAATTGTCAAATTTAAATTATACGGCATTTCTTTTTATATTTTTTTGTAAAATTTTTAATAGAAATAAAATTTAAAATAGTCTTTTTTTTTAATTGATTTTTTTTATTATTGTGTTTGTAATTTGTACTTAAAAAAAGTATTAAAAAGCATAACAAAATGACAATACACTTCTTGTTACTTCATTCGGCAAGCTCGTTCACTTAACTGTAAATATGAAGCAGAAAAATATATAATTTATATGTGTGTAAGTAAAACTTTAATCAAATCTTTTTTTTACTTTTATTTCTGTTTTTTGTTTTTTCAATTGAAATGCAAGTTAGCATTGTTATTTTATTATTTTTTTCATTTATTGTGATAACATACAAAAAAAAATTTGGACCAAACCAATGGTTTGTAAAGTAGCACATTTTTATAAAAAATCTTCTACTTAAAAGGCTTTATTTAATCCTCCTCATAAGGAAATTAAATGATAATAACTTATTACTCTAGACCAGTGGTCGCAATAAGATTTTATATATCGTGCCAAAAAAGATGTGTTTTTTCAAACCAATATTTCGGCGTGCAGAATCTATTCCATAAAATTAAGTAGTATTGAAAATCAGAATACTTATATTCGTTTTTATATTATTTTTTTTATTAATTTAATTTATTATTTTATTTTTATTTATATTTAAACATAAATTTATATAAAAAAAATTTAAATATATTCAATCAATAAAAATAAAAACAAAAATATCAGATATATTTTTCAATATCAACTTATCACGCGTGCCAGCAAAGTTTCGAAGCGTGCCAATCTTGGCACGCGTGCCACGTAATTGCGATCATTGCTCTAGACTAAATGTATTACTGATGTACTGGAAGATCAAGGCTTTTTTACTCCATTTTAAAAAATCGTTTACAACTAATTCATAATTATAGTTTTTATGGTTAAGCAATAATTTAGAAAATTATTAAAAATGAAATTTGCTACTTTATAAACCTATTTTTTTTTTTCAATTCGAAATATCTAATATAATTTTCATATCAAATGTGCATAATATTATTTCTGTTAATAATATTGGGTGGGGGTTTTACCCCGTTGCATTCCAACCTGTCCGCCTCCACCATTTTCCATCTTCCATTCCATGAGAAATTTACAACTACTAGAAATTTATTGTTTGGCATTATCAAAGAAAAATAATCAGGTATAGAAATATAATATAATATATAGATTAGAAAATTATATAAAAAGGTAAAGTGATCTATCAGATGAAGAAAAGAAAAAAAAATACACAAATTAAATAAAGCTATATACGTATACACATATGTATAATTAAAATCTGATTTATTTGTTAAAGCGCTTAAGTTTTACTGTATGGTGGGATGTACGCATGGTACACACAGCAACACTGAAAGCAATATTAAGTGATTCTTTTGTCCATTTGATCTCTATGTACATACGTATATACATACATATAGGTTGTGTATATTGACATGTTTATACATATCTGTGGAAAGAAGGGAAAACCGCCTAATTTTGAATTAGAATATTTGCGTTAATTGTGAGTTAGAACTGAATTTTCAATTATAAGTTAAGATAGATAATATGTTCGATATAGAATCATACGTAACACTTTTTTTAAAAATAATATTGTTGTGAATTAAATAACAGTACATTCGAGTATATATGTATATTTTTGAAGGAAAGTAGATATATGTTTGTATATAATTATGAGCTAAAAATGTATTTAACATTAATGTAACTCAATAACTTCAGTATAATTAAATTATTTTTATTTAGTTTAAATATGAAATTAGTTTGTGTATAATTTAAAAGCTTTCCACGATATGGGGTATAGACTATACATAATTACTTTTTTTGTTTTTCTTTTATTTTATTATATCCTAAAATATTTTTATAAGTTAATAAGATTTGTTTATAGGTATTTTCACTTTTATTTTACTTAAAATTTATTATAGTTTTGAAATTAAAATTAAATATACTAAAATATACACACATTTGCATGAAAATACAAAAAAAAAGGAAACTGGAACTCAAAATTTATTGAGTTAACTAATTAAATAACTAACAAACTAAGTAAGTAAACTAAGAAAAATAGCCAGCTAAGCTAATATTTTTTTTACTTTCTAGTTTATACAATACCAATTTCTATTATTATTATTATCTTTATTATTATTCGTATATACATATATTTACTATATTGGTCAATATATTCAAACATTATTATTATATAAGTTAGTTAGGTATAAATAACCAACACTAAAGCAAAGAAATGACAAAAAAAGTACTAGTAAAATTTTCACCATTCAAAAAAGTATAAAATACGTTTATGTCTACATATTACCAAAGTATGAATATGTATAAATGTAAACACAGTTGCACGCTTATAATATTGCACATTTTAAAAAAATAAAATCGCATTCTTATATCAAACAAATGGCGAATTAAGGTATTGATAACAAACAAGGGTTCTTGTAAAAAAAAACTATCCAAATTATCAAAACAATTCTAAAGAAAAAACTCATCTGCCGAAAAAAAGACGACCTTGACTCTCCCTATCCAAACGGAATTTTTTATTTAAATCAATTAATATTAGATTTTGTATTTCTTAACGAAGTCCTTTTAAATCAGCACCATCATTCTTATCCATCAAAGCTAAGACAACAAGAAACATTAACTTAATTCATGACTTTAGAAATGCAGTTGTAGTGTATCGCTAAATAATTGATTCAGGTTCACAAAAAATAATCTGATTTAAGTATTAATTTCCGTATTACTACAATTTTGAAGCCAATGAATTTTTATGACTAACTGTATATTACTAAAACTTTTATTTTATTTTGTTTTTTCTTTTATTATTTAATGGCGTTATAAAAAAGATCAAAAACAACAATTTTGCACATCTTTTGTCTCTCAAATAACAACAGTTGAGAGAATTTTGTTTTGTGTTTCGATCTTACGTTATGTCTACTTAAATCTTATATTTTTCTATTACTTTATGATCTTTAATATATTAATGTGCTTTGAAAAATAATTACTTAATATAAAAAACCATGAAGATAAAGTGCAGCATAGTGATTTAAAAATTATAAAATATTTTTAATGTATGTGTAAAAAAACATTTTGAATTCAGGATAATTCAGGATACCTTTTTGTTTCACAATTTAGTAATCACATCCCATCAGTTGAAATGCAAATTAATAATTGCATTACTACAATTTTAAAATTCAGCAATTTAATAGGTTTTTAATAGAAAAATTTTTAGTTTTCAACTAATTTTTTTTTGTTTTATTTGTGAATAAAAAAGTATTGAAGGGGATTGAAATTTAATGAAAAGAAATAAAACCGAAAAAGATCATTGATCAATGAATTAAAAAAAAGAAAATTCATCGCACCTAAGGGAAAAGATATTGCATATCCAAAAGCACTATGCCATCACTGTGGCAAACACTGTGCTATCATTTTCGAGAATTCAGTTGCTAGGTACATTGATTTCAATAAAAAGGACATTTCATATAACAAAACTGCTAAATTTGCAAAAATTCTACTATGTTTTACAAACTTCTACCTTTAATTTGTATATATGTATGTTTTACACACGAAACTGTTAAACTTTTATAGTGTTAGTATTTTCGAACAACACTTAAAAAATATATATATTTTTTAATTTCCATATTTAATGAATTAAAAACTAGAAAATTGTCGTCGAAGTTGATTGCTATGTTGGTAGATTTGTATTGTTTTTTTTGGTATCTATTCATATGTATTGGCTTGTATTAATTAATCATGCAATAATATCAAAAATTTCCAGAGCTTTATTTAATCTTTTTTTTCCCAAACAAACTATTTTATTTATGTATATTATAGGCATTTGAATATAAATGTTTACATATACGTATGCATAATATAAAAAATAATAATAAGCTTACGCACAAGGACAAGGTTGGTAATTTAAAATTCGTTTTTCTACAATTGTTTTTTTTTGATTAAGGTTATTTATTATATAATATTAGTCGGTTATACCGATTAAATAATTTATTTATTATAGCAATATAAATTTACTATTATTGACAAAAAATATATAACAAATTACCACACATAATAAAAAAACAAAATAAAATTCATTAAAATTTGAACTCGTGTTTGTGTTTTAATTTTGATTTATGAATAATTTTAATCAATAAAAAATTAACAAAATTAAAATAAATTTTGATCAAACAGATGGTTTGGAAAGTAGCACATTTTCCTTTAATAAATAAAAATATATTTTTAAAAAACAGTCTCCGATAAGTAATTAAATTATTCTCCGTATACATTTTAAAATTATGTTATACAAAATAATTAGCTATTGTATACTTTCTACAGGAAGAAAAAAATTAAAGTTAATAGAAAAGGCAAAATTTATGTTTAATAACGTGTGTTAAGATAAATAATTATATAATATATTTTTAAAGATAGATAGTGTAAATAGATGACGGAAGTTGTTTGCTATCAAGTATACGAATTGTTAAAATTTAAAGTCGCATTTCGTCATTATAATATTTGGCTATGCTGTTTAATGATGAAGAGGGCAAACTAAAAATATACCTAACCGGAATTCAATAGACAGAACCTATTCAGAAACAAAATTTATTCAAATGATTTCAAAATAATTAAAACTATTTCAGAAATAAATTAATGATTAGAATTCGTAATTGTTACAGTTAATCAGATCAACTTATTTATTTTCTGAATTTTAATTTCTAAAATATTAAAGTCCATGGCGGCGTTTTGAAAAAGTAAAACAAACAGATCATAAAACATTAGAGTAGCATTAAAAATTATATTTGTTTTGTACTTTGTTCAAATAAACTTAGAATATGGCTTTATTTAAAAGTAAAAATGCTTAATTAGTTTAAAAGGTAACGTCTGAATTTCAAGTACAAAATATGTAGTGAATACTTGAAAAAAAATTTCATTAACTTAATAATTATTATTTTAAATTCAAGTTTTATTACTTATTCATAAAATCTCTTGTGAAATCAAATTTCTTTCAAGCTTTTCGGATATACATACATATGTAGTGCTTTTGAAAAGCGATAATAAGATGTAATAAAAATATTTGTTTTGATATGATCGGATTGTCTTTGTTTTCAAATTAATTTAATCTTACAAGAATGTGAATGTTACCATTAATTTCTATATTTTTTAATATAATTTCAATATTTTAGATTTAACCAGAAAATAATAGTGTAAATTGGAAACGTTATAAAAATTCTTAACTCAACTTTGCTTTAAATAGTACACTTACATTTAGATAGTAGACATTCTTTAACCATAACCGTTGTAGTAGTAGTAAATACAAAGTAGATATTTACCTATAATATAATAAGTTTTATTGTTAAATTTTGTTTATATAAAGTAACTTTTCTATCCACACACTTATAGGTAAAATTTTCATAATTTTAATGTTATTTTAAATCGAATGATAAAAATTTCATTAAGGAGTTAATTATTTAGTTCCCCCGAGATTTAGGTACGTGGCCAAGTATGAACGTTGTTTTCTTATGTAATGTATGTGTATATTGTATAATCATATACGTGTATTTATTTATAGAATTTGTTTTCATGAATTTGAACTATTTATGAGCTTTCAGTTCCTTTAAAATTGCTACATAAAAATATTAATTACAATTAAAATTTAACTAAAACTTAAAAATAATAAAAGAAACTAAGAAAATACATTTTTTTTACCATCTATTGTTTTATATATTTTTTCGATATGAAAGAGAAACTTCGATCTTTCAAAAACATCTGATATGAATTTTAACATTTTGTTTTTTGATGAAAATTTGTGAAATATTTTGTTCTATTCTTTTATTATTTCCAAATTTGTTATGATTATTACAAAATATTTTAACAAAACACTATTTTCATTAAGAAAATATTACTATTCATCACTAAATATATTCGTTAAAAAGATATTTACAGTCTTTTTCAAATTTAAATATTCATCTTTTATATTAATAGTGTTTTCATGGTTCCTTGTTTTTATTTTTGAAATTTTATCCACTATTTTTTCTTTTTTCTTGTTTGAAATTTAAAACTTCCAAATTGCCGTATAATAAACTATTTAATACTTAATGTCAAAAATGTCAATTGTCAGTTTTATTCTCAAACATCTATACGTCAAAAAATAGAAACAATAAAAAAACGAACAAAAAGGAGCTGCCATTGTTTAATATTTTACGGTTACCATTTCGTTTTACATATTTGGAAAAGAATTTATTATTGTGAATTGTGATGTGAGCAATTCTTAAAAGCACAAAACAGAAACGGCGAACGATTTTCGTGTTAACAAAGAACATCCCTGAGAATATTCCAACACGAAAAAAAGAGCCGGGTGTTTGAAATATTTTGAATGATTTGAAAAAAAGCATTTTTACATAATATTACGAATATTACATGTAATGTGACGTTTTTGGAAACAATAACTGATTGACTTTTTCCGAATAATTCGAGTGATTACGGGAACACTTAATCATACCTGAAAGACATGTAAGCCTGGACCCCAAGAGAAAATGACAATGCAGCTGACGAATTTACACGTATTCCTATGGAAGCTATAGAGGGCCTTTTTTAACATTATAAATCTTCCACAAGATCAACTTTTTTCAAATTTTTAATTAGAAAAATTTAAAATTAAATTTTTTCTGCTTTACAAGTTCTTATATTCTTAAAGTTTTGTATTATTACAGCATTAAAAACATTTAAGAATCACATACATAGATTTTAGTTATGAAGTAAGACCCAATTAGCTGCTTCCCGCTCGCCTGTGTTTCCCGTTTAATTGTGTCAACTTTTTTAGAACCTTTTACATTACATTTAACGTCAAAAAATCGTTATTACAAACTTATATTCTATGTTAAAATCTAATAAAATTACTCTGAACTGAATTCTCTCAGATATGTTGCCTGACATGGCGGTACAAAAAAAACCGGGAAAAAATCGAAAATACTCGTATATTTAATCAAAATTATTGTTAAAATTTTGAGTTGAAAATTGAATTTTTGATATGTTGTTCAGAAAACTCCAACTTTAATTTTAGTATAAAACTTTTTGTATAGAAAAAAGATAAAAGAAAAGAAAGCAAAATCATTATTTTTTCAAAAAAAAATTTATGCTTCAGAAATGTCATTTCGCCAAAAACCCATATGCAATTTTAATAAATGGATTCACAAAGAAAGCAGAATCCATCCCTTGATTTTTTTTGATGGCATGGTCCAGACGTTGATATTTCTGCTATGTGTATGTCAAACTCTTAATCAATATTTTCTTTTAAAATGCTGCCAGTTCTATTTCATCAATTTTTTTGACATTTGTAGATTCCAACAAAAATAAAAATATTACATGCTAAAAAAACAATTATTTTTCTGCGTTGGATTTGAGAGCGTTTTTTTTATATTTGTGTTTGCCAGAGTAAAATTTTGCCGAGTCTATATAATACAAAATATACACATTTACATGTTTGTTGAATGCCGATTGCCGAAAGAAGTCACATTGTTTTGTATGACATAAAATAATATACTAGCGTTTATGTATAATATACAATCTACACACATGTATATAAACGTAACATTTGTATGTAATTTTGTGTGTGTTTTATAAAACTGTATTTTATTTTGGCATTTTACTTTTTTTTGTTATACAATTTTATTTTTCGTGTAAAATTTTAACTTTAAAGTTGGCATTTTTCCTTGTTGTTGTTCAAGTGTTTTTTTTAAGTTTTTTAAGTTTTTTTTTGTGTATTTTTGCTATTAATTTTCTCAAAATATATAAAAACATTAAAATAAACTAATTACAAGGACAATAATATAAAATCAGTTGGGAAATAAACTTTTCTATAATTTTGAATTAAAAAAAAATATAAGGAAAGAAAAAAAATACTGAAACATACCATTTTTTTTTAAGATATTTTGTGTGTGTGTGCCGTTAACTTCGCATTTTATGTGCATAAGAGATTTATAAATACATATGTATATAATTATAACTTGTTTTTGATTTTGCAAAAAAAAGGAATAAAATAAAAAAAATTTATGTGACAAGACAATTTAAAATTTTTATTTTACTTGTTTTTTTTTATTGTGGTTTCTGTTATTCACTTTTTATATTCTAATTTACTATTATTTTCCTATTGTAACTATTAAATAAATATTTTTTGCGTGTTTTTTAATCACAAATTAAAATCTAATAAATGTAAAAACTAAAATTGTTTTTAAAACTATGTATTTCTTAAAAAAAAATAGGAATTAAAATATAAGTACATAATGAAGAATTAAAAAATAAAATTTAAAAAGATTTTAACATTTAGCTGCAAAATCTCCAAATAAAAAAATAAAAGCACATACATACATCCATATAAAAAACGAATCATCGCACACTCATAACATTGTTGTTGTTAAAATTTAAAAACACGGGAACTAAATGAAATAAAAAAAATACAGGTACCTATTTAAAAAATATAAATTTATATTTTTTTTCTCTGTGTGATTTTGTTCTCTTGACCCTGTTTATCGCCGTTTAAATCAAAGCATATTTATTTTATAAAAGTAATCCGACAAGTTTTAATGAGGGTCGTAACGAGGGAACGGAAAAAATATTCCTTTTACATAGTACAAAGCACGGCTGTCGTTTGGCTCCGATTTATGTCTTCCTTTTACAATTTGGCTCCGATTTTGCATTTGCTTAGTCAAAACCCAAAACATGTTTAGTAATTATTTTGAAAAAAATTGAAAAATGTAATTATTAAATAAACAAAAAAATTTGTTGTTAAAACCGTGACTAACAAAATTATGTAGATATACCTTTTTCTGCCACCACCTACTTTAGTAGTCGATTTAATATATTAGTAATTTTAAGTGTCAAATAACCAAACTTGTGAAAACGCATCGACGTCAGCAAATGAAATCTGTTTGTGTTTTTCTGATCGCTAGAACGTAAACTTTAAAAAATGTAGAAACGCATATGCCTGCATTCAGTATATGAAGTTTCATGTAAAAAATATATTTAGTTTAAATTGTTATTGAGATATTTCAATATGAATTTATTTTTCTCTTTAAGATATTTTGTGCATTCGTTGCCGTTAACTTCCCGATTATCGCATAAAATTTTTGTTTAAAGTTTTTGTTTTGTTTTTCTGAGTTTTTTTGATTTCTTATGTTAATAAATTATTTTAGTATGAAATATAAAAATTGGTTCCACTTTTTTTTGAAAATTACACCTTTTTTTTTGTTTTGAATATTTCGGCTCCCCATCCAAAAAATCAAATGACAGCCCTGGTACAGAGTACTCTTCTGTCAAATGTTAACAAAGCGAAATATAAATATGTATGATACTTTGGTCTTTTGTTTGAACATTATGGTAATAAAGTAAAAATCTGTAAATACGATTTCTGAATTACATACACCCTGACTTCAATAATGCTTTATCATACCTTTACATTGTAAAAAAAAAACTGCTAAAGCTTTTGATACATTTTGGAACACAATTTTTACATTATTAATACATACTTTGGCGTTTGTTTGAAAATTTCAATTTAAAGTTCTATGCAAATATTAATTACCAACAAACGTTACCACATCATTAAAAACATACAATTTTTATGCTGCATTTTAGTAAAAAACTTAATAACTAACACTTTATTACTGAAAATAAATGCTAGTTTATTTAATTGGTTATTTCTGACAACATTTAAATGGCATGTTTAACAAAAGCGTGCTCGATCTTTTTGATACCCAATTTTTATTTTACGTATCCACTATGTATAGCATTTTGGAAAAGATTGTACACTTTTTCAAAATGCTATACATAGTGCTATATATGCTATACATATCAAGAGCTTTTATTAAACTTTTTAGAATGTGATATTTTGTAAAGTTTACGTCGTAAGCGCATTATTGAAGTCACGGATTATGTATGTTAATACTTGTATAATTTAGTGTTTTATATTTATTTATTCACATATTGACTTATTTTTCGAATGTTGACTCTTAATTAAGTTTTTGTGTAAGTTGTAACTCTTCTTAACAACATAATACATTAATATTGTACAGTATATTTACATATACTGGAGGTAGTCGAAGTGCCATCCACGACCCGCATGTGACTCTATACTTCTTTTTTGTTTTTCTTTTTTCCAAAAAATATGAAAAAGTTGTTTTTCCATGTTAACTTTAAATGGTTTTTCGAAAAGTGCATATTTGTAAGTCGTATTAACAATCATACATATATTCGTATAAGAGACACCCAAAATAAATTAAATTTTTAAGGTATGAAAATTATTAAAAAAGAATAGTGTACAAGTTTTTACATTCTCCAGTAAGCTTTGATAAAATCTATTATGAATCCAAACTGATTCCAACAGTATTCATAATCATAAGTAACAAATGAACACCTAATATATGAAATGTATTTGTAAAAACATTAATATTTTATCAGCCAAATTTTAAAGAATATACAGTACATACTCGAACTTAATTCAAGATCTATATTTGTGAAACTTTATCGGAAAGTGATTAATAATAATTTTTTTTATAAACCGACTTAAATGATAAAAAAATGATTAAAAATCTTATCTTGAATGATTAAAAATAATGTTTATTTAACATTATAAAATCTCACTACTTTTGTTTCAATAGTATCAATAAACACAGAAGTGTCCGCGTCAAGACGAAAGAAGCAAAATTCAGCGGCTAATATCTACCTTTTCTCTTAACGTTTTTTTTTGAATCCTTGAATATTTCTTTGATAAATTTACTTCTTTTCAATATAATAATATATGTAATTTTTGACTTGGCCAAATTTATACCTCTGAGTCGTATATACGATTCTATATAATAAATTCAGGTACCACAATTATCCCCCTTGTTTCGTATGTATATGCGATCAGTAATAAAAAAGATATTAATTTATACTTTAAGTGGTACATGTAATGTATATAATATACATATATACATATATATACTATATAATATATAAATACTTCAACTATTAGGCATCATAAAATATTTTTTTACTTGTTAAAATAAAAATTCGTTTGATCGTTTATTATTTAAGTTCTATTCTCGTATTCTATTTTTTTTCTTTCGTGCTTAGGTTTGAAATTTTTAACTTATCTAAGTAAGTATAAATTATAAACCAAAGCAAAAAAAAAAAACAAAAACTAAATAACGATACTCTTATAACGAAATTCAAAGTTGTTTCTTAATTTTTTATCTCAGTATTATTTAAAGATGGCAACATTAAACATTGATCAGCAAAATTTATTTCTCAAACCCATCAATTAAGAATAAAAGACTTGAAATATTTTTTTCTTTTTTTGAATTTTGTTTGTTTTTGTTTTGCATTTTCATAATTTGACACCAAAAAAATATATTAATATTATTAGCACGTATAAGTGCTAATTTACTTAAAAATACAAATTAATTAGTTTTAATTGTTACTTATAAGATAATGTTCAAAATTTAAACATTAGGGTTAAAACAAAAGGTAAAGTAAAAATTAAGTAAAAAGTAAAAAGATTAACATTCTGTGATCACAAGGCAAAAATGTCTCAAATTAAAAAGTCAGAATTTTAACGAATGGAAGTGAAGTATTGTTTTTTTTCTTTTAGTTTAATTTTAAATTATTTAATATGTTTTAATTTAAACGGAAGGAATTAAGTCCAAACAGAAAAGCTATTATATATGCAAATAAGAAACTATGTCACGAGCGAATGATAAAACGTTTTTCTTTGCGAACCAAGATTTCAGTTATTTTATTTTGTGTGAATTTTTCTGCAAATTTTATTTTTTTTTTTTTGCTTTGCTCTTGAATAAAAATTATCAATCCCTAAAATGGATTTTTTCTTCCTTTTTTTAAGGAGAATTTTTAATTTCTTTTATTTTTAAGTTTAATCAAATTTTCAAAATCTTAATTAAGTACCAACGTATTTCGATTTTTTAGTTTTCCAAATGAAAGTTAATAATTAAATCAAATTTGAATTAATTTTTGATTTGATAATATTTAAGCCAGTTTGAATTGGATAAAATTTTGCTATATTATTGAAATAAATTCATATGTGCATGTAAGTAGATTAAATTACCTTGCTATATTTCAATATCTCAGTAAGTTGCAATTAGGTCATTTACTTTACTTTATTTTAGAGATATATGTACATATATGTATATAATCATGTGTATTTTTTGCTTGCATACAGACTATGATAGTGCCGAAATATTTTTATATATATATTTTATTTTTTGTCATATATCTGTTATAATTTAAAATTTATTAAAAGCGTCAAAATAAATTAATTAATGTAAATTAAATTCAATTGATTTTATGAATAAATATTGCATATACGTATATACATATGTTTGTATATATGCATATGCCTATATTTACTTTATTATATTTAAATGGGATTGTATAGAAAAGTTATTAGTGTAATTAAAATGGAATTTTTTATTCTCTTTCTACGTTATATTAACATATGTATATATATCATGTACATATATGTATATGTGTTTAAACACAAAAATAAAAAGAAAAAATTTAGAACAAAAAGATTAAAATATAAAATAATTTCACAATAGTATATATATGAACATAATATATATGTAGGTACAAAGGGGCCCCTATAGTTTGCTGATAAACAGTATTATTTTTAACAGTTTTGCTCATGTAAATTTTTAAAGAGCTCGACTGCTTTTAAATGTTCTTTTTAAAAATGTCATTAAGAAATACAGGATTGTAGAGAATTCAAAAGGCGGAATTATTGGTTCGTCGCTTTTAAGTTAACTGGATTTTTACTATTTTCTTTTACACTATATTCGACACTTTCTTGGCAACAATGTTTGACATTGTAGTATATAAATCTAAAATAAAAATGATGTTTTAAGAAACCGTCGCTCTAAAATTTGAGTTTAATTTATATTTTTTGAGAAAGATAGGAAAAAAAAGTTGCACTAAAAATAAAGATAAAGTAAATTTAGTACAAATTAGTAATACAATTTTTTGTAGCTTAATTTTTCACTCAATTTTTGGTACAAAATTGTTCTAAGTACGACATATCTATAGAATAATTTTGTATAATTATATATGTATAGACATATATATTTATGAAATACAATATTGCTCCGTACCTACAATATTGTGTTTTAAATTTTCTATTTCCCTTAAATTTAAATTTAAAATTAAAATTTTTCACAATTTTGGAGTTTTCATGTTTTACTTTTTTTTTTATTTCAGATAAATTTAATTAATAATAATAATAATTTAATTTGTAAACGTAAAATACAATTAAATTTTTCAAAAAGAAATGCAAAAAATAATTTTTTTTTCCTTTTTTTTTTATCTGTTTTAGTTTTCTAATTTTTGATTTTCTGTGTTTGTTTTTATTTTTTAACTATAACTTTAAATCAGTGTTATACACAAAAAATAAGAAAACAAAAGAAGAAAAATATTTGAAAAAGAAGAAATAAAATAATAATAAATAATATTTAAAGTAAAACAAAAAAAATAAAATGAGTGAGCAAGTTGTAACAATAAATTTGTATGATGCACCTGCACCTCCTGCATCTGGCAACATCTCAACATCTAATTCTCATGTATCACTTGGAACCAAATGTAATTCAACTGCCGTTTCTGATAGTCCAATCACTGATCCGGGATCTGGCGGCAAGGTAAGAAATTAAAATTATTATTTAAATTTGTTTTTTTTTTTATTATTTTAAGCATATTTGCATAAATTCTTCATTTTTAACACTTTTCCCAAAAAATTTGGAAAAAAAGTGCTTATTAGTTTTATTTCAAAGATCGCATACGTAGCTCATCCTAAAACTATGCAATATTTTAACTATATTTGTATAGGAGCGAATGTAATTTTAATAAGGTACATAGATTGTTTAAAAAAGCGGTATTTTCAAATTTTGAAGTGAAAAGTGCTACATTGCAAACCATTGGTTTGGCCAAACTTTATTTTAAAATTTCATTTTTATATGACAATAATTTTATTTTTTTTTGTTTTTTTGTGGTTCCGTTTTTGTTTTGTTTTTGTTTTCTCAAATATTTTAATTCATGTTTAACTGAAATTATTATTGTATTTATTGTTAAAAATATTAATTTTAATAATATAATTACCATCTTTTTTAACATTTTTGTTTTTAATAACTACCAACTGTATACATCACTATTGTTTGTCACTTACTTGATTGTTAATGTTAAAAAAAAGTTGATCGCGATTTTGGAAAATTGATTGTAATTGAAATTTGTAATTGATTTTAAAAAGTCTGGCGCGAATAACGTTGTGTAAATAGATTTTTGAAATTTGGGGTAATTAAGTATGTATACAAAACTGGGATACTTTTAGTGCTTAATAATGATGAATAAAATTGGTAAATTCAGGTAATTAAAATTCTTAAATACATACCTTGTTTATATATATATATATATCTTGTTTATGTTTTTTAAAGAGAGAGAGATTGTTTTTTAAGGGTAATTTTACATTTTAGTCAAATCTTTTTGTAGCCAACATTTTTTTGGCAAAGTAATAGATATTTTCATAAACACAGTATACCGCAATACAAAGTTAAAACTGTACTATATTTATGCGCATCTACTCTAAAAACTAAGAATTAGTCAATATGATCAAGTGTTTTAATTTTAAATTTGTTTTTGTCGTTTTAAAAAGTTACTACTTATAAAACTAATTACAACGTTATTTGCGTGAAACTTTCAATTATGTATATAATACGAGTAACATTTTTAGATTATAACTCAATTTGATCAATAACTTTAATTTAAAAGAGCAGCTCACAAAATAGGGAAGAAGTATCAAATGTAGAGCTTTAGTCAAGATTAAAGACTCAATATTATTTATCATTTTTCATTTACATGATAATACCAAACTAACACAACCTATATACTTTAATCGAAAATTTCATTTGTAATTTATGGACAGAACACGGAGACAATCTAAACTTGAAAATATTTTAAGAAAAGAATGAACGGGACTTATTCTTTTTATAAAGATGAATTATGATTAGGATATTCAATAACATGTATTGCGAATCCGTGATATACATACATATACTCATATGTAATAGAATATTGTTCTATCTCGCAATAAATTGCTATTCATAAAAACTACGAACGAAAAGAGAAATGCAAAAAATATTATGACCATTACGTAGAGAAATGTTTAGGTTAATCTCATTTCAACTTTCATATCTGACTGATACAATCTGTAACTTTCATTCGCTATAATAAATTTTTAAGCTTGTGTATTTTGTATTTATATATACATATACACATATAAGCTATATAAAATTGCAGAGAATTGTTCCTCATTTTTACTTAATAAAATTATGTAAATTAATGCTAACAAAAAACTGCAATCTTTTGCAAAAATTTTATTTATTTAGACATTTGGAATATGCCGGAAAATATTTTTGATTTTTATAAGTAAGTACTTACTTTAATTTCACATATTTCGTCTTTTCAATTAGATTCAATTTTAGGGTTCCTTTTTTGCGTTTCAGATGTTTTTCAATTTTAAACATATTATAAAATTAATAATAATAATAGCTATATATATATATAAGTATATGAATATAAAGGGTTTCTAAATGCATTTTTATAAAAATTTCATATCAATTCTGGTCTTGTGATTCAATTATGCATCCTTAACAACATTTCTTTTAATATGAAGAAACGGTTCTTTTTCCAAATTTTACGCTTTCACCATTTGAAATTTCTAATCCAACTCCCGCATTAAATCTGAAATACGTTACTAGATACTGAATCAGAATCACTAGATACTGAAAAGGAATGGAGAGCGTTGTTTTCAAGAATCTAACTAAATCATCTAGCAAAATGAAGATTGGATGTAAACTTCACTTATTTGTAGTCAAAAAAAATCTTTGTTTGTTAAACTTGATTTTCATAATTGCCAATTTTAAAAAATGTCTCTTCTAAAAACGGTCAAACGGTTGAAGAACAAATCTGCGTAGGATCTGCAACTTAAAAAGTAGTGATATTTTTTTAACACTTTAATTAAAAAAATTTAATTGAGAAACTGATTAAATGAGATGTCTACATAATGAGATGCTTAAGTGACTTGCTATAAAAATTATAAAATTATATTAGTTTTATAATTTTTAATAATAATAAAAATTTTATTAATAAATATTTTGTTTTGCAAATTAACAATGAATTGTTTTTTTTTGTATAATGTACAATTTTTTCTTGGCTTAGTACTTCTATTACTTTAATACACTATATACAAAAATCTAATTTAGACATTAGAAAATCAAAACAAGAAAATTATATTTAGAAAAAAAATCTTATTAATTTTATCTATTTTTGAAAACGGCCTCTCGGATTCCAATTAAATATTTTTTTTTGCTATTTTAATAATTTAATGGATATTTTTTTCATTTTGTTATAAAATGATTTTTTTTTTTAATTTTTCAATACTTTTAATAAATTATTTAATGACTTGTATTAAATTTCAAAGCGAAAAAGAAAATGTCAAATAATTTGCCATCAAATTTTAGTTTAAAATCAAAACGCAACCGAAACGCCGTTTTCTATAATAGTAAAATCATAAAAATTTATTAATGTTTGTACATAAGTATATTTAGAATTTTTATATAAAAATTTCAATTAGATGCCCGCCTATATATTTTTTTAGATTTTAGTTTCGTATTATTATTTAAGTACTTTTAAATATTCCTCTCCAACTAAATTAAATATTTAATAAAAATTTTAGTTTTAGCTTTGACAAATTGCTATTTAATTAGCTATTTAATAAAATTACATTATGTTAATAAGTTTTGATTTTTTTTATTTACGTTTGTTGTACTTCATTTTCTTAAGTTATTTTTTGTTTTTCTTTATCAAGTAGAGTTTAGAAAACTGAGAATAATTATAATTTATAGAATGGAAAACAAAGAATAATTATAATAAAAACAAATTATTTAAAAATTTTATTTTAATTAATTGAAAAATAGGGTAAAATGGAGTACATCTTGGGACACTTTAGATTGTATTTCTTTTTTTTTTAATTTTAAATTATGTAAATTATTTTAAAATGAAAACAGCATAGGAAAATGTTGTGTGTTAACTTTAGTTTATTAATTTTGTCTGGACCTTAAGCGGAAATCAACCTTCGGTATATATACTGAGGGTGCTTTAGTACCTTATATAACTTACGTTGTAGAATCTTGTCTTATTAAATTTAAATTTTTATTCAAATGTTTGGTGAAGACTAAGAAAAAAACTTGAATTTAAAATTTTAAATGTTGTTGAGATACAAAATTTTTTCATTTCTTACAAATCTTCGAAAAATTACGAGTATCTAAAACAATTGAAAGAGTTGACTTATATATCCCGAATTTAAGAATTTTGTCGTTTTAATCGATTTTTATATGCAAAATTGGTTTGACAACCATTGCGAGTTAAGGCATAAAATATTTTATTATTTTATTATATTATTAATTATGTTAAATTAATTAATACATATTTTGTCACAAATTCATTTGTCACGAACACATACTCGTATAAAAACGTTAAATTAAATTTATTATATATTCAATGTGAATTCTTTTGGTTATTCAAAGGTTATGTAGGGTTTTATGTCCCAAAGAGGTACACCACTTAATCCTAACTATATGTATATATATGTATATAATATATATATACATATATAATAAATAAAACATATTTATACATGTCGATAAATTAAATTTATAGGAAATGGATTCATCAAAATTATTTATTGGACAACGTATTAAAATGGTAAGGGATAAAAACTAAAAAAAATTGTGTATATATATTATACTAAATATAAGGAATATTGATACAGGCATTTCTCGAATACCATAGCATGTTTGCTATTTAAAATGTAACATTAATAATAAATAACAACAATAAAGTATTGTTGCTAATTATTGCGTCAATAAAGTGTTGTAAATTATTTTCAAAATTATCTAGTTTATTAAAATGTGACAAACATTCGATATAAGCCTGTATTAATTGTATGTATATGTATATATACATATGTGTACATATGCTAGCCATATAGTAAGTTTTTCATTTATTTCGTATTGGTTTATAAAATAAAATACATATAATATTTATTTTGTCGTTTTAAAATTATTTTTATACTTAATTTGTTAATAAATTATTCATTCAGTCGGAATTTGATTAAATTTCAAAAGCATTTTGATCTGTCATATTGGTCAATTGTCAGACATGGTAAATTGTAAAAATTTTTAACGTATTTAAATTTTAATATTTACAAATAAACGAATTTTTATATTTAAACAAGCATTTAAATTATTAAATACATAATTCATATGCGAACATATGTACATTATGTATGCAATATTTTATAAACCTAATCTTTGTATTATTCTGTGTTATATATGTATATATATGGATATATATAATAATATATACTACCTATAAAGAAGCTTTCATATTCAAAAATCAATTTTTAAATAAAATATGAGTTTTTTCTTTATTGTAACTTTTTTAATAATTCATTGAATTCGGTTTTAAATTTATTTTTGTTACATTTTTTATTAAATTCAAAAAATGTAAATTTAAAACCGAATCAGTTTTTTTTGTAATTTTTAAAATTTTTTTCTAATTATAAAATCTAATTAATATATTTCTAAATTCGTTATTTTGAAAAGAAAAAATCAATTAGAATTAATATGTCATCTTAATTGAAGATAATTCCGGTGTGTTTCCGCTTTTCTATATACAAGATGATTCAGTAATTAGTGTCCAAACAAATATTTGTTATGTAACGACATTTTCACTTGTATCTTTAATTATAAAATCTTAAGTGTCGAATATTTTACTAAATTTGAAATTGAATTATTAAAAAAGAAAAATAAAAAACAGAAAAAAAACTCTTAAATATAATATAAGTACATAATATCTTATATAAAAAATTTTTACTAATTCTCTAATACACTCTATTTATGTACAGAATATATACATATATATACATGTACTTATAAATAAATTATTCACATACTAACCGCAAAGTATCTCTTATTACTATACGAAAACTATGAACAAATTCAATAATTATTGTAATAATTTGTAGAAAAAATATAACTTTACTTGAATTTAAAACTGTATATATTTGTATATATGAAAAATATGAGAATAATCAAATTGAGGTAGGAAAAACGACGGTCTTCAAATTAAATTTTTTAATTCACTTAAATAAAATTATCTGCCAAGTTTCGTTTTCTAGTTGTTTTTCTTTTGCAGACTTTTAGTATTTTATTAACATTTTCTATTAGGGTTAATTTTGTTCTAGCAATCGTTTGAAATTTGTTTAGAATTCATTTCAGACAAATTTTTTGAGCCTTATTCTAGTTGTCGAAGTAGAGCGACAATTGCTGTTACGACTTGAATTTGATATTCTAAGCGGCGATCGCAGTGACAATCGTCGGGGAGTAGCGGGAAAATGTGTTTCAGTCATATTCCAGTTGTCGTTTTGATGCGAGATATGTCGTAGTGAAACGACGTTTTTTTTCGAAAAGTATTTACAAGTGACAAGAAAGAAGAATACACTAAAAATGCAAGTTAAAACAAAACAATTTAACAAAATCATAAAAAAATTAATTTATACATAAATCAAGTCATACTCGTAAAATATATAATTTAATTTTTGTTTTTAGCGTGAAAGTATTTATAAATTTGAAGAATTGGAAATTTCATGACAGAGAACGCTCGAATATATTCAGTAAATATACAAAGGCCTCCTTTGGAAGTCTGTAATAGTTTATAAATCTATGAATAAAATAAAATGTTTGCAACTAATTTACTAGAAAATTGGCAAATCCAATGGATTAGAGCTGTCGCTAATCTTAAATCTTTCGATCCCTTATTGTTATATTTTTTTAAATTCATCATTAGCGGAATGAGATGAATTCGTAAACGATAATGCAAATGACATTTTTTATTATTTAAAAATGTAAATATATACACTGAAAATTTTTTTTAGTTTGAACTTTACTCGCCAAAATTTCTTTTTAAAATGTATCAATTTCACTTGAAACGTTTCATTTTCGATTATTTCTCGCACTCACGTCATTCGACAACCAGAATACCACATTTCAAATGATGTGACAGCGACAACGACAAATGTCACGTAAGTGACGCGACAACTAGAATAAGGCTCATTAATTTTGATTTTCTTTTCCCCTTTGAAAATACCCATAAGTTCTCTCATAATAAGTTACTTCTCTCTCCTGCCGCACACGCCTTATTCACACACAAAAAAATGTTTTTCTAAAAAGAAGTACGACGACTCCGAGAGCTTTAACACCAGTTTCAGACTACATTGTGCAATTTTAATGCAATCTCTTGCTTTTTAAAATATGCCTTGTGTAATTTTACACATATTATATGGTAGTTACCATTAAAACCTGTATTATCTAAGTGTTTTACTGAAAATGATGGCAACATTACCAAATTTGTTTGTTCAAAATTTCAGCTATGTAGCTTTAATAGTTTCTGTGAAAATACCATAGCTTTTATAGTTTTTGAGATATAGCTAAATAGATTTTCAAGCTGTATGGCAGCTTGCAATACGATGAACCGACGGACAGACAAACAGATGGGCAGACATAATTAAATCGACTCAGAATTCGACACCCAAGATCAAAAACATACACCCGAGTCTATATCTAGGACCATTATTTCTTAGCGTTACAAACGGTAAGGAAAATTTAGTATACCGTTCGATCATACTTTTGTAATTCTTACATGTTATATATTTAATTAATATTATTTATGGGTATATATGTATATACATGGTGTGTTCTATATAATAAATAATTAAATCTAGTTTTATACATGTATGTTGTAATTTGTTTTTGTTTTGTTCAATATTCATGTAACGAATGTGGGTACTTATTTATGATTATGAAGTTAGTAGCCAGATAATTGATATTTTTGTATAATATCATAAATAATGTATTTGTTAGTGCGTAAATTATTTCTTATTATCTCTAAAAATTATTTCTCTCTACTTATTATCTTCTAAAACAATCACCTTTACCTATGTACGTAATTGTAATTTTTTTCTAATTTCATTAAGTATATCTAACCCTATTTTCTTCATTTTATAAAAATTATAAACATAGTTTGTATAACAGTTAGCATAACAAATTATTATAACAGTTAGTATAACATTTTATATTATTTATTTTTTTTATAAGTTGTTTTTAAGTTTTTGAAGCCTTTACTCTTTCATCTCCTTTTATTTTTAATACAAAGCATTATAGTTTTGTTCAATAGTATATTAGTTGGGATAAAGTTAACCTAAAACAGGCTGTCATTCAATTTTGACAAAGACAAAATAAAACTCTATTTGTTTTTTTTTTTGTGTTAATAAAAAATATTTGCCTTTCAAAAAATTTGTAACCTAATGGCTTTTTTTTTAGTAATGATTGTAAGTTGCAAGCGGATGTAATTTTTAGTAACACGCACATGTTTTCTATATATAACACGGTTGATGCTTGTCTCATTGGTTTTTAAAAGAAATATTTACATGTACTTATTTCTAGATAAACTAGAGGGTCAAAAACATACTATACATATATGTAGATATGTATAGCGATCATTATCTAAAAAAATCGCTTTATATTATTGTGAACTGTTAACTAAAATAATGATTGAGTTTATTGTAAAATCGTATTCTCATAGCATCCCAAAAAATTCGATTACCTATTTTGAATTCTTATTTTAAAAGCAGTTTGTTTCTATTTTCACTCTCTCATTATTAGTGCAACAATTATATATGGTCGAAAATATCGACCATATTTAATGTAATGTAATATGTTATAATAAAATAATAAAATATCGACATGATTTAAATCGTATAGTTAGCTCAATTCAATCAATCCCGACGTTCCCCCCCGAAAAAAATTAATCATCTCGTTTACAAACAAATGTTAGACAACATCTGTAGCCATTAACAAATAAAACAAAACAATTAATTATTAAACAAAAATTAAATAGGTAAATATGTCGTCGTGTTGTCGGCGTATTTTTCGAAGATAATTAAAACACAAGAAAAAAACACGCACATAAATGATAAAAAAAATTAAGATAAGTAATAATTGAGGTGCCTAATTGCAAAAGCACTTTTATCCTCCATTTAAAATTTTGAGCAAATAAAAAAAAACTTTTCATTTGAAAACTAATGAAGTACAATTTTAAGCACGATTCAATTTTTTTTTTTCAGTTTGCAGTCAGGTGATAAATTTTTTTTTTTTATTATAAAATTTTCCAAAAGCTTTGTAAAGAGAGTAATTTACATATTTATGTGTATATTTTTTATTATTAAAATTTAAAAAATAGCATTGGAATTTCTATACAAAATAATTCGGATTTCATTATTTCCATGGGAAAATTATTGTACGTACATTTTATATACTATCAATGGCAGCAAATAAGGAAAAATATCTAAATCGTTTTTTTGTATTGAATTTAAATATTAGAATGTTTTGGGATCAAATCTCTAATTCAATTTGATAAAATTCATAAAAATAATCTATAAAAATTTTGATTTAATTTAGTTAATTTTTTTACTATAAGTAGGTACTTGTGATTTAGAAGTTCTGATATATCTATAAAGAAATTGATAAAAACTTTTTGAATTTCAGCGACAATATTACGTACGTTATATATTATACACTTCATGAAATTACTATAGAAGATACTGTAGAAAATAATCCGCCGATAATTCCTTGGTGTTCGCATTTTTCGATTTTTTTTGCCTTGACTCGTTCCTTTGGCTACGTCATCCAACAGTTCTACGGTTGTAAAAAGAAATTATCTGTTACCATAAAAAAAATTTAGAAATTACTAAGCTTTTTTTTGATGTTTTATTTGAACCTCATTTTATCTTATCTTTTAATCTTAATACCTCTATATATTTTAAAGAAAATTTTTCTTTTTTTAACTAACCTAAGTTAATCAATTTAATTAATAAACTATACTCTTAGTATAGTCTACCAGGATGAATTTGTATTTTATAATTTCGAATATTTTTTACACTTACGTTTAATTTTGTATTGACGGAATGTGCTGAAATTGTTTTATTCTGAATACAATTTAATTATAATTTAATAAAAGCTAAGACCTTGTCCCTTGTGACTAGTATAGTTCTAATTTATGTATTTAGGTAATGGCTCAGTTTAATTTTTATAAAAGTAAGGGAGGGTGAGGTTGTCCACGAATTCTTTTTTTGCAATATTTCTATAAGAAATCAAAATTTTTAAATGCTAATATGAATTTTTTTTTTCTCAAAAATCAAATCGAAATCTTATCGTTGATTAAAATCACAAAAAATTTATCAACATATCTTTCTTCCCGATCCACTTTAATTATTATTGAAATAAAATGAAATTTTACGTACAATCAGTGTCTTCTTTTTTTCACATTTTAAATGAGCAACAGATAAGTCCCTAGAAAAGCAGTATTTTCAATTTAAAAACACTAGATTAATCCTAATATACTGGTAGCGCTACTGGTATGTTAGCAATATTTCAAACAAAATTACTTTTTGACAAAAGTTATGCGCTTGTCATCAGTTTAGAAAGTATTAATTTGACAAACTAACAATTTTGTATGTTTTTTTTTTGTATTTATTGGAAACTCAAGAAAGACAGTTAGGGCAGTCCGAAAAAAAAATTTTAATTGCGTTATTACTTTTTTTGGGTATTTAATATTAGAACGGAAATTAAAAACAGTAAGCAATATAGGACGTCGAGAAAGTAATAGAAGCACCGTTAAATCAGCAAAGCGATAACACTGCATACAACACACACATTCAGTTGTTCAGTTTGATCGACGGGCGATAAATTTATTTTTATGTTGCCCACATGAGAATAATTTTTTACTTTTTGTTTGTTTTTGATTGTTTTTTTGTCTTATATTATTCTTAAGTAACTTTTAAGTTACTTTTGTTTTCAAAACTTTTTTTTGTTAATTCATTTTTAATTTCTTGTGTACAAATAAAAATTACACTCGTTAAAAAAGTTAATGTGTGTAGTTAAGTTTAGTACCGTGCAATTTAATACAGCATAAAGATCTCTGGTGGTGAATTATTTTTTAAATTATTTATTTTTAATTGTCTTTTAAACTTTCATATTATTTTAAAATTTCAATATTTTGTTTTTGTTGCTTTTAATTGCACGTGAAAACTTTGTTTTGCTCTTCTTTGATTTTAAAACAAACAAATTTCAAAGAAAATAAATTTTTTTCTTAAAACTAATTTACTGTATTTTGTAATATAAATTGGTAAAAAAAATTTAAAAATGAAGGTAATAAATTAAAAATGAAAAACAAAAAACAAATTTACATTTAAAAAAAAACGTTTACATACTCATAAGCTCATACATATATGCATGTACATTATTTTTATTACATACCCGATCTTTAATGTGTAAAATGTACATATATGTGTATGGGAGTTTATCACATGGGTTTTTGTAAAAATTGATCACATGTTTTATTTTGTAACGAAAATCTTTTATATTACACAATTTTTTCTTAAAAATACAGTAGAGTCACACTTGTATGGACTATACTTATATAACTAAATACTTATAATAAAATAAAAGGTTCAGATAACTCTATTAAAGATAAATGGAGAGAATTTATTTTTAAATGAAAATATAATTTTAACATGAATTAAATAGGATAGGCCGAAATGATATTATTTTGTCCATAACTCTATATTTCTGATATCCAATTAATTATTAATTGGCAATAGAAATGGAATGTATTAAAAAATGGAATTTATGTAAAACTGTATTTTTTTGGATATTCTATAAGTTTTAATTATTTAAATAAAACAAAATTAAAAGTTATTTATTTATATACATATGTATATATGTACGTTATACATATGTATATAGATTACTTTGAATATGGTGTTGTGTGTTTGAACATGAAATTTAATATTATAATTGTATATATGCATATATACATATATTTATAATATATAAATATATATATCCTTATAACATATAAATATTTTATAAAGAATTTACCGAAATTTGATTTGATGGTATCAACAGCGGGCAATGCTCTTCGTAATTTTCGCAATAGGAACACAGGATCGTTTGATATAGAAATGATGTCATTGGTAAAGTTAAAAAAAGAAAATAACATGAAACTCTCTTATTTAAAATTCTTCCGGGAGCTACACTGGACACTATTCTCTTAACAAGTTTTCTTAACTGTTAAATTAATAATTTATTTGAATTTAAAACAGTAAAGTTCAATTTGAAATGAAGAAAATTGTATCTATTTTTATTTTTAATAACGTTAATATATACAAATTGAAAGTTAATCCAAACTTCAAAATTACAATAATATAACGGTATTGAAACATACTATTTCAATTTTGAAGTCATCATTTAGGTTTATGTACATATTATGCTATCAGTAAAATAAAAATGGAGTCGTAAAGGCGTTCTTCATCAACTAAATATGGCGTGTCAAGTATAACTCCTGGACATAAAACACATTTAGATATAATAAATATATATACATGCATATAAAAATTTATGTTATATACACATATAACATATTTTATATATATCATATACTCGTAACATATATAAATAAAATATTTTAGTTAGCATTTTTCTGCTTTATATTTTTGACAATACAAAAATTTTTAATTTAAATGTGTTAGGTGTTACGTTAAATTTTGCGTTTCCTAATTGACTTTTAAACGGTGTTCTGCATTACGTTTAAATATTTTATGAAAATAATGCATTAAGCCTATATTTTTTAATATAAAATTTTAGTTAGAAAGTTCGTTTCTTATTTTATCGCTTGAAATGAGCGGCCGTTTGCATCTTTATGGGGAGTAGAATCTCACTGATTAGGAAAGATCTTAAGTAATTTGTGCAGTTTTTTTTAGGGAGGGTCACTAATTCTCTTTTAATTATAAAGTAACATTAATTATAAAGTAAAAAGAAAGAAATTGAAATTAGGTTTTTATTTGTTTTGAAATATTTGACAAAGGTGCAAATGGAATGCAAATCTTATACATTCTTATACAGGGTGTTTCGCATAAGGTGGCAAATAATTTCAGGGATGATTCTTTGATCAATTTCCAGCAAAAATTGTATGGGTGGGGTAAATCAAATCCATTGTAAGACCAAAAATAATGAACAATCAAACGCCTGTAAAACCAACTCCCAGTGATAACTCTATTTGTTGTATGGTTTGGAAGTTTACCCATACAATTTATTGCTGGAAGTTGATCAAGGAGACATCCCTCAAATTATGTGCCACCCTATGTAAAACACACTGTATACATACATACAGTTCTGTTTTTTTTTTAATTTTTGATGGCGCTATTCTTATATATACATATATTTAAAAAAATTATATTTTCATAAGTATTTTTATTATTTTTAAATTTCAAATTATTTATTTATTTGTCCAACAAATACAAATTTATTACGTTTTTCAATATTTTCTTTTTGTGTATATTTATTTATATTTATATAGTTTATTAAATATTTATTTTTAATATTATTATTGTATAATTCGTATAACTGTGTAATTTAAAAAAAAATACTTAAAATTTATTAAGTAACTGTACCACACTTTTGAGAACCTAAAAAAGTAAAATAAAGAAGCTAAACCTCAAGTTATTGTTATAGTAATCTTCGGTTAATTGCATCACACTCAATTGTATTTCCCGATTAACTCAGCAAAAAATTTTGGCAATTTTTCCATTCCCATTGTTAGTTTTCCTGTTTAATTGCTATACTTTTTTTTTAGGCCACTGTGTAACGTATGAAATTTTTCCGGATTATTGAGTCAGGTATTTTTTGACACTTTTATTTTAAGTAAAATTTTTACAACAAAAAACTATTATGCATATGTATCTGCGCCTATTAAATTTACCCATAGATGCTTATTTTCTTTTTATGCCGTATTTTAATCATTTGTTTTTATTCAAGTACCCGAACTTTGTACATATTAATATGCATGTACATACCTAAAATAAAATAATGGAATATTTTCTTTCGTTTTTGTTTTATTTATTTTATTTTCTACAAATGTATCGCACAATGTACGTTATTATAATTATTTTATTTTCGTTTTATTGAAATTTGACTCACCAATGCAATTCAGCGGGATCTTGATAATTGAGCTTAGCGCAAAAATTGTGCAATTTTGATTTACGCAATTATCCGTGGATTACTGTATTTCTTTTTATGTCAAAAGTATGATATTAATGGTATATACCATGGCATACGGTATTAATGTATTGCTGAATTGTGTATTAATATTCGCATTACTGAGATTGTGAAGGCAGTTACGTTGTTACTTATCTTGTATGGTATTTTATTAACATGTTCAGTTTTGTCTATTTAACGATTATTTAAATTGTATTTAAGTAATTAAAAATAAATATACATACATAAGTACATTTTTGTATTTAAAATTAATTTTCATTATTAATGAATTTTTTCTCATAATTTTTTTTCGGTTTTTATTAGTTTTATATTTAAATACATAATGTAAAGCACGTGTTTCATTTTTCTTTATTTACTTATATTTTCACTGCTTTGAAAAATTTTGCTGTGTATCAATTATAATTTTTAATTAAAGTAAAATGCAATTACATGAATATATTTCAATAAATTTTAATTTTATTTTTAAAATAATGACTAATTTTCTTCTTTTTTGTAAATGGACTCAAAAGGACTCAAAACAATCGGGTGCATTAAAAAAGTCGTCCAGATATAGAAGTCGATCTCTTTCAGCTTCATCATCAGATTCATACAGTTCAGGTATGTTATTAATTGAATGTAATTTGTTATATGTAATTTATTTTAATATTTCATTTTATCAACAACAGCATCATATACTGGAAGCAGTTCCGAAGATGATGATATTTCACCCAGAGAAAAAGTACAAAAAAATTTTAAAGGATCATCTGATTTTTGTGTACGGAATATTAATCAACATGCTTTTGGTCGTCGTGAAATCGAAATTGCTGAACAAGGTGAATTAAATTTGATTTAAAAAAATATAAGTTTATTAGAATTTTTTTTAATTAACTAAGAGATGCCGGGTATTATGGCTTTAAGAAAGCGTGCAAGCGATGATAAACCATTAAAAAATGCTAAAATTGTTGGATGCACACATATCAATGCTCAAACAGCGGTACTAATTGAAACCCTAGTTGAATTGGGAGCATCAATAAGATGGGCTGCATGTAATATATATTCTACGCAGGTATTGTGAATTTATATAAAATTATAAAATACTTAATTAAAATTAATGTATTTTTTTTTATAGAATGAAGTTGCTGCAGCTTTAGCTGAAGCTGGTTATCCAATATTCGCGTGGCGTGGTGAAACTGAGGAAGATTTTTGGTGGTGTATAGATAAATGTGTTAATGCTGAAAATTGGCAACCAAATATGATATTGGACGATGGGGGTGATGCAACACATTTAATGTTAAAAAAATATCCAGCAATGTTTAAAATGGTAAAAGGTATTGTTGAAGAAAGTGTTACAGGAGTTCATCGCTTATATCAATTGTCAAAATCTGGTAAATTAACAGTACCTGCAATGAATGTTAACGATTCCGTAACTAAAACAAAATTTGATAATTTGTATAGTTGCAAGGAATCAATAATTGATAGGTATGTTATATTGTAATATTATAATATAATATATTATAGTTGTGAAATATTCAGACCAAAATTTAAGGTTGATAAACCAGATTTTTCAAACTATAATGTTTATATTTTAAATAACATAAATGTATACTACAGTAAGTACAAGATAAATGATTATTTTTTTGTGTGTAAATTTTTTTTTTAGTTTAAAGCGTTCAACGGATGTTATGTTCGGTGGTAAACAGGTAGTGATTTGCGGATATGGCGAAGTCGGAAAGGGATGTGCACAAGCATTAAAAGGTCTTGGCTGTATTGTTTATATTACAGAGATAGACCCAATATGTGCATTACAAGCCAGGTACTTGTTGGGTATTACATACATAGTAGTTTGATGAAATAAATGATTACAATACATTTTTTAATTTAATGATTTTAAAAACACGCTAAAGAATGTAAATTATATAATGTGTATAAATTATATTTCAGGTTAACATGCATTTTACGATATTTATTTGAAGTTTAAATAGATTTAAATTTATATATTTCAACTTATAATTATAATTAATATAACAATATTTTTCTTATAATTTTTAAGTATGGATGGTTTCCGTGTTGTCAAATTAAACGAAGTTGTTCGTAGTGTTGATATAGTTGTTACAGCTACAGGTAACAAAAATGTTGTTAATCGTGATCATATGGATAAAATGAAGAACGGGTGTATTGTTTGCAATATGGGGCATTCTAATACAGAAATCGATGTGGTAAATATTGCAAATATACTGTTCCGCATAAATTATAGCTTTAATATTCAATTTATTTATTAAAAATTCTAACATAACTATAATTTATATATAGTTATGTTCAAATTTTTGTTGTTTGAATTATGTTTTAAAATTTAAATTTTTCTTTGAAACATTTAGAATAGTTTACGCACACCAGAATTAACATGGGAAAAAGTAAGATCACAAGTTGATCATATAATATGGCCAGATGGTAAACGTATAATATTATTAGCAGAAGGACGTTTAGTTAATTTATCATGTTCAAGTATACCATCATTTGTTGTATCTGTAACGTCGGCGACACAAGCATTAGCATTGATTGAATTATTTAATGCGCCTCCAGGGCGTTATAAATCAGATGTTTATTTATTACCGAAAAAAATGGGTATGTATAAAATTGATGGACTTAATTATCTTGAAATGTAAATTTATATTTTTTTATAAAAAATTGTTTTTTTTTTTAGACGAATATGTGGCCAGTTTACATTTATCGACGTTTGATGCCCATTTAACAGAATTAACCGACGAGCAAGCAAAATATATGGGATTAAATAAAGCTGGTCCTTTTAAGCCTAATTATTACAGGTTAGTTTTATATTTTGCTGGGTAAATATTTAAGAGTAATAGCAATTGTTCTTAATTGTAAATGTTAAAATGGCTATAGAAATATATATGAAAGTCCCTTATTTCAAAATTCCAATAATACGGTTTTAATATTCAATTCAGTATTTGAATTTTTAACTTATAGTCAAGCTCTTGAATTGTGTAATATTGTAATTCATGTTTTAATTCAATTTTGAAATAAAGTTGTATTAATAAAAAATTAAGCAATTAAAAGTCATAAACTGAATGGTGTATTTAATACTGAATTGTGTATTATTGAAATTTGAAATCATATATTTTCTAGATTCTGTTAATTTTTTTTTCTTATTTCTCAAATTACTTATACAACCATTTTTCTTTTTGTAATTGTAGGTATTAGAAAACAGAAAAGAAAAAAAACTTTATGCTGAATTTCAATTTTTTGTTTTTAAATTGGCATTTTAAAAAGAAACAAAGCAAAAGAAAATCAACAGTAATTCCAAAATAAATAAAGAAAAAGAAAACCTTAAATGTTTTAGTTGTATAAGAAAGTTTATTATTATGAAACAACAATTGAAAAAAAATATAGTAATTAGAAAATGCTTAAAAAAAATCAACAATAAATGAAAAAAAAAATTGATAATAATTAAATTAAATATAATTTAAAACATTAAAGTATTTAGAGATTAAAAAATTAAAAAAAAATTTTAAAAATTAGTTAAAAAAAATTGAATTATTTTATTTTTAGTTTCTGATTTAAAAGTAAAGATTTGCAAAATAAAAACAAAATATGTAAGCATGTATTTATATATGTAATAAGTATATACTTATTACATATTTATATACTTATTTAACAACTAAATACTTATGTGTATAAGTGTATGTATATACTTATTACACACACACACACACACACACATATATATATATATATATATATATATATATATATATATATATATTATATATATATATATTTGTATAAACATATATAGATATAGAGATAGGTATATTAGCAGATATAGGGAATATATATGTATAAGTATACATCGACGTATCATATCTTGTGTAGTTGCAAATTATATGTGACTATAAAAGCGTGGTATATAAAAATACAGTATTGTAGATCATATAAACAGGGCATACGGAACTACTGTATACCCGTCGCGGCGCTTCTTTTGGTGCCGGCAAGTCACTACAGCTTCCACTTGAGATCCACTCTCCTCTACTAAAGTGAATGTGTAGTTCACCAGTATTTCTTTTCTTCTGAGAGCGAAAACATCACATTCGCACCCTACTTTTTTTTATAAAGAGAAAAAACAATATCAATTTCTAAGTTTTTATTAATTATTCGAGATAAAAGGTTAATATTTAAATTCAGATTCAACACCAATTTAATTTATTCAGCATTATATATAATTAAAAATTACAATTACATCGCTTAATGAATTGAGTTGATGATATTTTTCTTTTTTGTAAAAATATTTCATTTTTACAAAATGAATAAAAATTGATACATCGTTATATATAAAAGTATTATGATATATATTTCAATATTCAGTGCCCAAGAACTAAAGATTAATTCTAAAAAGTATTATGCAAGAATGAAGACAATTTCATTTAGGAATATCAAATTAATTTACAGTGTTGTAATGCGATTCAAAAAATTATTAAATTTTGGGCTGTGGATCACTCATTGTTCAACTTTGCTTTAAGCATATCATCATAAATAGTGTAAGGCACTTTCTATATATTTATGTGTATATATGAATATATATTTACGTATGTATTACTAAAATTATATAAATTATAATTATAGTATAAAAAAATATATAAAAATGAAATAAAAAGCAAAACATATTTTATTTATAGAATTACACCAAGAAAAAAAAATAATTAAAAAACGTATTGCGTCATATATATATACTTATTGGATATTTGTATTCGTATTATACAGTAAATTACTAAAAAATTATAGTATATAAATTAAAAAATGAATTACAAAGTATTATAATTTACAATATTATACTTTTTTGTATTTTGAGCGAATAATGAAATTAGGAGAACCCGAGTTTCAGAAAGTTTCAATTTACATTCTGAAATTGAATTTGTAGGGGTCCGTCCGGCATACGATATCATATTAAAATATTTTTATTATAAATGAGTTTTCGGAAAAAAAAAATTTTATGTGTTGTTTCTTTTAAATTTAAATTTTGTGAAAAAAAGTTATTTTAAACAAATGTATCTACAGAACAATAAGCTTAATGCACACGATTATCTAGTGGTCTCTGTGTGCCTTAAAAAGTAGTTTGAAAATTTTTCGGAAAAAAAACTGAAGTGAATCATTTCTTTCGTACCCAAAATCCATAAGTTTAAAAAGTACTTCATTTGAACTATTTTATTATTCAAGATTTTTTTTTAATTTTAAAACAATTTACTGTATAATATTTTCATATAATATAAAAAGTTTTTGTTTTTTTGTTCACTGTAAAAATATATATATTAAAATTATACATATACTGAAATTGTTAAAAATATTTGATATATGTATACATATTTAAAATACATGTATGCAAGAAATTTGTTAGAATTTTATAAAAAAAAAATTAAGCAATTTTCATTTAATTTTTATGCATGTAAAAACAAAGTACATTGATTTTGTAATTTTGAGAGTTTTATTTGGAAATTCTGGTTTTATTTTTTTTTATTGTCTATTGTATTATAAAACCCTTGACTTCAAAGTTGCAGTATAATTATAATTCTTCGTACTAATACATAATTCAACAACGAAGATCTGTAAGTTGAATTGTGTATTAATATCATATTACTGTAATTTCGAAGTCAAAGAATTTGTTCTTAATAAATACTGGCATTTTTAAATGCTAAAGCGAACATTAACACTTATAATGATGAACAGCAGCTTACTTATAATGATTTATTATAACAATATTAATTAAAATATATAAAACAAAAACAAAAAAAAAAACAAAAACATAATTTACAAGTATTTTGTGGTATGCAATATTGCACGTATAAGAATTTTTATTACTGAAAGTATATTTAAATACATAAAAATATTAATTTGATTTAGTTTTTGTTTTTGAAGATACTTTAAGCAATTGTATTTTCCACTAAAAGAAAATAAAATGCATACGAAAAGGAATGCCCCTAACTTCAAAATTACAGTAGATACAATACATAATTCAGCTTATAAGTTCTAATTACTGAACATGTTCTAATGTATGAACAGTATTACTGCAACATTGAAGTGAGCGAAACAAAAAGTAAAAATTCATTATCATTTTCAATTAATGAAAAATAAATTTCAATTAATAAAAAAAAATTTATGTATGTTTTAGTTTCATTTTAAATTATGAATTCTAATGTATATGTACATATACATAGTTTTATTTTTGTAGAAAAAAAATATATTAGTTTTGATATAAATGTAAATTTTGAAATATTAATCTTTAATTTGACCTAAAATTGTGTAACACATACATTATTCACATAGAACAAAACTTTTCAAATTATTTTTTCTAATGCACCACTTTGAACAAAAAATTAGACATTTTCTTTTAGCACTTTTGCTCTTTGTGGTTATTTAACTCTTTTTAAGAGTTTTTGCGTTTGTTTATTGAGACAAATTTTTTAATTTTAGTGCGCGAAAATTTTTGTTCTACGTGAACTTTCTTTGAATCACATCATTTTTGTTTTGACATTTAATTGAATTTTGTTTTTGGTAGTTTTACACCACACATTATTAAGAAAAAAAATAATGGTCATAATAATTGTCAATTTTGTATTTATAAAAAAATAAAAATAAAAAAAAATATTTCAGTTTCTAAAAACAAAAATTACATATAAAAAATTTATGTTAATAAAAATATATAAATACACAATAATTATGTAATAGCTTATTTACTGTTTATATATTTGAGGGTTCTTTCTGAGAATCTAAAAATAATATAAAGGTTACTTTTGATACGATATGATTCCCAGAATTAGACCTCTTAAAATGAACAAAATATAAACAGAAATAAATCATACAATATTTTTATTATACCATTACATTATTAATTGTTTATATATATTTTTTAGGAATGGGATTAAAAGCAATTTTTTTCAAATTCTTACAAAGGTACCTATGTCACAATATTTTTTATTGACATTTTTTCTCTTTAATTTCGTTATGGTCTTCATTGTAATTGTAACAGGCCTAGTAAAATTAATATAATCAAATCTGAAAATTTCTCCCTTAATAAACCCTTAAATCTTAGTTGCGTAAATTAAAGAAAATCATTTTCTCAAAAATTATTTTCGCTAATATATATAATAATACCAATTTTATTTTTATATTGTATATATCTTTTATAATTTTAATCGCATATCGTGTTTATCCTTAATCTAAAAAAAATCTTTATTCGATTCAGGAAGTTGTCCTTGCTATCCTTTTTATAACTAAATTATATTTTTGACAAAAAAAATTTAATTGTTACCATGCTCCCCTCTCCTTTCCCCTCGTCTACCAATTGGTTAATTTCTCTTAAATTCTAAAAATTATATAACTTCACAACGAATACGATAATCAATAAAAATTTTAATATACATTATTTTTTTTCTGGTTTTAATTATGCAATGAAAAAAAAAAATTTTAATTAAATTGAAAATTTCAGAAAAGTTTACGAGAATACTGTTGACATGTTTGCAAAATATTTTCCCATCCGCTAACCTTAAAACTATATCTAGATAAATACTTTTAAAAATATAATATTTGTACATATATGTATGTATAAATTTATTTTCCCGGCTGGCAATGTTATTTGAGCTGTCATATTATTAATCCTAGATATTTTAGCGACAAAAAATACACTTGCTTTCTTAGTATAAAGAAAAAAATTGAATATTTATATAATTAAACTCGCGATAATACGGTTATATTTATATATATGTATATATATACATCTATATATATGTATATTGTATGCATGCGTCAATATACAAATATTTATGTATATACTACATAATGTATAAAAATTACAATACATAATATGTATATAAAATTTCTATATTATAATGATAAAAATATGTACATAAATAAAATTTTAGAAATTGCAGAATTCAAAAATAAAAAAAAATAAATGAGAAAAACATTGAAAATTAACAAAAAAAATTGTTTTAATTTTCATTTTGTCTTCATTTTCAGGACACTTAAGAGTTTACTATTATAGTAACGGATAGAAAATTAGCTAATGCCACGATCAGTGGCATTTAAAGAAAAAACCAGCAACGAAGCCAAAAATTCGTAATATTTCGTACAAAAAATTGAGTATTGGGACTTGTTAGATATAAAGACATTAATTTTGTTTATATTTTATTTCGTCTTCTTGTAAAACACCAATTGTTAACTGCTATATATGTAGATGTCGCTAAAAAATGGAAAACACATACTGTTTATACTCGCATACACGAACAGTTTCTTTTCTGATGAAAAAACTTACACTAGTAATATATGTGTCTTTGCTTATAATATATGAAAATATTTCAGTGCTGCAACACTTTGGTTATTATCGTAATTTTTAGTATAAATATATTTAGATAGATTATATAATAATCATGGTTTTTTATGTTACAATAAGTATTTAATTAAACTTTAACCACGTTCCGAAGGAGAACTAACTACTACTTTGGTGGTAAACAAGATGGAAAAAAAAAACATAATTATTTATAGGTTCCAATTTCGGAAATTCTAGATTGTGGCTGATTTCGAATAATTTGCCATTTTTATTTGGCAACGCTGCTTTTAAATCAAATACATACTGTTAATTGACAATACTATTCTATAAATATTATGTATATTACATATCGTCGGCAAAACTGTGATACCTCGTAAGTGCAAATATTTCCAAAAGTACTTTATCAATTTTCTGTTTATGAAATCTCAAACAGTCAATCTTTAAAATTTACGAAACAGTAAAAACTAATAAATAATTACATATTCTTTAAATAATTTTCATATTTTCATAAATTTAAAAGATGGATTGTTTGACATTTCCTAAACAGAAAATTGGTAAAGTACTTTTGGAAATATTTGCACTTACGTGGTATCACAGTTTTGCCGACGATATGTATGTGAAAAAGAAGGTAATATCAGTATGTAATTAAAATTGAGATGAGGTGAACAACTGTTTTATTTTACCATTTTTTTAAATTTAAAAAATAATAAAATATTACTTTCTCACTTTTACATATACATATATTTATATGCATGTGTAAAAAATATTAAAAATGGCAGCAGCTTACAAGTCAAATAATAAAATTGGAATTGAAGTTTTACCATTATCATCATCATCGTCACCATTATTATTATCTTCTATTTCACCAAAAAATTTTAAATATATTTTATCAATTAGTTATGAAGATAATTTAATTGGATTTACATATTATGATATTAATAAAATGGAAATAACAATTGCTAAACCAATTATTGATTTAAAACCAAATTTCAATAATTTAACAAATATTTTTCGTTTTTTAAAACCAGATATTATATTACTTAGTTGTTATTACAATTTAAATAATAATGCTTTATTAAAAAATATTAAATTTTTAATGGAACAGTATAATAATAATAATATTAATGATAATATACAATATGATATTAATATAAATGAAAGTGATTCAAAAATGAATAATATAATTATAATACCAATTAATAAAAAAATTTTATACAAAAATCGTGAATTAATATTAAATATTAAATTACCAGGTAATATAAGAGATGATATTACAAATGATGAAAAGAAAATTTTACTTGAAAGGTAAGTATATAAATTCGCAACTCCTTAAAACTTTATAATTGGAGTGAAACTCTAATTGGAGTGAATGTTTTAAATACTATTCAGTGATTACAATTCATATAATTAATGCAAGAATGTTATAAGCTTTCAGGCTTTAAACTAAAATTTTATTTTTGCAATGCAATATTAATTTGATCAATTTTAAAATTTAATATCAAAATTTGTGTTGTGTTCAAATATAATAGAATACTTATTATTCCTCCATATTACGTGGAGGAATTAATTATTTTTTTCATTTGCCATTTTATTTTGATAATTTTAAATTAAACAGATTTTTATATTATCATATATACATATATTTTTTTTTTCAAATTTTAGTATTTTTCCACTAGAAGTTCCTTCAGTTGTCAATTCACTTGGAAATTTAATAAATTATTTGAATATAAATTATAAAAATTTCAATAATAATAAAAATTATAATAATTTCAGTATAATAACAAATATTCGTACATTTAATTTAAAATCATATTTGATTATTAATGATATAACAATTGATTATATACAAATTTTTAATAAAATTGATTATTTATCATCATATAAATTATATAATAATAACAATAATTATTATAACAATAATAGTAACAAATTAAAAAAATATAATAAATATTCATTATTTTATATATTAAATTTATGTTATACAAATAATGGCTATAAAAATTTAAAATTATTATTAAATCAACCATACAGTAATAATTATGATATTAATATTAACTTAAATACAATTGATTTTTTACGTTATAGTAATAATAAAATAAATATAATTAATAATATAAAATTATATTTAAAATATATTAATGACATTAATATTAATATTAAAACATTATTATTAAATTATAATAATGTTAATGAATGGATAAAATTAAAAAAATCATTATATTTTATATATAAATTAATTCAATATTGTAACAATTTATTGTTATTAAATAAGAATAATAGAAATAATGATAATAAAACAATAATTAATTTAATATCAAATTTAAATTATGAATGTATTGAAAAATCACTATATATAATTGAAAATATAATAGATTTAGATCAAATGAAAATCTATATGAATAAATTTGTTGTTAAATGTGGTGTTGATAGTATATTAGATAAAAAAAAACTTCAATTGTATAATATTAAAGATGAATTAAAATATAATATTGAAAAAGAAAGTGAAAATATACCAATAATATTTAATGAAATCGATGGCTATTATGTACCAGAAATCGGTTTTGTATTATGCATACAATATGATGGTATATTATTTCCATTTAATATTGTTGAAACTAAAACAATTAAATATTTTTTTAATTGGGATAATAAATATTTTTTTAAAACAGAGTATTGTGAGAAATTAAATCACATGTTTGGTAAGTAGCTATATACATATTTTGATTTGATGTCCGATAATTTGAAATTTTTGCCAGACCCATCTATTGAGCTTTGTTGAAATCTCCTCCAGATTTCAATTTTAATTTCTGTCATACATCAAAATATAAAAATCTAAAAACAGAAAAAAAGGAAAAGTGTACGTCATACAAAAACCAGATTTTTAGAGAAAAAAAAATGTTTTGATAATTTCATTTTTATTTCATCTTTCTTTATATCCCCTCCTTAATAATAAATCGTATATTAACAATTGGTTAACTTTTATAGACCTTTGATTTAAGGTCAGTAGATGTCGCTAAAAAAATGGGAAACACATAATTATGTGTACTGTTTCTTTTACGACGAAAAATTTTATACTAGATTTTAATAAAATTTTACTCTGAGTCTTTGATAAGCGAAAGTAGAAATTTTTCTTAAGATTTTGTTTGCATAAGTTTAGGGAAATTGAAATTATTAATTTTGGATGTAAAGCAGCCTAAAAATAAACAATAATTATTAGAAAAAAAAATTTTTTTTTTCTGTTTTAAGAACTAAACATCTTTTAAAGAGAAATATAAACTTTCAAAGTCAATTGCTTTTAACTAAATTTTTATTTTGAAAGTGCAATATAATATTAAATTCCGCAATTACAGTCAAACACGCAATTTTTGTATAGAAGTATACAAAGATAAATTTCCATATACTTATACATATTTGACTCGCCTAGTAAAAACTCTCTTAAAATCACGTAATTCTCGAAATCAACGTAATCTAATTTCATTCAATTTCACTAGTCATTCAATTCAAAATCATAAAATTTATCATAAAATTTGATAAAAAAATTACAAAAAATGCGGGGGAACAATTCTAATCTTTTTAAGCATGAATATTTTTGCTTACGACATCTGTTGGCAATTTTTTTTTACAGAACTATTGAATGTAAACGCATTTGTTTTTAGAATGTGCCCGTTGAAATAGTTATCAGTTACGATTTATAGTTGTCATTGTTTTCAGTTTTTCTATTTGTTTTAAATATTTTCACATAATGTGAATTAATCTGGGCATCATTTTATTTACAATTCACTTAAAAACACAAATTCTTGGACATTTTTCTATGTTATATTTAGCGTTTTGGACTGTAATTTAGTGTGTTTGAATTGATTTAATAATTAAACCTGTTGAAGACGAGCATTTATATTTTGGAAGAAACATAGCATTAATGCAATGGGGGTAAGATTAAATTATTGTTTCCTAATTTTATTTCATGCTTTTAGTTTGTTATTGCTTTTTAGATTTGTGATCATAAGATGAGACCTCACATGATTCACATACATATGCATACACACAAAGTGTTGTGAAATCACAGTATAAGTAAATGACGTTATGTAATTAAATGACTTAGATGGTGACAATTGACGTGCCTAAATGACTTAGATGTAGTGACAATTGACGTGGAAAGTTCACTACATATGTACATTTAAGTCACCTTAATTAAGTTTATATATTATCAATGTATTTAATGCTCACCTTTCTTTTAGTGCTAATTTTTTCCTTTTCATTTCTAAAAAAAACATGTCGAGCCATGTCTTCGTAATTCTTGGATTTTTCTGTGATTGCAATTTTTTTTGCACCTCTTCTTTTTTTAGTTCATAAATTTTTCTCGCATATCTTGTTAGTTCATTAGCCGTTTCGTTGCCTTTTATTAATATTTCGGTAATTTTCTCGTAAAAATCTTGCTGTATTTTTATTTGCTTTTCAATCAAGCAGTTTTTTGAATTTTCACTTTCTTTTCTTTTTCTTGTAGACCGCTTCTCGGTAACTTCCAAATTGGTTACCTATTTCTCAATGATTTTGTCATCTATTGCAATTTGGTTGGGAGTTGGTTCTGCGGCAAAGTATCCTTCTATTGCTCTCAGACTAAAAACATCATCGTTTGTTTATGGCACCTGAGGTTTCCTAACACGAAGCGTTGAGATTTAGTTTATTTATTACCCCTTGTTCTGTTGGTGTCAATGTTTTTTATTCTACTAGGACTAACACAGATGCCTTTTTAATTGCCTCAATTAAATTCAATTTGCTTTTTATATAGTTTGTATAATCTGCCTACACTTAAAAACAAAAACCAAGCACTATGAATTATCATTTATTTCAAAAAAGACATTTACTGTTACGACATTTTTGTCAAAATATTTACTGTCGAGGTTTCACAATAATGTCTTGACAGAATGTTTTGAAAGTCAATTTATATTTCATTATTTTTCAAATAAAATACCAGGCCTACAGATATGATAAGTAGTTTGTTACAAATATGTTTTATTTTGATCCTTTTTGACAATTTTAATTTTAATGAAAGTAAAAGGTGATCATGAATGATAGATAGTAAGCAAAATATTAATTTTCTGATCATGATATTTAAATATTCACTTTGAGTTTTTATTGTAAATATTTCTTTTTTGTTTTTTTTTTTTATTTTAGGTAAAATATGGCCAGATATTGAAGAGCATGAATATCGTGTAGCTCAACGTATATTAATATATATATATAATAATTTACCATATATACAAAATATAATTGATATTATTGGTAGATTAGATATAATAATATCATTTACAAAAATAACCGTTGATAATTCATTAAATAGACCGAAATTAACTGATGATGCAAATAATAATATACTTAATATTGAAAATGGTTGGAATTTTTTATATAAAAATTTTAATTTACAAAAAAAATATAATTATAATTACAATAATAATAACAAAAATAATAATGATATTAATAAAATAATAAAATATAATACAAATATAAGCAGTAATAACAATAATAATAATAATAATAATAATAATAATAATAATAATAATAATAATAATAATAATAATAATAATAATAATAATAATAATTTAATAACAATATTATTAGCACCAAATGGATGCGGTAAAACATTTTATTTAAAACATTTACTATTAATTATATATATGACACATATTGGTTGTAATATATCAGCTGATATATGTAATATAAAATTATTTGATTATATATATACATGTAGATATCAAATTGAATCAATTTATTGCGAAAATTCATCATTTTTAAATGATTTAAAACAAATAAATAATATTATTATTAATTCAACATCAAAATCATTAATTATTATTGATGAATTTGGTAATGGTACAATACCAGATGAAGGTGAATCATTATTATGTTCAATTATTAATTATTTTAATTTAAAATCAATAAATAATTGTCCAGTAATATTTATTGCAACACATTTTATAAACTTATATAATAAAATAATTAATTCAAATATCATAAATAATGATAATAATGATTTTGTTAATAAAATAACATATAAAACAATTGAATATAATATAAATGATAATGATATTATTATATCAAAATATAATATAATAAAATTTAATGATAATGAAAAATTATTAAATGAAAATTATACTGAAAAAATTTGTAATATTAAAAAATTTTTAAATGATTATTATATTTCAAATGATAATAATAAAAAATATTATAAAAAAAGATTATATAAAAATATTGCATATACAACATTCATACAGTACGAAAAAATTCTTTTTGGTATATTTTTATATCAAAACATTGAAAAAATAATGAAATTAAATTTAAACTAAAATTAATAACCACAAGTCAAAAAATTCGGAACCGAAAACATCTGATGAGAGCAGTCAAGATGAAAATTAATATTTTCTTTTTTTTTTGGCGAAAATACCATACGTAAAAATAAAATCAGACTTTTTTTGTTTTAATATCATTTATAATTAATTTTAAAAGTTTTTTGTAAAAATTGAATTTTTGAATATTCTGTATGAAATAAATATTTTTTTGTTAACATTTCACAAAAAAATTGGGGTTTTTTCTTTTAAAAAGAATTTTAATTCATATTGTTTATTTTAATTTATAAAAGCAAAAAGAATTATAAATTGTTTAGCTTTCATAAACTAATTTTTTTTTTTAAGAAAATAACTATTTTATCATGAAATTTATATTGAAAGACTATCATTAGTAATTAGTGAAAAAAAAATTGTTGAACCTCGACAAATCACTTGAAAGAAAGTTTTTCCAAAAATAAACAGCTCCTCTTAATTCTTGGACTCCTCTGAAGGATTCAAAAGCATCTTGTTTGAATTTTGATTAACTGACTAATTTTCTGATCAATCGCAATACTTGTATGCTTTCTTGTAATTTTTTGATTGATATTCGATTTATGTAAATTACAGCTGTTTTGATCTGTGGATCAATCAATAATAGAAAAATATAACGTAAATTCAACATTGCTATCATTCACTATATTGCTATATCGCTTGTGATCTTTAAGAACAAACTTGTATGAGCTGTACTAAAGTGAATAGATAATTAAAAGATTTTTTTTTAGATTTTTATTTTTCTTTAATATACATATAGTTTTTTTATTTTTTTTTTTTAGAAATAAATAAATTACAGAAACTGTTTTACAATTTTTTTTTTGTCTATAAATTTGTTTCTTCTTTAGATATACAAATTTAAATATACAACATTACATAAACATAATATACTCTACTTATAGTTGTCGTAAATGTATATTTTTTTATTTTTTTTTTTATTTTTTTATATAATTCTTTAATTTGTAATATTATATTTTTTAATATTGTATAAATAATTTTTTATATACATACATATTTATAGATAGATATGTATTACACATGTATGTTTTAGAGAAAAAATGTTTCGTATTTTTTAAATAATTAAATCAAATAAAAATAAATAAATATAAATTAATAAGCAATATTGAAATTATTATTTAATAAATAGCAAATACACCGATTGAAATAAAAAAAATATTAGTTAATTATAATAAAAGAAGGAAATATTGGTCATTAGTTGCTCTTTTATATTATGAAAAAAATTGAAAATGTATAAGTTTAATTATTTAATTGAAACTTGTAATTGAAGAAAATAAAATGAGATATTATTTTTTCTTCCACTGGTTTCTTGTTGTCAAATATACAACAATTATAAAAATATAAAAAAAATAGCATTAGAATATAAATAAGTCACCATCTTATTTTTAAAATTTTCTAATTGCCTTTTTTTTTTGGTTTTTTTTTATTTTATTTTCATTTTCAATTCCTCTCCAATAAATAAAGGAATAATTTTTATAAGTTTTATATTTTGAAATTTTATGCTCATCTAGAAATTATTATAACAAATGAAAGTACTAACTGCAGGGTACAGATTGTACGTTTAAAGAAAAGACACACAAAAAATATTTTAATAATTATAAAAAATTATAAAATTTTCACCTATATTTTTTTATTTCTTTCGATGTTTTACAAAAATAAAATGAAATTTAAAATTCATTTAATTAAATAAAAAGTGGTTTTTTTTATTTCGTTTATTTTCAAAATTATTTGAAAAAGTTTTTATGTGCTGTTTTTGTGTAGTTGGAAAGAAAAGAATAAATTGTTTAATTGTCAATATTTTTTTTTCATCTTCTTTTGTAGTTAGTGTATGTTATTAAATTTCATATTTTTTTATTTTTGTTTTATTTTCTAATTTTTTTTATTTCAAATTGAAATTTAAGTTTTTTTTCGTTATTTATGTTAATTTCTTTTTTTTTTAACTTGCACTGGAGTTTTTTTTATTTGAGAAACAAATATAAACATTTTGTATTCTTAATCAAAATTTTGTTTATTGATTTTTTAATTTTCTTTTCTTCCACTTTTTGTTTTTTTTTTTTTTGTATTCGTAAAATCATTCATTTTTCTATTTTTTCATTTACTTTTTTTTAAAACTATAAATAACGGTACGCTAAAAATTTACTCAAGAATTAAATGGATTTTTAGAATTCACAAAATTAGAGCAAAAATCACACAATATTTTTGTCATTTTTTATTTATTCATGCAATTGTTCTTTATAGTAATATATAAAACAATGAATAAAAAAAATCAAAAGAAAGATGCTGTTGTTGTTGATTTTAATTTTTAGTTGAGGATGCTGCTTTCTTTTTTCATTTTTTTTTTCTTTTTTTGCTGAATATTTTTAATGAACAAATTGCGATTTGAAAATTATATAAGGACACGATATCAAAATGAAATTTTGAAAATAAAATTTGTGGAAGTTGATAGTGAAAAAGAAGAGTAAAATAGAAAGAGGTAAAAAAGTTGTTTGTACAAAAAAAAAGATAATTATTTGACTATTTTTTTTTTTTTAATTTTGAGTAAATTTTTTTAAATATCAGTAATGTTGTCTATAAATACTTTATTTATTGATTTAAAAAAAAAATCCTGTCGGTTTATTTTTTATTTTAATTTCGTTCTTTCTCTTTTTTTTATATAATAAAAAATTGAACGTGTAATTATGTTTTGTTGTTTGTATTGTATTTCGTTTGATGTTTTCTTTTGCCGAATGAAAATAAAGAACGACAGGTCGATTAAAATTATAAATTCGAGTTTTTTTTTTGTGTTATTTTTATATAACCGGTTTTTTTGTTTTTTTCATAAAAATAACGTATAAATATATACATATACATATTAATAAATATAAAAATATACATATGTATTTCTCTTTGTTTTTATAAATTTACAAAATAATTAAAGTTGTAAATAACTTTTATTTTACCGACGAGAGGACAAGGTGTTTTACTTTTTTTTCTTTTCTTTTTTTATTTATTTTCATATACAATATTTGATAATTATTATATAATTAAATATTACGTGTGTATAATTTTAAAATAAATTTCTTTTTAATTCAAATGTTGGAATAAAATTAAATAATTAAATCTTTTTTAGTAATGAGCTTGTCTTGATATTTTTAGACAAAACTATAAAAAAAAATATTTCTAGAGAAAGAGTTCTACTTACAAATATAATAATTATATAACCATTATAAATTGCAGACACACGCGAACAGAAAAGGGTTTTCTGTACTGATGGTAATTGCAATGATTTTTTAAAATAATATATATATATATAATGTTCACGATATATTAATTGTATATGAAATAAGCAAAAAAAAAAAACAAAAAAAAAAAGGAAAAAAATTTTTTCTTTTTACAGTCAAAATAATATGAAATTTTTCTTTCAAATTTCAATTTTTTTTCGTATATGTATTTATATATATCACATGGTATATATATAACATTATTAATTTTTTTTAGATATACCAAATTAGAATCATATTAATATAATTAATTACATATTATTTATAATTTGTTTTTGATGTTTGATTCACATAAAATTTACAAAGCTCAATTTTGTGTGTAATTGTTTATTTTTCAGATTACATAACTTATCATATTATGCAATAAATACAATTATATGAAATATATTTGAATTTTATTATCACACAAAACACAGTTATAGTAAATTAACAATAATAAATAATATGAGTGTAAAGTATTCTTGCCATTAGTGTCAAAATTTTTTTGTTTGTTTCATGTAATATTGTGTACATTTTTTTTCTTTTGAATGGACTAATTAATTAAAAATTTTTTTTTTCATTTTTTTTTTTTTTTGTATCAAAAATTGTATCCCTATTTCATATATAGTAGTAATATGAGTATGTATTGTGTAAAAAAAAGAATTAATAAAATAAAGGGAGGAAAAGGTGAAAGGAAGTGGGTGGAATATTAAATATGGAAATTTTGAAAAATATAAAAATGGGTAATTAAACAAATAAATTAAATTCGAAATGAAGAATAGAGAGATAGAAGGGGAAGGAGACAGAATCATATGGGAAAATATAAACAGAAATAGAGATAAATTTATATATATAACATATTATATAATTTTTGTTTTGTTTAGTTTTGTATACATAGAAAAAGAAAAAAGAGTGTAATTTTAAGTTATTTTACAATAAATTTTAAAAATTTAAGCTATTTTCTTTTTTTTTTGTTTTTTTTTTATATATTTAAATATGTGTTATTTTTTATATTAACTATTAACTTTCTTTAATTAAATTAAATTGGTTTTTTTTAATACAACAATTATATATATGTATACATATAAATGTACATATACATATATTTTTTATATATATATAAATATTTTTATTATTTTCATATAAAAAAAAATTTTTTATGAATCAGTCGTATAAACATTTATTGAAAATGAAGCAAAAGTTTCACCTTTTTTACCAATTGCTTTAGCTTGATATTGTCCAACATCTGTCATTTCACATTTGATGATTTCAAATTTATATTTACTATTATCCTTTAAGAATTTATAACGTTGACTTGTTTCATCAATTTGTTTACCATCTTTTAACCATGTTAATTGTAGTGGTTCCTCACTTAATTCACATTCAAATGTTGCTTTCTCTTTTTCAATACATGTTACAGATGTTGGAAATTTGATAAATTGTGGTTGTTTAGCATCTTCACCAGGTACTAATACATTTATTGTACATGTACTGAACGATTCACCAGCATCATTAAATGCTTCACATGTGTATGTACCAGAATCTTCTGGGAATATTTCTGCTATTTGTAATTTATATATATTTGCTTCATTTGTATATTGAAAATCTTTTGATGGTTTAATTTCTTTATTATTATGTAACCATACAACATCAAAACGTTCAGCACCAATAATACGGCATGCTAATGTAACACATTCACCATCTTTAACAAAACGTGATTCTAAATGGCTAACAATTTTTGGTGGTTTATCAGCACCTGTTTGACGTTTTGTTGAATCTTTTGCCATTGCTACATTTAAAATAACAAAAAAAAAATAGATATTGTTATAAAAAATAATCATAAAAAATAATTAAAAATTAAAAAAAACTTACGTTTAATTGTTAATTTTGATTTTGTTTCAATTGAACCCATTGAATTTGTTGCTGTACAAGTATATACACCTTCATCTTCTGGGAAAACTTCATGTATTGTTAATGTTGCAATACCATTTTTATATTTAAGATCTACAACTTCAGATGATGATATCGCTTTACCATTTTTATGCCATGTTATTTGCGGTTCCGGATCACCTTTTACAATACAACTTAATAACAATTGTTCTCCATCTAATATTGTTACATCTTGTAATTGTTTTGTAAATTCTGGTTTAACCATTGATGCATCATCGGGTGGATCTAAAAAAACATATATGTTTATAAATAATATAAATACAAATTACAAGAAAAAAGAAAATTATTATTTTTTTAATGAAAAAAAAATCAACTTACGTATTAATTCTTTTGTCGCACTTCTTGATCTATTACCATTAACATTTGAGTTTAATCTTCCATATCTTTTCTTATTGCTACTGTCGGAAATGCTTGAGGAACTTGAGTCTTTATTTACAGTCTATATATAAAAAAAATTTTTTTTTTATGTAAAGGTATTTGATTTTTTCAATCCAGATTGGATCATAAAAATAATATATTGAGAGTAATTTTAATTGTACATAGATTAGAATGGAATGAGAAAATAAAATTAATATTTAATACCGAAAAAAAATTAATTGTTTTTAATTTTACTTCTACATTAAAAATTTAACAAACTAATGAAAATGCAAAAATTGCTACAGGTAATCAAATAACTTTAGTTATTTGATTACCTGTAACAATTTGTGAATATACAGTTGTAACAATTGTAACAATTTGAATATACCTGTAACAATTTTTATAAATATGTTTTGAATTGTTGTCGCTAACAAACTTATGTATAGGTATATTATTTATTATTATTACACTTACCTTGCTAGGTGACGATGTACCTTCTTGATTCTTTGTCACTAGTGTTCTTGTTATTATTGGTGGTGGAGCTGGCTTCAAAGGTTGTTCAATATATTTGCGATCTATTTGTATACATATGTATATATATACATACATATAAAATTATTAAAAATATTTTCGAAATAAATGGAAAAAAACATACATTAATATTAATAAAATTAATCAATAAAAAGTAAAATTAAAGATAAAATGAACAAAAAAAACTTGGAAACAAAAATGGGGTATAATTTTTTTGTAATTAAATAAAAATATACATATATGAGTATATACAGAGAGCATTTGAATTATAAACTAGCATGTAAATCAAATCAATATTATCAAGGAAAATAATTAAAAAAATAAAACAAACTAAATAATACTTTACTACTAAACTAAATTTCATAAAAGATGCTAAAAAAAGAGTGTAACATTTATGCAAAATTTGATTATTTAATTTTTTTCTTTCATTTAATTTTAAAACTTTAAAAATATTTATTTGATTATAAAAGAAAACCAGATAACTAAAAGGAATTACATTAATTAATTTGAAAATTTTGATATTTTAATTATCTAAGGGGTAAAAAATATATATATATATATATAAAAAATACGCCAAAAATATTTTATTATTATAATTTTTTTATACACCATTTTTTAGTTCTATTTTTTTTATTTGCATATTTTTATATTTCAATAAAATTCACTTAAAAAATTACAATAACATTTTTAAAATATTTACATCCTATATTATATAAAAATTGTTATTATTAGTTTGTTTAAAAACTTAAGAATAAAAAGAATTAAATTTTATATTTTGAATTAGTTTTTTTTATATTATTATTAAATAAATATAAAATTTAAGTATTAATTTATTTAAGACATGCTTAAAATTTAAAAATCAAAATATTTTTATTAAAAAAAAATATATTTTAAATTTCCAAACTCATTAATTAATATTAATAAAATAGAGGTAAGTCGATAATTTAACAAAAATGATGTAAAATATTTAATACCCTGATTTTATAAACCAACTCCCTTCTTTTTTATTAAGCAAGTGAGAAGAAATATTGAGTGATTGAATATTTTCATGTTAAGTTGTTGTTGGATAGAGGAACGAAAAAAGGGACGAGGTTAAAATGCACAATCATGCAATTATATTATAAATAAGATATTTTTCAGTTTCTTTTATTTTATCGGCTTACTACTACTATTGTATATTCGTTCTTTGATTTTGTAATATTTCATTTTTGTTTTTTAAGCATAATATTTAATTTTAAGTATGTATGCACAAAAATATGATAATATTCTATAAATCTACAATAACTAAAATTATAATTTATAAACTATGATAAAATGAAAAGAGAACCCTAAAGGCTAGAGTTGGAGGGGGGAGCGAAAGGAAGGTTCCTTTTTGAACAAATAACAATTATTAGCCACTATTATGGAATACACAAGTATATATTTACACAAAATGAAATGAAAATTCTCAAGCATACAAAATGGGAATTTGGGATCCAAGTTTTAATAATCACTCAATAAGAAATTTTATGAATAAATTTTTCCATTTTGCAATCAATACTAAATATTCTAAATATTCTTCAATAGAGCTAATACTTCTTGTACAGAAGTACATACATGTATATGCAATAAGACAGATAACTTTAATTAAATTAACAAAAATTTAGGCAAAAATATTAAATATAATTTTAATACTTATGGAATATTATAAGAACAATAAATTTTATTTTTGTTTTTACATTACATTACATATAATGAGATCTTCTAATTTCATAGAGATTTTAAAAATTCACCGCTTTTAAAGTTGGAACTACAATTTGTTTTAATTTGTAGCTCTATCTTTAGTTTGTACTCGAATATTTCAAAATTTTGCAATTCTAACTTTAGAAACTTGAATTCTAAACTTGAGTTAAAAACTCTTTATTATTCTTTTAATGTAAATTAAGTTTTTTTTTTGTTTTTCGTAAATTTTTTTTGGTAACTTAAACATCATGCAATTTTATTATTATTATTACTACATAAAATATTAAAGAGTTGAAATTATTTGATCATATAAGGAAAAAATAAATATAAAACATTAATATTTGTATTGAATAAATGTTAATAATATATTTAAAAGTTTAGTTACAATTTTATACTAAATCGATTAAAAAAACCTAAGTCATTTGCAATGACTATAAACTAAAATTTAAAAATTCAATATGTGTGTGGAAATTAATGTAAACCGTTTTATAATGTGCAAGCTTATTTCTTAGAAATCTTTTTCATTAAAAAACTCGTATTGTAAATAATAGTAAATATTAAATTAAAGATTGTAAAATTGTAAAAACTATGTAAGCTAATAAATTAAAACAGTAAAAATTTAAATACTTTCTTTTCAAATAAAATATTTAAAATATATATTAAACAACATATGAATAGAAAAATTTAATAAATAGGAGAATATAATGTTCTAAAATGTGAAATTAATGTATATGTTTTGTATTAAAATACAAATGTTTTAGGAAAATGCGATATATAATACTTGTTTGTATTTCTTTGCTTTTGTTAAGTTTTTTTTATTTGAAATAAATCTTGTAACTTTTCATTACATTTCATGATTTATTATGTAATATAATTTTTTTTTTGGAATTTTTAATGTTTTGTTTGAAAGTTATATTTTTATTAAGGAATTAAGGTGATTAAGATGGATATTATAATTAATTCTTTTAATTGAATATCTATATATAGATTATTTTTCTAATTTAATTAGGATTAAAATTACTTTTAATTTATGTTTAGTGTTTATTATTTTATGGAAAAGTGTGTTGTATTTTTTTTTTAAATTTTTTATTTTAAAAATTTTAATAATAATTTACATTTCGTTTTAGACAATTAGAGTAAATACATAAAAGGCAAAATTTGAGAAAAAAAACAAATAGTGGAGACAGACAGATAAACAGACATTAATTAATTTTTTATTTAAATTTGGCAAAAAAATTTGTGTTTCTCTTTTTAATTTTATAATTTTTTAATTTATTAATTTTACCTCCAGAGTATAAGAACTTATGAGCAAGTTGAGCCTGCTCAGGAGTAACCCATTCACCTATAAAAAATTTACACAAAATTTTGTTAAATTTTATTGTATTTTATTATTATTATTATTATTATCATTATTATTATTAATTTTTATATTTCTTTTTTTATATGTTTTAAATAAAAATTAAATTGTTAACATAAAATATTATTTTTGTTTCATTCAATAAATTGATTTTAAAATATCTTTTTTTATTTTTTAAAATTATGTTGTTCATTATTGAATCCATTCACAAAATGAAAAGGAGAACTTCCTACGATTATCTTCATGAACGATTATCTTATTTTATGTAGGAGCTACCCGTATATCCAATAATAAGCATCAACATTTAAAATTAGTATTTCAAAAGTTATTGAAATTTAGATTCAAATACTAAATAACTTTCTATTAATAATATAATGATTCTTTGCTTTGTAAAATTATTATAATTTTAGAATCTGCTTTCACTCATTTCAAATATTAATTTTGAATAAGTTACGATAACAGAATAAATTTGTTTTCTTTCTAATTTAATAAATTTGAATATTTTTTTATTTATCTCATTAGCATTTAGAATTATTGAAATTATATTATTACATAAAAAAATATATCTATTTTCTTTTAAAATTGTTTTCTTAAATATTGAAAAATATTTTACTTTATATAAATCAGAGTATAATCATGAAATACAAAAAAAAAAAATATATATGTATATATACTAATATAAATAAAAAAAATTGTATATTATTATTGAATTATTAATTTATTTCAATTTGCATACCTTCAACAATAACAACGCATTCGGTTTCATCAGTACCATGGCAATTAGTAGCAACACAACGATATTTACCAGAATCAGATGGTTTACAATCAACAATTTCCATTGTAACAACACCATCTGAATGTGTCATTGAATATTCATATTTATTCAATTCACGATTTTCTTTGTACCATTTAACGGTTGGAACTGGTTTACCACTTAAACAACATAACAATTTACATGTATCACGTGCCTGCATAACACGTGGACGTAATAGGAATGTAAAACTGGGTGCAGTTTCGGATTCTTCTTGCCAAAATTGATATGGTAATGGTTCACGTCTTCTAATTGGTTGTTCTTCTGGTTTATATACCGGTGTTTCTTTTGGTAATGGATGTACATTTAAGAAAACAACTTCTTCACGTGAACCATAATGGTTTTCAGCCCTTATTATATATTCACCACGATCTTGTAACTTAACACGATTAATAATAAAGTAGTAATCATCACCAGCATAACGTTTCATAAATTTAACACTTTGTCGTAATTCTTGATTATTATGATACCAATATAACGTTGGTGTCGCAATACCAATAACACGACAATAAAATTTAACTGATTGACCTTCATAACAGAATTGTGATTGTGGTCTAATAACAAATCTTGGTGCTGCTTGTCTTCTATCAAATGATGTATCATATATTTTGTATTTTTCAATTAGTAATTTACGTAATGATGAGTATTCTGATAAACGTCCAATTGGTAAAAGATATTTATTAAAGTCTTCGTATTTCTTGCGAAGTTTATCACGGAATGCCAAATATCTTTCTCTGGCTATTTGTTCTGTACGATCACTGTGATCACCAGTTAACCATGGATGCAACAAACATTCATGTGCTGTCATACGTTTCTCTTTGTTAGCCATTAACAAACGTCTGATAAAATCTCTTCCTTCTTCAGATATATGACGGAAAGCTTCTTCATCGAAATCCCAATCACATGCTTTAACATTTTTCAATGTAGCAACGTCGTTGTCACCAGCAAATGGTGAAAGACCACTTAGTCTTAACCAAAAATTAGTAGAAAGAAATTAATTAAAAACTCAATGTTCAAACAACAATAACCAATAAAATAACTAATAAATAACATTTAATTATAAAATATAAAATTTAGGATAAGTAAGTATAATCTATAAGTGTTTGTATGTTTTATGATATTAGAGAATTAAAGATTTTGAATTCCGTAATATCGATAATTAAATTTTTATAGAATTTTTTTGATTCTTAATGAAATAAATACTTACAGAACATATGCTAGCACACCAACAGCCCACATATCTGTATAGAATCCAACAGGTTCACGATTAACTATTTCCGGTGCGGCAAATTCCGCTGTACCAGTGGATATTTTTACAACTTCATTCGGATCTAATTTTGTTGCTAATCCAAAGTCTATTAATTTTACATTAGTACTCTTTCTTGTTTGGCACATTATATTTTCCGGTTTAATATCCAAATGTATAATATTCTTTTCATGCATATGACGTATACCTTCGCATACTTGTCTCATATAATTAATAACCTCAGCTTCAGTCATAGAATAACCCTCAGCTGTGATACGCTCAAACAATTCACCACCTGATAGGAATTCAAATATTAAGACCATTTCGTCGTCATCTTCGAAAGCATCATGTAAATTGATCAATTTTTGGTGATGCAATTGATTCATAATATCAATTTCTTTCCTAATTAATTCTTTTTCCATTGCATGTGCTGTGGGTATAAATTTAGCCGCAAATATATTGCCAGTGGCACGTTCGCGACAACGATGTACTACGCCAAATGCCCCTGTACCGATTTCTTCTAATATCTCATATCTATCATATACGCTATCTTGCGATATTTCAACTGGTTGTGGCACATATTTCGAATATATATCAAATACATAAGAATCATAATCACCGATAGGTCCATCAGCTTTACCACGTATTTTTTTGCCAGTTTCATCAACTTCATATTTGCGTTCTTTATCTTTACGTTTTTGAACACCTTTTGTTGCAACTAATGTACTTATCTCTGATGGATCTGAACGACCATATACGTTTTCAGCATAAATTCGGAATTCATATTGTTTTCCAGGGGTCAAATTAGTAACAGCCATTGTTGTGAAACGTGTATTACCAACTCGTATCCATGTGGATAATGGGTGTTCACGTTTTTCAACCATATAATTTGTAATATTACTGCCACCATCCCAAACTGGTGCTTTCCAGCTTAATGACAATGAATCTGTACCAATATTCTCAACTAATGGGAAACGTGGTGGATCAGGACGGTCACTAATTTGTATTTTAATGATAGCTGTATCAGATCCTAATTCATTTTCGGCAGTTATTCTATATGGACCTGAATCTAATTTAGAGCCATCACGTATAGTCAATACGGCATGACGTTCTTTTGTTTCAACATTATAGTGACCTCCAGATTCAATTTGTTCACCTTCTCTTACCCACGTGATGCGAGGTTTAGGATGTCCAGTAAATGGAATTTTGATAACAACGTTTTCACCTTTATCAAAGTAGGCTGTATCACGGAATCTTGGCGGTACATTTAATTTCGGTGCAGCTATTTACATGGAAAAAAAAAATGAAACTTATAAATTATGTAACGTAAAAATAAAATAGGTATTAAGGCAAAAATATTTTGAATAAATAAATCTTACTCATTATAGCAAGTGAAGCTTTAGTTGATTTAACACCGCCTTTATTAACTGCACGACATGTATATTCATCAGCATCTTCACCAAATATATCCATAATTGTTAGTTTATAAGTATTACCGTCTGATGTAATACGATATTTTGAACCACTTGTGATTTCTCTAGCCCCTTTATACCATGTTATATGTGGTTTAGGTACACCAGTTATTTCGCATGAGAATTCAGCATTATGATTCACAATGCAATTAGCGTCACGTAATGGTTTAACAATAATTGGCGGCTGGGCAGCTTTTGGATCAATAATTTTAACGCTGGATGATGCTTGTGATTCTTTGGACAAGCCAGCTTCATTTTGTGCAAAGACACGGAATTCGTATTGTCTACCTTCTATTAAGTTAGGACAATTAATTTGAGTTGGCAAGCATATTGCTGCATTAACACGTTGCCATGTACTACTGCCAACTTCACGTTTATCAATCCAATAACCTTGGATTCTAGCCCCACCGTCTGATTCTGGTTTTTCCCATTCCAAATGTACAAAATCATCACCAACTTCAGATACTTTTGGTACACCAGGTGGTGATGGTGGGTCAAATGGTGCTTTAGCACGTATTGGGTTCAAACCTTCTAATGGTGGGCCCATTCCATTATCATTAACGGCCATGACACGAAATACATATTCTTGATTTTCTGTTAAACCTTGTACAACATGACTTAAATCTTTACATGTCGAGCTAACAGTTATCCAGTGTGTTAGTGAAACATCCTTACGCTCAACAACATAATGATTAATTTTAAGACCTCCATTATCAGTTGGTGGTCGCCAATTTAATGTACATGAATGACGAGTAATACTTGATACCCCCATTGGACCTGTTGGTGGTCCTGGTAGCCCAGTTACATATGCGTTAATAACACCACTAGCAGTACCACTGTCGTTTTTAAATTCAATAGTGTATACACCACCATCATCTTTATTCACATCTTTAACATAAATGGCGACATAATCGTCAAATACAGATACTCTGATGTGAGCTGAATCTGCAACTGGATGTCCATTTTTGTTTAATGTCACTTCCATAGGTTGATCGCCAGAATAAAATATTTTAACTTTAGTATTATCACCTTCTGGCCAATATACTTCATTTGGTATTCTGTTAATGATTGGAGGGGATCCTACTTTAACGTGACTTGTCGTATGTACGAATCCTAACGAGTTATGAGCTTCACAAGTGTAATCACCATCATCACCAGCTTGTACGTCTTGAATGTGTAATCTGAAATTACCATCTTTATCGACATCAGCTGTATAACGTCCACCTAATGTTATTTCTCTTCCATTCTTTAACCATCTGGCGGCTGGTGTAGGATTGCCTGTTGCTTTACATGAAAGCATATGATATTTACCCATTGGTGCTACGCAATCTCTAAGTCTAGTTACCCAATCTGGTTTCTCCCCACCAATAACTTCACATACTTTAATTGGCATTGTGCAAAGACTTGGCTCTGATCTACCAGCTGCATTAACAGCAGATACACGGAATTCGTACTCGTTCATTTCAAATAGATTAAGTACAGTATAATCTAAGTCCATCACATTATAATCATTACATTTAACCCAAATTGCACCACCAACGTCACGTCTTTCAATAATATATCCAGTAATACGTGAGCCACCATCATGTGCTGGTGGTTCCCATTTAAGGTCGACATAGTTTTTGCCAACTTTGACAACTTGAGGTGTTCCTGGTGGTGAGGGAACTGTGAATTTGCCTTTAAGTTTGAATCTAAGTGAAGGTGGAGATGGTTTACTGAAACCAGCTGCATTCTTTGCTTTTATGCGGAATTCATATTCATGACCATTTATTAAATTGTATACCTGATATTTGGTATCTTTAATGAGCCATTCAACACTGCTCCAATGTGTGTCATCAGCAACATCGCGATATTCGATCCTATAGCCTTGAATGCGTGAACCACCATCTGAATGTGGTCTATCCCACATAACTGTGCAGTTTCCGGAATCCCAATCTATAACTCTAGGTTGTCCTGGTGGATCTGGAACTGTGAACGGATATGAAGCAGTGACAGGTTCATCAGTTGCTAGTGGTTCTCCAACACCATATTGGTTTTCAGCGCGTACGCGGAAATGATACTTCCTATTAGGTTCTAAGCCCATAACATCATAATGACAGCCACGAACAAAACTGCTGACTTTAACCCATATACCACTTGGTTCCATTTTTTCAACAACATAATTTGTAATAGGAGAACCACCATCGTCTAATGGTGGTTTCCATGATAATGTACATGTATCAGGTGTAATATCATAAGCTGATAATGGTCCAACCGGTATTCCTGGCTTGTCGACCACTGTTACATGACAAGTTGCTGAGTCTGTTCCTTCAGAATTAGTAAGTTGAATAGTATAAGATCCTGTTTCAGACCGTTTGGCACATTTATTGTGATAAATTGTACAATAATCAGTTGTCTCAAATTTAATGCGATCATCTTGAAATACTTCATTATTATTGACGGTCCATGATGGTTTCGGCCTTGGATTAGCAGTGAATGGAACTGTAATTTTAAAGTCGTCTCCAGCAATAACAGTCATATCACGAATGGCTAAATCAGAAGTTATTTTTGGTGCACTTGGAGGTGCTCTACACCAAATGGCGTCTGATGATGAGCTATAAGGTCCTTGCCCTGCAGCATTGACTGCTGAAACTCTGAATTCATATTGTTGATTTCCTATCAATCCAGGTACTCTACAAAATAAAAAAAAAGAATTTTACAAATATTCTTAGTAATTTTGTAGCTTCACGAAATTCTAAGTATTTGTTAGACTTACTTGCAAGTTGTATCTGTACAAAGAGCATGAGTTGCCTTGGTCCAGTTATTGTCAGAAAGTAATCTTTTTTCCACGACATATCCAGTAATTGGCGAGCCACCGTCGTGTCTTGGTTTTGTCCATGTAATTGTAATGGAATCTTCTGTAGAATCTATTCCCCTGGGTGTTCCTGGAGCTCCAGGTACGTCGAATGGATGTCTAGCTCTGATTGGCTCTTCTGTTACAGCTGGATCGGATTGACCATATTGATTTTCAGCTACAACTCTGAATTCATACTCTCGGCCAATTGCAAGATTGCGAACTCGAACAAATGGTGTGGTACAATAGCTGCTTACTTTGGTCCAGGTTGGACTTCGAGCTTCACGTTTCTCAACAACATAATTAGTAATAGGAGATCCTCCATCGTCCTTTGGTGGATTCCAGTATAATGTTAAGGATTCCCCCGCAAATTCATCTGCTCTTAGGTTCGTAGGTGGCTTAGGACGATCTAACACTCTTACATTAAGAGTAGCCGTATCAAATCCAGAAGGATTTTTCAATTGCAAACGATACTGTCCGGAATCGTCACGTTTAGAGTTCTTAACGACAATACTAGCAGCGTCGTCAGTTAAGTTTTGGAATATTCTACTATCATCATCTAATAACCTATCATTAGCAAACCAAGCTGCAACTGGTTTGGGAAAGCCTGTATATGGTATATGAATACTAAAGTCTTCTCCGGCTCTAACCGTAATATCTCTAACCCCGCCTAAATCTAAGCATGGTTTATTAGGTTGTTCTTCAATTACGATTGGTTGACTTGGCCTTGAAGGATCAGATTTTCCAACATCATTCATGGCAATAACACGGAAAGTGTATTCTTCGCCTTCCTTAAGATTTGGTATTTTGTGAACTGTATTATTAATAGGTAGTTCATTGACATCTGACCAATCTTTGTCACCTTTAGCTTTCTTTTGTAAGAAGTAACCTTTAATTTTAGATTTTCCATCATTGCGTGGTGGACGCCATGACAAAGTAACGCTATCCTTTGTAATACGATCTGGTTTTGGAGGTTCTGGAGGATCTGGGCGATATCTTTGCAATTGAGCAATAATTGGTTCTGATGGCTTGCTTGGTTTGCCAGGTCCAGCTTCATTAACAGCAATAACACGGAATTCATATTTGCCTCCTTCGCGTAAATCTTGAACTGTAAAGCTTGTATTTGGTGTTGGATAATTATTACATTTTATCCATTCACCACCTCGTTCTCTCTTTTCAACGATATATCCGGTAATAGGTTTGCCACCACAATATTCTGGAGGATGCCATTCTAAGCTGGCAGAGCTTGGAGTATAAGATACAACATTTGGTTGACTAGGAGCATCTGGTGGATCAAATGGACATTTAGCAACAACGGGCTTACCATCCAATGGCTCTGATACACCATAAATATTTTCAGCCCTAACACGAACAACATATTTTTTGCCTTCTGTTAGACCCTTAATAGTAAAGGAAGTTTTAGGACAATATCCGGGAACTGGTTTCCAATCATCAACACCAAATTCTGCAACCTCAACAATATATCCGGTAATTTCCCCACCACCATCATCCTTAGGTGGATTCCAAGAGCATGAAATGGTATCTTGAGTTGTTTCAGTGTATGTAAGTGGTCCTTCTGGTGGCCCTGGTTTATCAACAACTATAACTTGTATATCTGCTGAATCTTTACCATGCTCATTTGAAGCAGTAACTGTATAAGTACCAGCATCAGAACGAACTGATTTTTCAATTCTTAATGTAAGTTGGTCTGATTTTGTGTCAGTAGAAGTACGATGATTTTGTGGCAATTTCAATCCTCCATTAACTGTCCATTCAACAGTTGGTGTGGGCGCACCAGTTAATGGTATGGTAATATTGACAGGTTCACCTGCGCGTACTTTAACTTTACGTCCTACCAAACCATCTAGCCACAATTTTGGTTTTTCTTTCAATGGTTTAGCTGTAAATATTGCTGAAGGATCTGATGGTTTACCATTACCAGCAGCATTAACTGCTGACACTCGATATTCATATTGATGTCCTTCACTAACACGTTCGTCTGTGAAATCAGGTTTTGGATGAGGTTCTCCATTTAGTTTAATCCATCTTCCTGTTGCTTTGTCCCGACGCTCAATGTCATAACCAATAATAGGTGAGCCACCATTGCTAATAGGTGGTGACCATTTAATGTGAATATGATCTTTATCACTATCAACTAACTCTGGTTTTCCTGGCTGGCCAGGTGGATTATATTGATTTTTAGCAACAATAGGATTATCAGAAGTTAATGGATCGGATCTGCCTTGCAAATTTTCTGCCATGACACGGAATTCATATTTAGTTCCTTCTAATAATCTAGGAACAACGGCATGATTATATTTGGGATTAACATATTGAACAGCTGGTACCCAACCACCGCCATGCGTCAGATCACGTTTCTCGATTACGTAAGCCGTGATTTCAGAACCGCCATTATCTGTAGGTGGTTTCCAAGATAATGTTGCACTATTAGCTGTAACTTCTTCATAATTAAGTGGTCCAGTTGGTGGACCTGGTCTGTCTAATACAATCAATTGGAATGAACCCTCGTCGATACCTGAATCATTTCTTAATAGCAAGTGATAAACACCAGAATCTGAACGATTGCAGTTAACTGTATGAATAACAGTATGATGACCAATAGATGTTAATGTTGTTCTTTCATTTGTCTCAACAGGTACATTTGTTTTATCCCAAATAACTTCTGGGCATGGTTCACCAATAAAGTCAATATCAATATGAAAGATAAGTCCTGCTTTAATACGAATGTCATTTAATGGAGTGATAATCTTTGGTGCCAAATACCGTGCTTTAGCCATAATCATATCTGATGGTTCTGATGGTTCTGACTGGCCTGCTTGATTTGTAGCAATAACACGGAACTCATATTCATTACCTTCAATTAAATCTGGAACTGTAGCAGTAGTCTTGTTAGGCGGTACATGAACTGCATTAACCCAATATGGGCTACCCTTTTCTTTCTTTTGAATTATATATCCTGTTAATGGAGCACCACCATCGGATTTAGGTGGAGTCCATTGTAAATCGACATGATCTTTATCCCAATCAGTAACAGCTGGTTTTCCAGGTGCATCAGGCTCATCAAATTCGTTTTTAGCTATTATACTCTTGTTCGCTTCCAATGGCTCTGATTCACCAATAGCATTTACTGCTTTCACACGGAATAAGTACTCCTTCTTGTGTATTAATTTTGTTACATCATGAACTAAATGAGTACTCATACCAGCATCAGACCAAGTTCCTCTGCTCAAATCCATTTTTTCTATTACGTAATGTAAAATAGGTGAGCCACCATCGTCTTTTGGTAACCTCCATGCTAAATGGCAACCTTCCTTTGTAATCTTTGTAATATCAAGGGGACCTTCAGGTGGACTGGGTCTATCAAGTACTGTAGCATTAGCAGCAGCTGAACAAACTCCTAATTCATTTTTAATAGTTAATGTGTATCGTCCGCTATCAGAACGAGCGGAGAAAGGAATTTCAAATATCAATTCATTTTGGAAAAGACTCATATCGACTCTATTTCCTGGTTCAATCTTTTGACCATGAACGGTCCACTCATAAGTTGGACGTGGAGATGCTTCAATGGGTATTCTCCAACCTAATTTCTTGCCCGCATGAACTGTAATATCTTGTAAATATGTGGGATCAAAGTAAGGTTTGACAAATCGTGCTTTGGCAATAACTGGAGCTGAAGCGTCACTAGGTTCTCCAGGGCCGGCTTTGTTAACAGCAATAACACGGAATTCATACTCTTCACCTTCAGTTAAATCCGGTACCCTGCCTGAAGTTGCATCGGCTGGAACTTCAGCAGCTTTTTCCCATTGACCAAATCTCGGTCGTTTTTCAATTATATAACCAGTGATTGGTGATCCACCATCCTTCTTTGGTGGTGTCCATTCCAAATCGACATGATCTTTGTCCCAGTCGGTGGCTTGTGGTTGTCCAGGTTTATCTGGTCTTCCAAACGGATCTTTCGCTGTAATTGGTGCAGATGTTGCCAAAGGTAATGATTCACCTAACTTATTTACGGCTCGGACTCTGAAGTTGTAATCGTGTCCTTCAATTAAGTTATCGGCGCGAATAGTTGTTCCAGCACATTCTCCAACGGGTACCCAACGTAATGTTTCGGCATCCATTTTTTCAACAACATAATGAGTAATCTCAGATCCACCATCGTCTTTTGGTGGACGCCATCTAAGAGTAATAGCATTTTTAGTAACCTCATCTGGTTTCAATGGACCTTCTGGCGGTGATGGTATATCAAGTACAGTTACATTCACTGTATGTGTATCTTTTCCGTTAATATTACGAGCAACTAAAGTATATTCTCCAGTATGTGAGCGTTTAGCATCTATCACACGTAATTTTGTTCGATAGTCTTCATTTACTATTTTGACGTGATCGTTGTTAATTAGCATATTATCCTTGTGTGACCATTCTTTAGATGGAGGAGGTTCTCCAATGACTGGTACATCATATTCAAATGTTTGGCCTGCTTTGATTTTGATATCACTCATGAAATGACGATCAATTTTGGGTGGTAGATTCTTTGGCCTGGCAACATGAGGTCCTGTTGAGTCACTTGGAACACCAGGTCCAGCTTTGTTTACGGCTCTGACACGGAATTCATATTTTACTCCTTCAATAAGATCAGGTACTTTGCCAGTAGTAACGTCGCCTTCCACATCAGCACATTTCTCCCAGTCGGGACTGTATTTATCTTTCTTTTCTATGACGTAGCCAACAATTGGTGATCCACCATCACTTTCTGGTCTTGTCCATTCAAGTTCAACAAAATCTTTATCATAATCTTTAATGGTTGGAGTTCCAGGTTTACCAGGCTCATCATACGGATTTTTAGCTTCCGTCGCGTGAGGAGTAGTAAGTGGTTCTGAAAGTCCATGTTTGTTACGGGCACGTACTCTGAATTTATATTTATGTCCAGGAGTAAGCCCTTTAACATTAAGACTTGTTTCTGGGCCATCTGTCTCACCTGCGGGAACCCAACGTCCGGTGTTTTCATCCATTTTTTCAACAACATAACCGTCAATTGGAGAGCCTCCATCGTCAGAAGGTGGATGCCATTTAAGAGTGCAACCTTCAGCATGAACATCTTCAACTTTAAGAGGACCGTTCGGCGGCAATGGTCTGTCCAATACTATAACTTTGACTTCAGCCTTATCTTCGCCATTAACGTTTTCTGCTGTTACAGTGTAAACCCCAGCGTCTTCTCTTGTAGCACTTCTTACTGATAATTTAGTATTGTAATCAACATGTGTTACTTTAGTATTGCCCTTAGAAGTTACTTCTTTCTTATTTAAGATCCATTTAGTAGTTGGAGCTGGTTCTCCAGAAACTTTGCAATCAAATACAAAGTTTTGGCCAGCTTTAATACGAACTTCAACCAAATTAGTTCTATCAATCAAAGGTGGTAGATTTCTTGGTTTGGCAATTATTGGTCCAATTGAATTACTTGGCTCACCAGGTCCAGCTTGATTAACCGCCAATACACGGAACTCGTAAGCTTGTCCTTCAATGAGATCAGGTACTGTCGCTTTGCTTTGATCAGCTGGAACTTCAACAGCTTTTTCCCATATACCAAATTTATCTTTCTTTTCGACAATATATCCAGTTATTGGAGAGCCGCCATCAAATGCTGGTGGAACCCATGCAAGATCAACATGATCCTTATCCCAATCAGTTGCTCTGAGATCGGTTGGTTTTCCAGGTTCGTCAAATGGATTCTTAGCAATAATAGATTCGTCAGCCACTAATGGAACTGATTCACCTTCAGCATTAACAGCTGATACTCTAAATTTATATTCACCGCCGGGTGTTAAGCCTGTCACATCTGCTTGAGGTTCGGTTGAACGTGCACATGGCACCCAACAACCAGTTTCCGGATCCATTTTATCAATTTGATAATATTCAATTGGAGTACCACCATCGTCTTTTGGTCTTTTCCATTTAAGGTGACAACCTTCCTTATGAACATCAGAGATTTGTAATGGTCCTTCTGGAGCAGTTGGCTTGTCAGTAACCGTTACATTAACTGTTACTGTATCAGTTCCACTACTATTCTTTGCAGTTACAGTATATTGTCCAGAGTCACCACGTTTTGCTGGTCTTATTACCAATTTAGTATAATAATCTGGGGATTCAATTGTTACAGCGTCACCAGAGTGCAACGGCATACCACAATATTTCCAATCTACCTTTGGTGCTGGCTCGCCAATAATATTTGCATCTAATTTGATTGGATTACCAGCTGATATTGTAACATCATGTAAGTTTCTACGTTCAATTTTCGGGGCCAAAAACCTTGGTTTGGCAGTAAATGTTTTACTTGCATCGGATGGTTCAGATGGTCCAGCTTTGTTAACCGCAATTACGCGGAATTGATACTCGTTGCCCTCAATTAAACCGCTGACGGTTGCAATTGGTTGTGGAGAAGTTGTTTCTAAAGCTTTCTCCCACATTGGACTGTATTTATCTTTCTTTTCAATAATATAACCAGTAATTGGACTTCCACCATCTGAAGCAGGCTCAGCCCAAATCAACTCTACATGACTTGCGGACCAATCATTAGGCTCAGGGGCACCTGGTTTAGATGCAACAGTAAATGGATCTTTAGCAATGATTGAACCAATTGTTTCTAACGGTTCCGATTCTCCTTCCTTATTAACAGCCTTCACTCTGAATTTATATTCATGACCAGGTGTCAAACCATCAACTTCCATCTCTGGCACATCACTTTTGCCTACAGGTAACCAAATACCTGTATCTGGATCGAATTTTTCAACCACATATCCTTCAATTGGTTCACCGCCATCGTCCTTTGGTTTCTTCCATTTTAGTTTACATCCTTCTTTGTGAATATCTGAAACTTCCAAAGGTCCTTCAGGTTTTCCTGGTTTGCAAATGACATTTACTTCGAATTCTGCTGTGTCTGTGCCATATTGATTATGAGCAACTATCTTATATGTTCCAGTATGTTTACGTTCAGGATGATCATTATGCAATTTTGTGTTGTAAGGTACATTTGTAATGCGGCATGCTTCAGGCATGGATTTACTATTATGACTCCATGTAATATCTGGAGCTGGTTCTCCTGTTACTTTAATATCTAAGAATAATGGTTCACCTTCCTTAATATTATATGTTCTAATATTGCGTCTATCAATTTTAGGTGCAACTGTAACGAAAAATAAACATAATAAGATTGATTGTTAAATATAATAAAATATTTGACTCACGTTTTCTTGGTTTAGTAATAACACCATTACTTGGGTCACTTGGCTCCCCAGGACCAGCTTCATTAATGGCTTTAATACGGAATTCATATTCAACGCCTTCATCTAAATCTGGTACAGTAGCTTTGCAATCTTGTCCGGCTGGTGGAGCTGAAACCTCTAAGGCTTTCACCCATTTACCAGTACCCTTTTCACGTTTTTCAACGGCATATGCAGTAACTGGAGAACCTCCATCATCGATTGGTGGTTTCCATTTCAAATCAACACGATCTTTATCCCAATCGGTTACTTCTGGTTTGCTTGGCTTGCCAGGTTCATCAAATGGATTTTTAGCAATAATTGATTTGTCAGCTTCTAAAGGTTCCGATTCACCTTCAGCATTAACAGCAATAACACGGAATTTATATTCTTGTCCAGGTACTAAATTATTAATTTCGCAATGTGGTTCACGTGATTTACCAGCAGGCAACCAACGTCCACTTTCAACATCCATTTTTTCAACAATATAATGATCAATCGGTGCACCACCATCATCTTTTGGTGGTTGCCAATCAAGTTTACAGCCTTCTTTATGAATATCTTTGATTTTCAGTGGTCCTTCTGGTTTACCTGGTTTATCTAATATAGTAATTTCAATTGACGCTTCATCGATACCAGAATCATTTTCTGCTTTCAAAGTATATCTTCCAGTATTAGCTCTTTGTGCATTAGGAATTGTTAATTTAATTTTGTATGGTTCAACATCAAGTGAAATATCTCCTTTTGGTTCAATTTGTTGTTTAGCATGATACCATGTTTTCTTTGGTGGGGGTTCACCAGTAACTTTTACATCTAAACGTATTATTTGACCCGCTTTGATTGTGATATCTTTCAAATTAGTTCTGTCAATCTTAGGTGCGGCAAATCTGTCTTTAGCTAGCATTGTGTCAGAAGCTTCGGATGGTTTACCTGGTCCAGCTTTATTTACAGCCTTAACACGGAATTGGTATTTCTGTCCTTCAATTAAATCGTTGACACGTGCTTCGCATTTTGGTGATTTAGTCTCCATAACCTTTTGCCATTTGTTTGTCAAGTTATCTTTTTTTTCGATTATGTAACCTGTGACAGGTTCACCACCGTCATTTTCTGGTGGAGTCCATTTCAAATCAGCATGATTTCGTGACCAGTCCTTAAGTTCTGGTTTACCAGGCTCTGATGGAGGATCATATGGATTTTTGGCAGTAGTCGAATGATCAGTTTGTAAGGGTTCTGATTCACCTTCAGCGTTAACGGCTTTCACTCTAAAGTGATAATCTTTACCTTCTGTTAAACCAGTAACTTCAGCTTCTGGTGTTTTTGATGTACACACTGGTACCCATCTGCCTGTTTCTGTATCCATACGTTCAACAACGTAATGATCAACTGGCTCACCTCCATCATCCTCTGGTTTTTCCCATTTTAATTTCATTGTTTCCGCTGTAACATCAGATACCTTCAGCGGACCCTTTGGTTTACTTGGTTTACTCAATACTTCTAGTTCAACTTCGACTTGATCGGTACCTGAATCATTTTTAGCAGTAACAGTATAAATACCACGATCGCTTCTTTTAACCTTTTGTAAAGTGAATGTTGTTTTATAGTCTTCATTTTCGATACGTAAACGATCACCAGTACGTAATTCTTCATTGTTGTAGGTCCATGTTATTTTTGGTGGAGGTTCACCTTTAACATCAGCTTCCATACGTAATAGATTTCCGCTTCTGATAACTTTCTTTTGCAAGTTTTTACGATCAATTCTTGGAGCCAAAAATCTTGGCTTAGCGACAACAGATTTAGATGGATCACTTGGCTCACTAGGACCAGCTTTATTTACGGCCACTATTCTAAATTCATATTCATGATTTTCTTCGACATTTGTTACGGTACCTGATGTTTTATCACCAGGAACGGTTCCTGCGTCTACCCATTGACGTCCAGACTTGTCACGCATTTGTATAATATATTTTTGTATAGGTGCACCGCCATCATCTTTTGGTGCGGACCATGACAAATCAACGAAATCTTTGTCCCAATTTGTTGGCTCAGGTCTGCCCGGTTTGCCAGGCTCATCAAATGGATTTTTAGCGATAATTGATTTTTCTGTTTCTAAGTCTTCTGATTCTCCTTCTTTATTAACGGCTCTAACACGGAATTTATATGGCTTTCCTTCTTGTAAACCGGTAATATTAGCTTCTGGTTCTGTGCTTTTACCACACGGTACCCATTGTCCAGTGTGAGGATCAAGTTTTTCAATTTCATAATAATCGATTGGACAGCCACCATCGTCATCTGGTTTTTTCCATTTCAATTTACAGCCATGTTTATGAACATCACTTACATCTAATGGTCCCTTTGGTTTACCTGGTTTACCCAGTACGGTAATATCCAAATCAGCTTTATCTTCTCCAACTTCATTCTTGGCAACAATTGTATATTTTCCTGACATTGGACGTTTGGTTTTCATTATAAAGAATTTGGTGTTATAATCGACATTATCAATTTTCAAGTTATCATCACTTGTAAGTGGTTGATCATTAAAGAACCACTCGACAGATGGTGCTGGTTCACCCTTAATATTAATATCAAGGCTTACAGATAGACCAGCTTTTACATTCAAAGGATTTAAATTCTTTCTATCAATGTGTGGTTTTACTATAATAAAAAATAAAATTATTAGTTCTAATTTAGTAAGACTGTTAGTTGCATATAAAGAAACTTACAGAATCTTGGCTTAGCTGTGTGCCAGTTAGTAGGCTCTGATGCTTCTGATGGCCCAGCTTTATTAACCGCACGTACACGGAATTTATATTGCTGCCCTTCTTCCAATTTTGGTACAGTACCTTTTGTGGATGGGCCTTTAGTTTCAACAGCTTTGATAAACTGACCAGAATCCTTGTCCATAACTTCAATTATATAGCCAGTAATTGGTGCTCCACCATCACGAATTGGAGCTTCCCATTTTAGTTTAACATGATTTTCATCGTAATCTTCAATTTCAGGTAAGCCAGGCGGTGCCGATACATCATATGGATTTTTAGCTAAAACTGATGAATCAGTTTCCAATGGATCTGATTCACCTTCTTCATTAACAGCTTTGACACGGAACTGATATCTATGATTTGGATCTAAACCTTTAACTTCTTGTTCTTCTTTTTCTGGATCAACACGTCCAGCTGGCACCCATCTTCCAGTAGCAACATCCATTTTTTCAATAACATAACCAGTTAATGGTAGACCACCGTCATCTTTTGGTTTTTTCCATTTTAGTTTACAACCTTCAGCATGTACATCTGATACTTCTAATGGTCCTTCTGGTTTTGCTGGTTTGTCTAATATGATAACTTCGACGGTTGCTTCATCTACGCCATTAATATTTTCAGCACGTAGTTTATATTCACCAGTATTTTTACGTTCATTATCCAGTAATGTTAGTTTGGTATTATAATCTTCATTTTCGATACGACATAAACCAGTTGGTTCAAGATCTTTTCCTTTAAAGCTCCAAGTTAATGTTGGTGGTGGTTCACCTTTAACGTCAACATCAAACTTAACTTGTTGTCCAGAACGTACTTTGATTGGTTTCATTTTCTCACGATTGATTGTTGGTTTTACTAATATAAATTAAAGTTAAATTATATACATTTTTTTAATATAATATATAGTTTTTTAAAATGAATAGGTAAATGTATAATTTGTAACCAAATTTATAAGCAATTTATAAAGCTATTCAAAAGCATACTAAATGAAATTTCATATTTTATATTTAATATTTTTTAAAAATGTAAAATTTTTATTAATATTATGACTCTGCAAGCTGTAAAATGTAAATAATAGTTATTAGATATTTTTAGTATATACTTAGCTTAAAAAAAAATGTATTCAGTTAAAAAAATCTAGATCATAAATCTTTTAGCCCGAAAATCACTAAGAATATTGGCATCATTAAATCAAAAAATTCTATGCTTTCTGGATTTTTATTAATATTATAACATATTTATCATATTATTATCTAGATTTTTTCTTTCTTTATTATAAAAATTTAATTATAAATTAATAAATTCTTTTAGTATATTAATAATGATATCAAAATTATAAAAAATAAAACAAATCAATATATTAAAATTCAGATCCTTACAGTTTCTGGCCTTAGCGACATGAGGTTCAGTTGCATCACTCGGATCACTGTTTCCAGCTTTATTTATGGCTCTTACACGAAATTGATACGTATTACCTTCTTTTAAGCCCTCAACTTTCGCATGTGGTGCAGGTCCCTTAGGAAATTAAACAAAAAAAAAGTATATGCACATTAATAATATGAATCAAATACAATAGAAAAAATCTGATGTATTAAATTTCAATGAAATCGGTTGATTATTTTTCTTTATGTACGTAAAAATGTGTATTTGGCCCAAGGTAAATGTCCAGTTGCTGACACCTGATTTCTTCTAAAAGAAGGTTAGAAGGTTTCGCGTACGGTCGAATGAAGCTTATATATGAAATTTTAGGTAAATCTGTTGAGTATTTTCCTCTAAATTTTTTTTTTTTTTTAAAAAGTTCAGTTCCCGAAACCTCTGGATTCCAAAAGTTGATCAATCCGTGTAATAGCCAAAATAAATTCATATATAAAATTTCATTAAAATCAGTTCAACCGAACTTGAGATACACGCGTACACACACAGACCGACAGACCGGGATCTCTCTAAAAGTAGTTTATTTATGCTTTCCTAGTAAGAGAAAGTGCGTTCCTACAGAAAACTCGATATGCAAAATTCGTCGCCATCACAACGTATATTTATAGATTATTGTATACAAAATGCGGTCGGTAATTACAACTCTATTTGATTTAATTTTATTAAAAGAAAACTTACTTCTGTTGTAAGAATTTCTTCCCATGTTGGTGAGAATTTTTCTTTCTTTTCAATGACATAACCGACAATTGGTGCTCCACCATCGCTTTTTGGAGGATCCCATTTTAAGTCAACCATATTTTCATTCCAATCTTCAATTTTAGGTTTACCAGGTTTACCAGCAAGATCATATGGATTCTTAGCAATAATAGAATGATCAGTAACTAATGGCTCTGATTCACCTTCTTCATTAATTGCTTTTACGCGGAATTGATATTCATGACCCTCTTGTAATCCTTTTACATCAAATTCTGTATCATTACCTGATACACGTCCAGCTGGTACCCATCTTCCGGTATCTTTATCAAACTTCTCAATTTGATATGCTGTAATTGGTTTACCACCATCATCCTCAGGTTTCTCCCATTGTAATTTGCATCCACTTTTTGTAACATCTTTAACTTTCAACGGTCCTTTTGGTTTACCTGGGGCAGCTAAAACAGATACTTCAACATCTGCTTCATCTTCACCATGTTCATTAACAGCTTTAATTTTATATAAACCGGTATGTTTACGTTGTGCATCAACAATTGATAATTTTGTATTATAATCAGAATTTTTAATTTCGACATTTTCATCAGGTTTAATTTCTTTATCTATATCAGATTTTATTTCCTTAATTAGCCATGTAATTGTTGGTGGCGGTTCACCACGCACATCAATATCATATTTAATTAATTGTCCAGCACGTATAATGATTGGTTTCAAATGTGTACGATCAATTCTTGGTTTTACTGCAATAAAAAAAAAATTTATAAATTTAAAACATTAGAAAGTTAATTTGAAAATTAGAGTTTCTAAAATAAGAATACGTTTCCAAATTGAAATATGCAACAACATGATTTGAAATGACTTATTTCTTCGTATGCCACTATTATTGTAGTGACAAAAAAAAGAAGCCTTAAGAAGCTGAATTTCAAAGAAAAATATGTTCGCACTAGTAACCACAATTTGCAATTTGCACAAATTGCAAAAATTATTTTTGAAACTCTAAAAATTTATATTAAAATAACTTGTCTAAAAAATTACTATAACGTAGGAAATTTTTTATTTCTTCGAAATACCGCATAAGAAAATGTTACCTTAATATTATATAACTAGTCATACTTACATGCTTTATGTTTAATAACTTGTACTTTGCTAGGATCAGAAGGTGGTGATAACCCTGCTTTATTAACAGCAATAATACGGAATTGATATTCTCCATATTCTTTAAGATCATCAACTTTGGCCTCAGTTATGCTACCAGGTACTTCACCTGCTTTCTCCCAATCTGGTTTATAGCGATCTTTCTTTTCAATAATATACTTTTCAATTGCAGCACCTCCATCAGATTTTGGTGGGTCCCATTTTAAATCAACACTGTGATTATTGTAATCGACGATTTCTGGTGTACCTGGTTTTAACGGTTCATCGAATGGATCCTTTGCAACTACACCAACTAGCGTTTCTAATGGTTCTGATTCGCCCTCATCGTTAACAGCGGTCACTCTGAATTTATATTCAGAACCAGGATTCAAACCAGTCACATCAAATTCTGGTGGTTCTTTATCGCCGGGCAATTTACCAACACGCACCCATTTACCAGTAGCTGTGTCCATCTTTTCAATTTGATACTCTTTGATTGGTACACCGCCATCATCATCTGGTTTTTTCCATTTTAATTTACATGATTGTGCGGTAACATCGGACACATCTAATGGACCTTTTGGTGCGCTTGGTTTAGCCAAGACGATAAGCTCAATAGTTTCTTTATCGACACCATTACGATTTTCTGCTTTTAGTGTATACTTCCCAGTATCGGCACGTTTAACCTTTGCTATTGTAAAATCAGTATGGTAATCGATATTTTCAATTTTAATTCTATCAGTTGTAGTAAGCGGTATATCATCTTTCCAACTCCATGATAAAGTTGGTGGTGGTTCACCACTTACATCAACTGACCATTTGTGAGTGCGTCCAGTCTTGATTGTGACCCGCTTGAATGTCGAGCGATCAATTTGTGGTTTAACTACATATGCGAAATAATTTTGTTTCGTATTTCATTCAATGGATTTTTGTATTGAAAATCAAAAGTTAATTTTCAAAATGGATATTGAAAATAAAACCATGACATCGTGAAAGTGAGAAAGAAAACGAAGGGTGCAGAAAAGAGAAAATAAAAAAATTTATTTAATATTTTTACTTTATTTTATTTTAAGCATGATGACTTTTAAAAAAAGCTTTTAAGAGCTTGCTGGCATTGTATATGAAATGATACTATTTTAGCTATGTGATTGATTTAATGCTACTTACGTGATTACTGCGCACATAAAACGTTTTAATAGGCAATATGATTTTAAGCGAATGATTTCTATAAGCGGTTTAGACATTATTTTGTTAAATGCCATTTATATTTTATTTAGTATGCTTAAGCTTTGCTTTACTTAAATTTAAAGTTAGGTAATAAAAGTAATTGTTTTGGTATTAATTTGGCATATATATAAACATTAATATAGCAAAATTTTGTGAAAAATGAAAAACTTACATAATGGAAGTAATACTCACGATTTTTGTGCTTGCATAAATGCGGTTCAGTTGGTTCTGATGGTGGTGAGGCGCCAGCCTTATTATGTGCTTTAACTCTAAATTGATATATTTGTTTCTCTTTTAAATCTGGAACAACAGCGGTACATTCTGGTCCTTCAGTTTTAACAACTTCAACCCAATCCGGTGAAAATTTGTCTTTCATTTCAATTGTATAATGTGTGATTGGACGACCGCCGTCACTTTCAGGTCTCTCCCATTTCAATGTTACACTCTTGTTATCGTAATCATCAATAATAGGTTTACCGGGTGCTTTTGGTTCATCATAGGGATTTTTACACAATATTGGATCAGTCGTCTCTAACGGTTCTGATTCACCTTCTTTATTGACAGCTTTAACGCGGAATTTATATTTCTTTCCTGGTGTAAGGCCTTTGAAATTAAATGAATCTTCATCTGGTCCAACTTCACCAGCTGGTATCCACCTACCAGTTTCTTCATCCATTTTTTCTAATACGTAACCAGTGATGGGTGAACCACCAGTATCTTCTGGTTTCTTCCACTTAACTTTGACATGATCAGCACGCACCTCTTCTGGTTCTAATGGACCACGTGGTGCTGTAGGCCTGTCTAATACAATAACATTAGCCTTAGATTCAATTGTACCGGAGCTATTATTTAAAACAATTTTATAAGGTCCGGTATCAGAACGTACAGCTTTTCGGATTGTAATAGATGAATTTCTTTCATATTGATCTAATGTTATACGCGTACCATCAATATTCAGTTCTTTATCTTTAAACATCCATTTTGCTGTAGGTTCTGGTTCACCATCATACTTAATGTCAAATCGTATAGTTTGTCCTTTTTTAACTGTAATATCTTTAAGTTCATCACCAACAATGAATGGCTTAACAAATCTACATTTTGCAATAATTGGTTTAGTTGCGTCACTTGGTTCACCAGGGCCAGCTTTATTAATTGCCTTAACACGAAATTCGTATTGCTGTCCTTCAGTTAATCCATCAACTGTTGTTGCCAAACAATCAGCTGGTACTTCTTTAGCTTTAACCCATTCATTACTAAATTTGTCTTTATATTCAATAAGATAACCTTCAATTGGTGCACCGCCATCGTTATCTGGTTTTTCCCATTTCAAATCTGCATGGTCCTTGTCCCAATCAGTAACTTCAACATTTTTAGGTTTACTAGCTTCATCCCATGGATCTTTAGCTAATATTGTATTTTTGAATGTGTTAGGCTCGCCTGGTCCAAGTTTATTAACGGCACGAATTCGGAATTTATATTGTTTTTTAGGAGTAAGATCATCAATTTTCTTGCTTAATGGCTCGCCAGCTGCTACCTCGGCAACAGGTTCCCATTGTGCTTTTTTGCTTAAATCTTGACGTTCAATAACATATTTCTGTATTGGAGATCCACCATCATCGGTTGGAGGTTTGAATTTGACAACACATGATGTTTGATAAACATCAACAACATCAATTTCTTGAGGCGGCTGTGGAACATCTTGCATTGTAATTGTAACATCTTTAACATCTTCACCTTGACCATTTGACAATTTAATTTGATATGGTCCAGATTGATCACGTGTAGGTTTCTTAATTTTAAATGTGACTTTTCCAGGTTTTCCATCTTCACCACCAGTAACAGCTACTTCGACATCTTTAACTGGTAGTGGTTTACCATCCTTAATAAGTTTAGCTTCAACTGGCGTTTGTTTTGTACCAGAAACTGTGAAAACCCAAATAGAAAATTTACATGTAATATTAATAAACTATAATTGTTTATGATTTGTGTTCTTTTACCTTCGAATGGAACTTCAATAATAACAGGGGCACTAATTGGTCCAGAAAATTCATTTGGACAATCCATTTTAGGTGCACTTTCCCCTTTATTGACGGTAAGTTTGCAAGAAGAGCTTAAATTGCCTGATTCGCATGTTATTTCACCATCATCAGCCATTTCGAGATTATGGAAGACAAGTTGGTGTTTACCACCACCAAGATTCTTAATCTCGACACGGTCACTTGGAACAATAGGTTCACCATTGAATTTCCATTCACATGGTGCTGTTTGATCTTGCAGCTCAACATCCAACACAAGTTTTTCACGTTCAACTCCGACGGTATCTTTAAGTTTCTTGTTGAAACGATTTTGATCTATGATAGTTGTTATGAAAAAATTTGTTTTTGAATAAAAATAAATATGTTATTTCATTTAAATTCCAAATTCACTTACAATTGACAACAAGTTCTGCTTCAGTTTTATCAGCATTTGTTGTGCAACGATATAACCCAGCATCAGTTACCTTAGCATCATTAATAACTAATTTACATTTACGACCCTCTTTAACAATTTTGACACGTTTGTCTGGTTTAATTTCTTCATCACCTTTAAACCATTGTACATCACCGGCAGCATCATCAATTTCACATGCCATTGTTACACTATCTTTTTCAATTAATTGTTGTGATTTAAGTACTTTAACAAACTTGTATGGATATTCAGTTATTTTAACAGCCGTTTCAGTTTTATCCGGTTGTCTAGTAATACGACAAGAGTATTTACCAGCATCTTCGAATACACAATCTTTGATGACTAGTTTTAGACCCCCAGATAAATCTTTTCCAATCAAATATTTATCTCCTCCATCCAATTTAGTTTCATCTTTATACCATTCAACAATTGCCATTGAACTACTAACAGAACATTCTAATGTCAATTCATGTTTTGTAAAACCATCATATTTTTTCTTTAATGGTTTTGTAAATGTATAGGATGGATCAGCTTCTTCAACATTTAAGAATGCTGTACATGATATACCGCCTATTTCAATAGTATACTTGCCACTATCCTCAACTTTTGGATTAAATATAATTAATTGATATGTGTCAGCTTCATTCTTAAATTTATATTTACTGCCAGTAAATAATTCCTATGTTAAAAAAGAAAATGTTACCACTCCGGAATTATGAAAACTAAATCTTGTAAACTTTTATTTTATACGAGAATGAAGCTAGGAGTTACAGTTAATAGACCAGAGATTTTATCAGAAGCAAAACTAATAAAAATAGCCAACGATTTCAAAATTGTAGTGCTGCCACACAACTCAGCCACTACATTACATACGTTGAATTTTGTGTTTTAGTGTACTTAATTGTATTACTACGTTTTGGAGTCAGAGATTTTTTTTTGTATTTACAATTTTTTTTAATATCAAATGAACGATTTTTAAACCAAAATTTTGATAAATATATCAAACAAGTATTAACCGTAACTGTCAAAATACATACATCAAAATTATTTTTTAAAGGTAAAGTTTTTTAAGACTCCTTCATAACAAAAACGGTCGTGTAAACAGTCAAAATATATCAACAAGTCATGCATATCAAGAGTTATATGTATACTGTTAATATGCAGCAAGAGAAAAAAATTAAATAGAAGTTACTGTAATATTGAAAGCATTTTTAGACGTTGCTGTTGACATTTGAAAACAAAACATTTTTTTTGTTTTTCTATTATAAAAATAATTTTATACTTACGTCTTTTCTAAATAACCATTTCGGCTTACAATTTGGTTTACTGAAACCACATTCAAATGTAACCTTCTTGTCTTTGCCTTCCTTTGCAAACTGATCGATCAGTGGTCGTAGGAATGATTCTTGTTTCTAAATTTTTTATTTTTTTTTTTAAAATATTAATTATTATAAAATGAAATATATTTAGTAAATATTTAATTAAAAAAAAAGTATAATAAAAATAAGAAAATATTTTTATTTTTTAAAGAAAATTAAAAAGAAAAAAAAGATAATTATTGAAAAATTTTATTGTATAATATAAGAGTAATATATATACTGTTTATATGTATAACGAACATCTTGTATATCAGTCAGACAGGTGATATTAATTTATAAGTTTATAAATTAAAAGAATTATAATAAATATATATTATACTATTTACTATAATATTTATTTGTAATCGTTATTTTTGTTTTGTTAATATCTATTTGCTATATATTATGTATATTCTATGTTTATATCCATATCAATAACAATCCAGAAGAATATAATTAATTTCTGACATCCCTAAACTGCTTCAATACCGTGTTTTTAAATAATCCAAACAACAACAACAATGATGTAGATCAACTATGAGGTCGAACAACCAGTAACATCTGGTTCTACTTTGAAATTTTAAAAAAACATATGCGATATTATTGCAAATTCAGAGAATATCATAGAAAATAATTAATTATATATACATAATATATATTTTAAAATATTCAAATACTAAAAAGATATCTTTTTAAAAGAAATTAAAAAATAACTGAAATAAAAAAAAAGTTAAATATATATGAAAAAAGATATCCTACATATAAAGTTGCTTATTTATAATGAGAATATTTTGAATTATTTTTCAGGTGAAATTTATAAAATCACAAATATTGTCTGAAGAACACACTTCAGTTCGTGCCAATAACAATTTTTGCAAACATATTGTCAAATGAATTAATTATACAACCACAAATCATCAAATACAATCGATTTCGCTTGACAACAAATACAATTACGATAACAGAGAATATTTTTGTCTAAATTAATATTTGACATTTAATTTGTTTTTAAGTTTTAATTTCAGTATAAAATAAGCAACTATAAATATTATTATATTAACTGTCAAAAGTTTAAATGTCGAAATTATTATATAAATAAGAATTAAAATTAAAAGTTAGAAATAAATTTTCTTTTCCTTTAATTAAATTTTTTATCTTAATGTTTAATTTGTGTTTTCTTTTAAATAAATTTAATCTTTTCTTCTATTAGTTTATTTAATACGGCAAGAGGCTTTATTAAATAGGACTGATTTTAATTAAAATTTTAAAAAATATTTTATAGTTTCTTTTTTGTTTTAAATAATTTTATTTTTTTTTTGTATGTGTAAGTGATTAAGAATTTTTACATATTTTTAGGTACAGTTTTATTTTAGTTTATTTTTTTGTTCTGTCTTCTTTTCATAATTTTACGTTTTTATAAATTTAAAATTTTATCATTTGCATTATTTTTTTTTATTAACATTATATTTTTTAAGTTGTGCAATATATAAATAATAAAATTAAATTTATATTTATTTTCAATTTACATTTAATTTAATTATGAATATTACAATAAATTTGTGAAAATATTAAATTTTGAAAAATTTATACAAAAAAAAAATATTTTTATTAAAATTTTACATTTTAAATTTTTTTTTGAAATAAAGAAAATTATAATTAAAACATAAATATATGTATATATAAAATGTTATCCAAAATGCGTCAAAACTAAATTATTATATAATTAATTAGAAACCCATATAGCGAAACGCACTATTTTCAAATGTGTTCGAAAATACTGAATTAAAATTAATACATGAATGTATATATCACTCTACATAAATAATTAATTTAATGTAGGAAGGAAAATTTAAAATGAAATCATCAATAGCCATTGTAACAGAATACAAAAAACAGCTTCGGCAGTGTCCTCCCTCCCACTCATACGAATTTTTTCCTAACAAAACTTCAATGAATCACTTCCTGAAAGCTTTGACACTTGAACCGGACCACCCCATATTTTCTTTTTTTAAATGTTAAAAAATTTGTAGCCTCGGCCGTAAACAATTTGAATGTTAATCTATTAGTTCAGAAATAATGCATAGGATCTATTACGCGTAGGTTGAATGTTTTACTTTTCTTCTATTATAGAAAATACTATAGCATTTTCTGTGAAAAGTACTACAAAACTTTTTTGGCTACTTAAGGTCCTGAACAATATGCATCATGAATTAATATGATTCATTCACGAGTTATATTTCTCTGCTGATTTTATTTAGTTTAAAGAGAATTTCAAATAACATTATAATGATATTAAAAATAAATAAAGTGTAATGGGTTTTATTGCGTAGCGCGCTTATTCAATTTCTGAGCAAAACTCGTGCATACACTTTATACGATACGATTTTACATATTTGTAACATACTATGTATCCTCAACTTATTCTCAATTGAGAATAAAGTTTTTTGGTTTGATTTCCGTTTTCGTCATGTTTTCTTTTCGTTTTCCCTTTGTGTACGTTATTTCTTTTCATTGTAAATTTGGCTATGATTTGTGTATTATATATAAGAACAGGATAAAACAATTTGTCTATTATCATTTAAAGGTAAATTAATTATAAAATTATAGTAACACATGGAGTATGTATAAATACACACAATTCAGCAAATTCAATAAAATCATAAAAATTGAATTATTTATATGATTATACTATATAATTACTGTAATTTGAAAGTCACGGTATAATTAATTTGAACGCATTTTTGATGTAAACGTTAATATTATTTTATATTGTGTATATACATATATAAAAAAATTAATTTATAAATATAAGAGAAATAATTATAGCCTTATAAGTTTAAAATATTATATATTTATAAATTTATAAAATTTTTTATATTTTTGTTTATTTTTTATATCAAATTTTGTTTTATAAGTTGAGCATGCAATTTATTTTTGAGATATAGTTGAACATGCGATTTTTGTTACAAATAAATGATGATATTAAAATGAAAATTAATTTTATATATATTTATAAACATTTATTATATATATATATATATATACATATATATATATATATACTTTTATATATATAAATATATGCATATATAATATATTTATTAATATTTTTTTAAATTTTCATTCTATGTTATGCCATTCCATTATTAAATTGTGAAAGAATTATGTATTAAATTTGTTATCATATCACTACTTTTATTATTATTATTTCAATTATTATTTATTATTACTATTATTTATTATTATGCATAACTTACAAATTTTATTTTTACTTCAATATATGTATATTATATAATATATATATATATTATCGGAACATAGGGGGATATAAATAAATAATTAAAAATTATATTTTATTATATTAAAAATTGTTTTATAAAAGAATAATGTGCAAATATTTCTCCTCTGTAACAACTTTTAAAATAATAGCAACTTGTATTTCAAATAATATTTTTTTTTAATATGAGAAATTCAGTTTATCAATATATATATACGAGTAGCATACATTGATTTATTCAGAAATACAGTTTCAATTGTTGTGTAATTCAATTAATTACATTTGTTTAGCAAGGCAGTTTTGATTACTGAAAAAGGTAAAAATTCACGTATACATGAATGTTGCCATAAGTCTCCTCCATTATAAATTTTTTTACAAACCTATGTATACATTTAAACATGATCTATCGAAAAAGATATTTGTTTTAATAACAGCAACTGATTCAAAAAAAAAAAATTACAAAAGTTTAAGGAAAATTACCAAAATTTCGTTGTTTTATGTAACAATCAGCCGGGAGGTCAAATTATGGTACTAGTAATATATAAAACTTACATTTTATTACTGAAAAATTAAATATTTTATTTATTTTAAAAAAATTATAATCTTCGCCTTTTTATCAGTTGCATGTTTTTATAATTGAAATACTAAAATTTTAATTTATTCGATTACTTTTTTCTCCTATATTTTTTAAATTTTTCTTTAATTCTATAGATTTTTTTTTGTTTTATTTTAATATGAAAAAATTTTCATACTAAACAAAATCACAAAATTACGAAAATAGAAGCTAGAATAGAGAATATATTAAAAAATAGCTAAAGATCAAAAAAAAAAGCAAATCAAATTAAAAAAAAACTTTGTCTTTACATTTGAAATTGCAGTAATACCGTATATAACTCTGCAATTCAGCAACTGTTACTTATCAGCTGAATTTTATAACAACATAGTATTGCTGCAATTCTGATGTAAGGCTATTTTTATGTATATGTATATATTTCTACAAATATTTTAACTCAAAAATGTTCTCAACATTTTCTTTTTCTTGTTCGTGTAAAATAAAAAAAACCCAAAAACAAAAAAAAAATTGCTATGTATGTACATCATAAAATTAAATTATTTTCATATAAAGTTATAAAATTAAAAAAGAAATTTAAAGCAGATTAAATATTATGTTTTGTAGAATTCGTCAGATTTAAAATTTAAATTTGAAAAAAAAAATATTTGTATTTGAATCAGAAAAATATATTTTTAATATATTTCGTTATGACTTATTCACTGACATCGAAACTGCGTTAATACTTATATTGATATGCAATTCAGCAATCACAACTCATAAGCTGAGTTATGTATTAATATCAGCATTATTGCAATTTTGAAATCAGCGTTCCTATGTATTATGTCAAATCAAATCTCAAATTATGTCAAATTTGACAATTGGTATACCAAAGGGAGTCTACCAAAAAGCAGATCTAATAGTAATTCAGACTTGTTAAAACTGTATTCACATAATAAGTGAAGTTGACGTTTGATCCACATTTTGGCAGATACCTGAATTTGAGACTAAGAACATTTTTTTTTTTTTGACGAAATCTCTTTATATAATAACTCGTACATGTAACGGATTATTAATATAAAATGACTTTATATATATGAAATTAATAAAAAAGGTACCATAAATGAATGATTTTATATGAATTGAAAGTACATAAGAAAAGTAAACAAAAAATATACAAATACATTAAAAATATTCAGTTGACTCAATATATACACACGTATGAATAAACTGTGTGTGTATATATATATAAAAAAAAATTTATATTTACAGTCACATACTTAATATTATTAAACAACTTTTTCCTTACTTTTTTTTATACGTATATACAATTCAAATTATTGTAAGTTGTCGTTAATAAAGGGCTAAATTTGAAAGACTGTCATTCAATAATCAATTAAAATTTTATTCAACAATTACTTTCAAAATTGCAATTACTAAATAAAATAAAATATTTAATATAAAATTTTAATATAATACACTTTAAAAATTCAGCCATATATTTACAAGGACTCAAATTAATATATTGATTTTGATATCACAAGAGAAAATTTGTAATCTTTACATCAATTATCTACCTCCACCTCTATAACATTAAAACCACAATAATACTGTATTATACAAATCGGCTTATATCTTACTGCTGACTTATATATCGATACAGTTTTATTGACTTTTGAATATAAATATTATCCTGCCCTTCAAAATTGCAGCAACACGATAATAATACACAATTTAGAAAATAGAATATCCCTGAAATCGAAAATGTAATAACACCGTATCGATTAGTATTTACAAGCTGAATTCTGTATTAATACGTTTTCTATCTCAGGTTATATGAGCTGAATTGTGTATTAATTGAGTATTAACAAAGACGCATATATATATAGATATAGATAGATAGATATATAGATAGATATATGCGTCTTTGGTATTAATTATGAACAATTTTAAAGCTAGGCTATTTATTTATATTGATAGAAATATAAAAAAAATTAAAGTACATCACAAGTTTAGGAAAGTTTCTAATAAAACATCCAATATATAAAATATTATATAAGTAAATTGATTACAAGAATATTCTAAATGCATAGTTCATGCAGCTTATATGACCTCAAAGAGAATTTTTTTAAATATTATATTTAAAAGCGTTTAACATAAAATATAATATTAAACAATAAAAATTTATAAAAAAGAAATCAAGTTTATATATATGTTTATGTTTATTATACATATTCAATATTATAGTCAGACGGAAAGGAGGGATTTAGAATAAAAAAAAATTATTGAGAATACGCAAAGTAAGAAAATATATATTCGAGTTGTAAACACAAATATTAAATCACTTTACAAAGTATCAGAGAGAGAGAAAGACAGAACTAGAGAAAAATTAACAAAAGAAACGGACAGAAACTCATATACATATATATATATATATTTATGAATAGAGACTTAAAGAACATTTACCAAAATGCAGATCAACCCCGATTTCAAGATCCCAGTAAAACGAAATTAACACACGATTCAACTTATGAATTACAATTATGATTCAACTGCTGAATTATGTAACACACGATTCAACTTATGAATTACAATTATGATTCAACTGCTGAATTATGTATTAATACGATATTATTAGAATTTATAAGTCATGGCTAACATCAAGTTATTGTTAGCAATAAAATTTCTAAATAAAATATATTACAGAATAATTTGCATTAAGGTAAACACCCAAAGAAAGAATTAAAGTATATTTGAAATGGAAAATAAGGGTTTTATATATAATGTATATGTTTATGTAATTTTTTCTACTTAGTGAAATAGAAAAAATTAGAAAATTTTTAGATTAGTGATTATATATTGAGAAAATTGAAAATATAAACATTGTTTTTTAAATAGAATAGTAGCTAATTTTTATATATATATAGTACGTCTACTACTTTCGGAGTATAAGTCGAACCTCCTCACGACGAAATGGATGTAATGTTGGCCAATCAGGTATCAATTCAGCTAATGATGGTCGTCTTGATGTTATACCCTGTTTTGATGTGGTAAAAAGAAATTTATTGTAATAACGATTGGCATAATTTTTATATATATTTTTTATGGGAACTATTTTGTTTTTTTCTTCAAAATTTTTCAAATTAATTTTAAAAAACTATTTATAGATTCCTAATAGATTTCAATTCGTACCTTTAAAAACAAATCGCCTGTCAATTTGTTATTGAAAAAAAATTGTATTCAACATTAATATAGTGACCTTAAAATTTCAGATACATCCGAGTATTTATATAAATACACAACTCAGCTCATGAATTACAATTGCTGAATTGCGTATTAATATAAATACTACATACCGATTTTCCAAAGTCAAAGTTTTTGTTTTTCGTAACAAAAAATTATTTAATAATAAACAATATTTATGTAAAAAAAGGCAATATTTTTATAAAATAAAATGGAAAATCTTAAAATAAATGTAAAAATTACAAAAAAAATTTACATTCAAACTAAAAACCAAATAAAAACATATAATTACCTACAATCAAAATTTATGTTTATAAATATTTATATACAATAAAAAAAAAGTCTAAATGACATAAAAGACAGTCTTGGATTTCAAAATTGCAGTAATATTAATACCGGTTAATGCATAATTCAGCTGATATGAATTACTGAATTGTTCATTAATACCGTGTTACTGCATTCAACCATAACTTTGAAATCATGGGTACTGCTTCATATTAGTTCTATGGTTTCATAGGCGTGTTTTTACAATATTCAAAATTTTATATAATGTGAAATGAATTTATTGCTTTTCCAAATAAATCCCTTCCTCACGTAAATTTTTTTTTATCAAGAATCTTAAAATAATATTTTTTAAAAAACGAAACACAACACACTATAATAATAATTAACAATATATTTATAGTTAGTGTCAACAAAAAAAAAAAGAAATCTCAAAATTCAAAAATTTCAAAAATAATGCACACATTATTTTTTAATTAAAATTACAAAAAATAATTAAATAAAAATTAAAAAGAAAAACACGTGCAAAACAATGAAAAAAAAGAATTAAAAAATAGTGTTTTATAGTAAATTTTACAAAACGAAAAAAAAAGAGAAAGTGTTTATAAAAAAAAAAGTAACTTTTGAGAGAAAATTTTAATTTAACCCTTAAAAAAAGAAATAAATAAATTTGTATATATTTCATTAATCGTTGGAATATTTTAAGTTTTATTTTAACAACTTTCAATAGAAAGTAATCTAATTTCCAATTGAGCTTGTTTCATTATCGTTTGGGTTGTCGAGAGAAAAAATAAAATTTTCCTTTATACTATATGAGATATAACTATATAATAACTATATAATATAGTAATACTAAAATAATTATTTTAATGTTACCGTTGCTATTTAATTTTTAATCTTTATTAATTCTAAACTATTATTATTTGTATATCTTTAAATTATTTTAATATTTTGAATTGTTAACAATTTGAAATTAAATTTTTCGCTTTTTTTTTTTTTTTTTATTAAATTTTTTTAAATAAAAATTTTTGTTATAAAATTTATTTCGATTTTTTGTTTTGTTATTTTAATTATTTACTATTAAAATATTTTTTTCATGTTTTTATTTTAACTTTAATTTTAATAGTTTTCCATTTATGATTTTACATTTATGAATTTGTTTTATAATAATAAAAAAAAATGAAATATCGTGACTTCAAAATTTCAATAATACTATGGTATTATGCTACACAATTCAGCAATTACAAGTAACAAGCTGAATTGCGTGTTGAAAATACCTATTGCAATGTAATTTTGAAGCCAATACTCGTAATACTAAAAACAACAGTTTAAATAATTTAAATTGTTGTGTATATAAGTTAGTATAAAAAAAGTTTTGATTTTCGTTCTTTTTTTTACCATTTTTTACTATTTTTTTTGTTGCTTATATCCTTACATACCTTTTCAACTTTTTTCAATGTTGGAACTGGTTTTTCAGTTTCTTTTAAATCACCCCAATTTGGATCATTCTGGTCTTTATCCCATTTGGCGTAACGACGTTTTTTCAACATTGCACGAAAATCCATACCACTTGAATCGGATACGAATAATTGCATTTCAGCTGAATCTTCGCCATGTATATTATTAACAACAATTTTATATTTGCCCTCATCATTTGGCTTTGATTTACGTATACATAAGGTAATTGAATTTGTTTCGCCATCGGTAATAAACTTATAACGACCACCTTCAATGATTTCGGTAACACCTTTATAAAATTTAAAGGTGGGCGCTGGGTTACCTTCCACATTGACGGTAATATAGGCCGTTGAGTCTGATTTTTTTTGTTTATATTTGATTTTGATAAGTTGGTTTTATTTTTTTTTTATTTTTTAAAGGGAGTTCGTTTTATTTTTTTTTTGTATTTTTATTTCGGAAATTATTTGAAAATATTTGTTTGGAATAATTTTAAATTTAAAATAGGATTTTCAAAAAAATTTATTAAAAAAAATATTGGAGAAGAATAAGAAAAAATAAGAGAAAAAAATATTTAACAATATTTATAAATTTTTATGATTTTAAAATAATATGTTTGATTTATTTTTTCTATTTTTATTTTTTAAAATTAAATATTTACGAATTTCTTGATATTTATATTTGTAAATTAAAAATTAACACCCAAAAGAATTCACAAATTTAGATTAAAAACAAATTTTATGCGCCATTAAATAAAAGAATTAATGTACAATTTAAATTAAAAAAAATAAAAGAATAGAATAGAAAAAAGCAACAATGTAGAAAAAACAAAATAATTAAAATTTGAAATATTTTCCTCATTTTTCTGTCACCAATGACAAATAAACACTTTACTTTCCTTTTCTGTCTACTATATTATTAAAAAACATCATAATACAGAAAAGAGAGTGAATAATAAGCAAATAAGGCTGTTTTCTTTTTGTTTTTGAGAGAAAGAGAGAAAGAGAAAGAAAAAGTGATACAGCGAAAGAAATGCTTTTTTATTATATAAAATTATTTTTTCTAAGTATATATATATAAATATATACATAATATTTAAATATATAACATACATATATGTATATACCTACATATATCTTATGTATACATATATACATATCTGCCGATAGCATATACATAATAATTTAAGGAAACTTTGACAGAGGAAATATACTAAAATAATAGTCATAAAAGTATATGGTAGAGCAGTGTAGTAATAGTAGTAGCACTAAAAAAAGACTACAATATAGTTTAATTAAAATAATAGTAATAGTAGTTTAATAGTAGTAGTAGCAGTAGAGTAGAAGAAATAGAAGTAGAAGCAATGTTTAGAAAGCGTTACGACAAAAGAAAATAAAGATGTGTTGATACTCTCTTTTGTTTTTATAACTGTTTTTTTGTTGAAAAGATAAATATTTGTTTTTTTTTTTCTTTAAATCTTAAAAAAATTTTAATTACATTACAGTTAAAATGTTTTTTTTATTACTAATTCTTATTACACAGGCTTATTACTAATATTATGTAAAAAAAGAGAAAAATTAAATTTAAAAATTTGACACTTTCTATCTGTCAATATAACATTAAATCCTCAAATATCCGGGTTGCAGTAATTAAACTGCTTTGTAATATACCTCAGCTCAAATATAGCATTTATTATACACTGATTTGTTTATAATTGATTAGCGAATATAATACTAAATTTTTTAAGTCAATAAATATAATAATAAACCTGTTCTGCATAAAAATTAAACTTTAAAATTAAAAATGTATATATACAATAAAAAGAATTTATAAATTAAAAATTTTGCGTTTTAATTAAAATTAAATACTAATATCCCAATTACATAAATATAACAAATAAAAAATATATATATATATATATATAAAAAAATGATTGATTTTATAATTTGTTAAAAAAAAGACATTACAATTCTCTATTTTAAAAATTTTCTCCATATATGCCTTCAATACTTTTTTTGCTTAAAATTAACACAATTTTATTTAATATGTCATAATATTTTAATATTTTAATAAAATATATAAAATTTTCATACCCTGGTATCAAAAACTTATAATTACAGAAAAAATTTATTAATATACAATTTGTTCTAATTGCTGAATTGTGTATAAATATAGTATTAATCTAATTTTGATATCAGGGTAATTTTTTTTAGTACTGATAAAATTTTTTGAAATATTTTCAGTTTCAATTAAAAGAATTATAATGATATTCTTTTATCAAGAATTCATAAAATTATTGATTGACACATTAAATAATTACAAAAAAAAAAAAATTGTAAGGACATATTATATTAATTATTTTAGTAAATAAAAGGGTGTTTCTTTAGAAACAGATCTTAATGTCAACTCCACTTATATAATTTTATTTAGAAAGTAGAGTAGAGATTTCACAGCAAGTGTTTTTTGCTCTTTACTTATTAAGCGATAGTTCCTTGACTTCTTTAACAGCTTCACATTCCCAAAATTTAGGTGTTCTTCTTCCTCTTATAATATAAATACTTAGATTTTGTTTATTAAATATTATAAAAATGAGTATTTTCCCATTTAACTACAAAATTGCATTAATATCGCATTAATGCAAAATTCAGCTTACTAGCTTTAATTACTGAATATTAATGCAATTTTAAAGACAGAGCTTTCAATTTAATTTCATGATTAATTTAATAATAAAAATTTATAAATGATTATATAACTAAAACTACAAGAAAAAAGACAAAAAAAATACTAAGAAAAAAAAAGAGCGGCAAAGAAAGGGCAAGGATTCAAATTTCAAACCAATCATTTTTTTCTTTGTTTTGTTTGTATTTATAGTTCAAGTATTTTTTTTCGATTAAACTAAGTTTATGAATTACACAATTTATAATTTCCTTTCTATATCTACTACAACTTCATTATCAAAAATAAACTACAAAATTAAATTGAAAATAAACATTTTTTTTCTATTTATTTTTTTTATTGAAAAAGTAAATAAAATAATACTATATATATATATAATATACAACTCACTCAAAAACTTAACAAATTTAACTACAAACTACGTATTGACATTAAAAATTGCAGTAATACTGTATTGGTTATAGCATCCTTTTTTCTAAATTGTATAAAAGTACAGTATTAATTCAATTTTGAAGTTAAGCAAACTAATAACTCAAGACTATACAATTGTCATTGGTTTTATTGATTTTCATTAAACTATTTTTTTTTTAAATGCAAACAATTAAAATATAATCCTGGCTATAATACAATTCATATTTGAGCGTGACTAAAAATTATTTTAATTTGATTACAATTTTTAAAGATACCCAAAAAAAAAACAAATTCAAATTTTCAAGCTGGAGCATTATTTTATTCTACTTAAAACAAATCAACTAAAATATATAAAAAATTATTACGTAAAGAAACCAAAAGCATTAATAACGACACAAATACAAACGATTTAAAAAAAAATTAATAAAACAAAAATAAAAGCCGAAAAAAAATCATATACTTGTATACATATATATATATATATAATTATTATTACATACATACATATTTTTATTTAAATTTATTAATTTCAGGTTCCGGAGAAAATAATGGTAAGGGAATTATATTTAATATAATAATATTAATTAAAAAGTCAAAATTAATACACTTTTCTCTTTTTTCTTTTTGTGGTGCACTCATAAGTATTAAGCCATACCATAACCCAACATACGAGTAAAAAAAATATGTAATTAGCTTTTTTTATTTCATTCCATTTAACATTAAATTAACAATTTAAAACATAAATAATATCGATTCCTAATTTTTTGACATAGCAAAAAAAAAAAATTTTCCCAAAATACGAAATTTTTTCAAAATCACTACAAAATGTCGTTTTAATTGCTACTGATTGTGTTATCAACCAGAATAATATTAAAAATTTCGAATCTATTAATTTCCTAAATTGATATTGACAAAGATATAATTCGTTCCCGAAGAAGAGTATTGTTGGAATTTATTTAAGATTTACAAATAAATATCAGGATACAGATATTTAAAATACATGGTGACTTAGTAAAGAGTACAATATTATACATCATTGGTTAGGGAATCAAAAGTGAGTAAAATTTTTTCAGTTGACATTTTTAAGAACCGTTATTTAGGTAAAAAATAAAAGATTTAGAAGTTTTTCAATGAAACGCATACAAAGCAAGTAGAAATTTCATAAAAATTCGTAAAATCCCTGTATCTCCGAAATAATTTTTGAGTTTTGACAGCTAATTCCAAACAAAATTTTATCCATTTTTGATTCCCTAACCAATGATATATAATATTGTACCTTTTACTGAACCACCCTGTACATACATAGATGATCTACTCTATATGTGAACAGTTTATTATAATAATTATATATATATACACTTCTGACTTCGAAATCGCAATACTATGATATTGATACAAAATTCAGCTTGTAATATTTAATTGCTGAATTGCATAAAAATACCCTATTACTGCAATTTTGAAATCATAGTCTGCATTTCTTTAGATTTCGGCACTCTTAATTTTCTATGCTAATACACAAGATAATACTATAAAACAATTAAAAAAGAAAAAAAACGGAAACAACACAAAACAAAAACATGAAAAAAAACAAGAGGGGAAAAACGAAATATAATATAAAATTACGGATGATATACGCTGACTTCGAAATTGCAATTAACACAAAATTAATACACAATTCAGCTTTTTAATTATAATAGCTGAAATGTATAGTAATATATTATTTTTACAATTTTGAAGCAACGTATGATTTATCTGAATCGGTCTTTATAAAAATTATATCGAGTAAAAACTAGGGATTGAAAATTATAGGTATTCTTAACTCAAAAAAAAAAAAGATTTCGTAATAGAAAAAATAATTAAATTATGTAGTTTTTTTAAAAACTTTTCAATAAATAATATAATATAAACAAGAAAAAAATAAATAAGATAAGGATAATACTAATATTATGAAAGATAAGAATGAATTCATGATTATAGAAAAGAATAAAAAAACTCTGATGAAATCCAAACTATATTAATAATTTTGTATTATTGAACAATTCGGCTTCAAAATTCTACTTGCTGAATTGTGTAATAATGAAATATAATTTACATTTTGAATTTCATGCAGTTATAAATCATATTATATTTTAAATAAAAATAATTTATTCAATATTATATTTTAAATAAAAAGAAAAATCCCACCCATTAATAAAAAAAACTGAATTCCACTATAGAGTAATATTATTTTAAACTCAATTCAGAAGTTTGTTACTACGCTGAATTGAGCAATTCATATTTAAGCTAGATTTAAAAATGATATTACCATAAGGTGGAACTGATGGAATATTTTAAACACATATACTAAATGTTGTCAATGAAAATTCTCTTAAAACCCTTATAAATTAATATTGTCTATATTTATAATATACAGAACACATTAAATTAAATATACTTTGAGCACTTTATATTCTGGATGTCGGAATTAAAGTCTATTTAAAGTATTAAAATAATTGAACAAATTCAATCAGCAATATTATAAGCTGAATAATTCCCATATTTGGGGAAATTAAAATCTTAATTTAGAAAATATTTATTGTATATCGTAAAACTAAGGAAATCTATTGGCTAAATGCAAATTTAAAATCAAACTTGAATTATTTAACAATACAATTATAATGGCACTGTAAAAAAAAAAGTCAAATTGATGTTAGATTTGCATTTTAGCAGTATAGATTCCTCTTTTTAACTATTAACATTAATTACTATATGTACATTAATTATTTTTTTGGAATCAAATTTAAAAATTAATATATAAAAACATAGAAATATTAACAAAATATTTAAAATCAAAAGATAGATATAATATAATAAGTAAGGGAAAAATTTGTAATAAGAAATAATTTTTAATATCCTATAAAATTTATTTAATATTTAAGAAAAATGTTCAAGTGTATAAGCATAAATATGTACGAATGTATAATACAAGATGAATTTCGGAAAATACCAAAAAAAAATTGTGAAGAAATACAACCAAAAATGAAAAAAAAAGAAAACAATAACGGCACTCAAAATTTTAATTAAAAAAAATGTATAAATATTTCGAAAAATAATGATGTTTTTGATAGAACAAAACGAAATAAAAAAATAAAATGGTAGTTCAAATGAATTGTAAATAATAAAAGAAAGAAGAGATGAAATTATATATATGTATGAAAGATTTAACACCAAATAAATAAACAATAATGTACAACAACAACAATATCAAGAATATAAAAAAAACAAAATTATTATTTTTTTGCTTTTTTCTTTTACCTTCAACAGCTGAATAAGACTCTTGAACATCAACAATAGCTGGTGGGCCACCCTCTCCAATATCTTTTAATGGAGTTGAAGGTTTATCAATTAAACCTTCTAAATCTTGTATACTTGGACGTCGAACATCCATTGATGGTCGCCTCTTCTACATTATTATAGTTTAATTTTGAATTTTTAATTTTAATTCAATGTGATATTTAAGAGGAGGGTGAATATTTTTTTTTTTTTGTATTTATAAAAAAAAAGAAAAATTCCCAGCAACCGTATTGTTGATAGACAAAAATCGGCAACAAAAATCAATTAATTATTGATTTCATTTAATAGGAATTTCATTATTGACCGCAGACAATTCGCAATTACATTTAAATAAAGATGAGTGCATATTTTTGTAATTCGAACATGGACAGCGCCACGCCACATATATTTGATTTGGTAGCGATGGTATATATATATATATATATATATATATATATATATATATATATATATATATATATAGATATATAGGTGAAGAAGAGCCACACAATATTTTTTTGTTACCATGTTTTTTTGTTTTTAGTAAATGAAATTTATTTATTTTTTAATTAATTTATTTATTTATTTTAAAGACAATTGTTAATTAATTGTTTTTGATTGTTTTTTTAACACCAATAATAAAATATTAGCAATTGAATTGTCATATATTGGGAGTCATATTTATTTATATAACAGTCAATTTACGTTTCATCACATTGATTTTATTAGTTTATAAAAATTATTTAATATTTATTTAGTTTTTGGTTGTTTGACATATAAAAATTTTTGACAAATTGAGTTTATTTGATTTTGCGATTAAAAGTTTTGTTTCATTTTATTGTTTTTAATTTTTTTTAATTAGTTTAGTACATAAAACACAGTTTTTTTTTATTTTGGTTTTTTTTTTTTTAATTTTTATAATATTTCATTATTTTTGATATTATATAATTGTATATTATCGATAATAATTGAATTAAAAATTTTTTTAATTAATAATTAAATTAACATGCATTTCGAAGACATACAATAATGATGACAAAATTACGATTACAAAAAAACATTTAATAACGGTGATATTTTAATTTTTGTGATGTTTGTGTTTTGTATTTTGTTTTGCAGGCATATATTTTATAATTTTTGACATAATATTGTGACAACAAACGTCGAACATTTTGATCGCCGAGGGAGTATTCGAAGAAAAGAAGAAAAAAAAAGAAAAAAATTTCTTTAATTTATTTATTGCAAAAATTTGAAATTTTTTTTTGTATTCTAATTAAAAACAACACAAAATAAATTATTTAATTAAAAAAAACTATACTAAATTTAGCGCAATTTTTTAATATTTTAAAAAGTATATATAGTTTCATAAGTGAGACTAAAAATACCAAAGAGAAATAATTTTTTTATATAAAGAAATAACATTTAAAAAAAAATAGAAAAATTTGTAAGTTATTTAATTAAAATCAAAATATAAGAATTAAATAAAAAACTCTTCGAAAATTCAAAAAATTCATTTTGTAAATTTCAATTTTTTTTATTAATTACATAAAGGTAATAGGTATAAAAATTAGAAATAATTAAACAATAATATATTATGATGATAAAAAGAGATAAATAGATAGATAGAGAGAAATAATTAATATATATTTAGAAAGTGATATTACAATATAAGAGACGCAATCACATATATAAAAAAATTAAATTTAATAGGCAATAAAATATTAAAACAAAATTATCAAATAAAATGAAAAACTTATAAACTAATTATAATAATTAAAAAAAATGAAGTGCAACACTATATTAATTAATAGATTATTATAAATTTATTATTAATTTCAAAATATTTAAAAAATATTGCATTTTTATAACTTAAAATAAAAATTTGACTTCTGATTTCAAAATTACAGTAATTATATACAAATCAACTTATAAATTGTAATTCCTGAATTGTATAATAATACCCATATTATTGTAATTTTGAAGTCAGGTTATACATATATGTTTTTAATTCTCGATAATGTCATGAATCATTCAGAACTGATTGTCATTTTCTAATGATGTTTTATGAAATTCAATTTATAATAGTGTCATAATATTTACTAAATTGTTAATTAATATATTTTTACAATATAAGCGCAATTTAAATATTAACATTATAACTGTATTAAAAAAAATTAAACTGTCCCGCTCACTGCGTCTTCTCTGCCTTTTTTCTGCACTTTATAAATAAAATTATTAACAAAAAAAAATGATTCTAATGACAAATATCGATTTATAAAATTTATTGTTTTTAGTAAAATACAGGATGAAAATAATTAAATTTTTTTATCTACTATTATTAATAAATTAATATTATTGTCAATAATTCAATAAATATATATCAATAGATATATACAATTTACATACTATGTATAATATGTCGAAGTTGTAATTAATATTGCATTATCACACAATTCAGCAATATTAAGGTAATTGTTGAACTTTGCAATAGTATAAATTAAATGTTCCAAAAATATCGTAATGCTTTACGGTTTTTCTTTTTTAAATCATCCTGTATTTTTTAGAAATTGCATAAAAAATATAAGAAGTTTAATTTATTCAATTTAAATATTATTTGAAGCTGTAATAATTTTATTAAAGCATTTTTTGATTAGAATTTTAAATTTAAAATTTGTTAATACACAAAAAATATTGTCTTTAATTATAGAAGAATATATTAGAAATAATTATGTATAATAAGCATTAAGAAACTTTAATATTTATTTGATTAATATAAAAAAAAATATTAATTTAATTAAAAATCAGCTAAATATCTATAAAATTTTTAAAGCTATATATAGGAAGAGAATTTTATGTCTATTAAATAATTAAAATATAATACCAAAAATATATAATATATTTATATAAATGAGTATAAAATTTATAATATATATATGAAATAATATAACGTAAATATATATAATATAATTATATACAATATAATTTCAAAAAGAAAAAAATAAGACGAGTATAATTGATTGATTTATCTCAATAATGTACCAATAATGTTTTAAAACCAAACAAAAAATATCAAATATTTTTTGTATAACTTAACATTTCAAATAAGGCTTGCCAGCGTATACTTAATATGTAAATTAAAAATAAAACAAAAATCCATATATATGATATGAGAAGAAAAGTCAGATACAGTAAAGAATAAAGAGAAAAATACAAAAAAAAAACCTAAAGAAAAGAGGGGAGCAAAAGAGAAAATGACAAAAACAAAAGTATGCAGGAACGTAAAAAACCGAATAGAAAGAGAACCAAAGGCCAAAAAAAAAAATGAAACTAACATAAAATTAAGAAAATAATAATTTAATAATCCGTTACTTCAGAATTGCAGTAATATCGTCTTCAGCAAATGTAGTTCATAAATTGAATTTTGTATTAATATCGTCAGCTCTGTTATGAATTCCTCTCGTATGTATCACAATTTTTCGGAGTGTCAATATCAGTATTTTATTTTAATTGTCAAATTAAAATTTATATGTTTATATGTTTTTCTTGCTATTTGAGTACAAAACTTTCGTAAGAAAGAATATTTTTTAAAAACGGAGTTTTGCAGTTTTTTTTTGAAAAGTGGAGAAAATTTTTTTAGCAAATATGAATTCATTTCGTTCCATTTTAGCTGTTTTGAAAGAACTCAAATTCAAATAGATTTGAAACCTTCATATTATATATTTAATATAATATAATATTATATTAAATATATTAATATGAATATATTATATTAAATATATTAATAAAAATTTGAAAACTTGAAAATTTATAACAACCACTCTCTTTGACTTGCTTGTTACGTGTGAGTATTTCTTTCGTAGACTATTGACCTTTATTTTTACTACGAACGTAATTTATAATTACTATATTACGAATATTCGTAGTAGAATATTTGTAATTGGGAATTGAGAATATGAAATTCGTAATTTTCCGAATTTTGGATCTACGAACGAAATTTATACTAGGGCTACGTATTACAGCAATTTTGAACAACGGATATTTTAAAGCATGTAAATAAAACAAAAAAAAGTAAAATAAGTAATGAGTTGTTTACATATTACGTAACGCATTTTTTTATTGGTAACAAAGTTTAATTATTTTTATGTTATACATCTTATAATATATTGTGAATACCTTTCAAAGGAAATATACATGTTTGACTTCTGATTTCAAAAACGCGTTGCAACATTCGGGTTTAATACGAAATTTTTTAATAGAGATGTAATTAATTATAACAAATTTTTATTATATTGTATATATTTATGTGAATGGTATATATTATATTTTTTATAATAATTAAATTTTTATTTTTTATTGAAATTTTTTTTATTAAATTTTTTTCCAGTTGCATATTTAATTTGGACTAATTTTCATATATTTGTATGTTGTTTTAATTTTCTTATATGTTTTATTTTTTTGTGAATATGCGCGATGGTATATTGTCATTTCATACCTTATTTTATAATTGAAAAATAGACCGTTACTTCAAAATTACAGCAATACAGTGTTCATACACAATTCAGATTATTCTTATTACTGTATTGTAAAGTAATGCAGTATTACTGCAATTCTGAAGTCACATTTTTAAAAATCGAATGATCGAACCATGACAAAAATATGTAATATTTATTTCGTATATTAGTGTTATGTTTTGTATTATGTAAGTGTGTGTTTATTTTTATATTTTGGAAATAAATTTTTTTATCACTATATAATTATAATTTAATATATATATATTTATTCGTAAATGCGTTGATATAATATTAAAAAAAAAATAATGTTATTTTAAAATAATTTAATTATTTTTATATAATTATATTATATTATATCAAAATATTAAAAAAAATAATTTAAATGAATTATTTTTGTGATCTTATTTACACGAAATGTATATCATACACTACAAAAACTAATATATTTAATTAAAACTAAAAAATTTTACAAAAAAACTAACTGCACATCTAAAAGTATATAAACTTAAGTAATAAAATTTAAATATTTTAAAACTAAATAATTGTGTACTATATTTACTATATATTGTATAACGTGTAATCTATTTATATATAGACATACACATTTAAAATTGTCAAGTATACATATTATATAAAGTTTATACTACTAAAAAGTAATAAATGCAAAATATATTACAATGTATTGTTTATTACACATGCGACTTCAAAATTAGAATAATACTGTGTAATTCCACAATTCAGCAATTACAAATTGTAAGCTGAATTATATATAAATGCACTGCATTAATGTTATTTTGAAATCATGGTATATATGTATAATACCTTTTATAAGATTGTGTACATACAGCGAAAAAATAATAAGTACTACTAATAATTATACAATGACTACTTCATACGAACTTATAGAAAAAAGATAAAAATCACTACCACATAGTAAAATAAAAATACTAAATAAGTATACATTCAATGTGGAGGGCTAAGAAATTAATCAGTGGCAGCGGTATCGTATATGTCACTCTCCAATTGAGATTGAGTTGTAATTATGTATTGAAATCACAATATTATTAATTATATACTTATCAAATCATATGATAAGTCTAAGAGAAAATGCGGGATTATAACCACTTCAATTTTTGTTTTTAGATATATATGTACTCAATCTATTTTTTATTCTTTTTAATTTATCTTAAAACTGTTATAACTATATAATAGTTGTTTATCTACAACTTTCATATACTATATAATAGTTATTTATCTAAAACCGTTATACACTGATTATTGGATTTCTCAGCTCTCCATAATATCTATAAGAAAAGAATTTTATTACAACTGTATTGTTTTAAAAATTTATGATTTATATAATGAAGAGAAAAAAAAATAATAAATAAATATGAATAGTTTATAGAAAATATAAAAATTTAAAAAAAAAAAAGAAAATATTTTAAAGCCAACTTAAATAAGTACAACATACATATATATATATATATATAATATAAAATAAAAAAATATGAGAAAAAAAATTGGAACTTCTAAAAAAAATCTAAAACAAAAAGAAAATCTAAAAAAGGAAAACTAATAATAATTTTTCTAAAAAAAAGAAAAAATTTAAATAATTAGAATATTTACATAGATCCGAATTTAAAAATACTACTAAAGGCTGTTTCCAAACATATCGCACTAGTATGTACTGCACTCTAGAAACTTCACCGCTTCATTTCTGCACTATTTCACACAATTTAATATTTTCTGAAGCAAAATTTATGACACTTAAGAAGAATTTTATATAGTAAGAGAATTAATACCATAATGCAATATACTACTATCTCTTTTGCTTCTGAATTTTATTTTCTAACATTTAAATTTTGTTTTAAATTAAGTGCGATGAGCGACAAGTGTTAGAATTTTAAAACCCTAGATTTTTGAACAAATAATTAAGTATATAAGACTGTTCGATGAACTCTAGAAATACCCTATTCAGAATTTTCGAAAAACAAAAAAAAAAATATCGGAGCGATAGATTCGGAAACGGCTTAAACTATTCAAAAAAAAAAAAAGGACATCAAAAATCAAAATAAAACAAAAAGGAAAAAATTATTCTTTTTGCAAGAAGAAAGACCTGTTTTGCGGGATCCAGTTCGCCGGGACGTGGTCCTTTTTTCTATTTTCATTACAAATATGTAATATTTTTTTGTATGTATTTGTAAATATGTAATTAAATAAAATAAAAAATAAAATATTTTTTTTTATATATAAAAATAAATTTTTTAAATAAAATTTTTTAAATAAGGATTAAAAAAAAATTTTTTTGTTTTAAAAAATATTTTATGTAAATTATAAAAAATAAAGAAAAATAAATTTTTTTGAAACAAAAGTTCCATATAATCTGAATTTAAAAAAAAATTTTTTTTGGATTTTGATTTTTTGAGCAAAGAGAAACAAAACGTAAAGGATAATCTATGTAAAATTGGTTTCGCCTATAATTATGCAATATTTTTATTGTTCATAATAATTTTGTTATACCTTGCACACTTAACACTATACAAGTAAGTATATGTACTAATACAATTGTTATATTATTTCAACTAATAAAATAATTAAAATATCCCCTAAAAAATAACCAAACTATGTTATAGCTAAAATATAATTTATAAAAAAAAAACAATGTTTTGCGCTTTAAGTTTTCTTTTAAAATAAATGTTTATATAACTTATAAATATTGTATTTAAAATAATTTTTTAACTTTAATTATATGAATTTTTTCGTTGGGTATATTAAGAATATTATATTGTATTTAATATAACAATGATTCTCTGCGACTTTCCATCTAAATTGCACTGGTTTATGTGTCACTTATTTCAAATTATAGAAATATACAATTTTAGCAATTAATAATTATTAACTATTTCATAAACAGAATTGTATGTTATATTTTTTAAAAATTTTGAAATTTAATGTATGTTTTTAAATAACTCAACTTAAACTTAATTATGTATAATACTATCATTGCAATTTAGACTTTAGGACTAAATTTCTTTTGTTTTATTACCAATACAAAAAAAAAATTTATATATATATAAATATATATACACATAAATACTTATATATATATATATTATAACAAAATATCATTTGTTAAATTATTTTATTTGCATTATTTAAATATTTCGTATATATATATATATATTAAAAAAAATTAATCTTATTTTATAAAAAAATTTCATAGGAGAAAAATTCAGATATATTATATATGTCATTAATAATTTATAAATATAATTATATTCACATATACATATATTAAATATAATTAAAATAATATTCGGATGCGAAACTGTATGTAATATTTTATTAAAGAATATAAAACAGCTAATAAGAATTAAAATAATTTTTTAAGTATCAATTTATTAAAGCATTTTTCAATTATATTCCGAATATAACTTATAAGAATATATTTATATATGAATATATAAATAAACAAATTATGTAGAAATTATTCATAAATAAAAATAATTAAGTATACATAAAAGTAGTTAAAAAAAATATAAAAAATTAAAGGCAAATTTTCAAATTTAAAATTCTAAATATACCAATATAAAACAAAAAATCAAAAAAAAAAGAAAAAAGAAAATCAGGAAATCGTCGAACGTAAGGAAGAGTCGAGCAAAAAAGCAAAACCCATACACGAACCTTATTAAAAAAAAAAGGAATCAAATGAATAATAAATAAAACACAATGCATTATTTGGAATGCAGAGTTTCTATATCGATTTCAAAAAAAAATTCACGATAACTTCAAAAATTTCGAATATACGTCAAACCCTGATTTCCTTATATTACGTTTTCTGTTTTCTTTTTTTTATAATATTAGAAAAGAATTAAATGAAATTAAAAAAAAAAAAACAAATCTCAAAAAATAAAAAGAAAGTAAAAACGAAATCAACTAAATAATTAATTAATTTTTTTGTTTCTTTCGCAAATTTCAATTCACAATAAATATAATCTGCGAAAATATTTTTCAGCTGAGATTGAAACTCTCACCTGTCCATCTGGTAATTCACCTGGTCTCAACAACTGTAATTTTTCATTTTTTATATATATTTTTTTGGTAATGAAAGAATAAAATAAGAAAAAATAATAATAAATAAGAAAAAATTATATAAAATTTTCCTTAAAACAAAAAATATATATTTTTTGATTCTGTGTTCAAAAAAAAAAAAACAAATTTATATTTTGTAATTTGTAGTTTTTTGCTTTAGTTTATAGTAAAAATGATTCTGAAGAGGAAGAAATAAAAAAAAAGATATCCACAGCTTTTAATATTATGTTTATAATATTAAAATTGTTTTTAATATTTTAAATATAAAAGATACGTAAATATTTATATATAAATTATGTATATATATACATATAAATAAATTAACATATAAATAGAATAAAAATAAATAACAAAAAGCATTGATTACTATGACGAGATAGAAGAGAGAATCAATTGAAATTTTTAACAGAAATGAGCAAGTAATAGCAATTTTCCTGTTAAAATCCCTGTATCAAAGCAACCTTTGAGATTTGACACCCAGTTTCAAACCCATTATTTGTAATTCCTTATTTGTAATGCCTTATGAAGTGATGAAAAAGTACTCATTTAATGAAAAATCTTGTATATAATTTTTAATAATTTGTATATAATTTTACAATATATTTAAATTTGTTTCCCTTATAGGTGCATTGAAAACTGGTTTGAATTTATTAAAAATATTGAAATTTTTCTGAAACTCAGTTAATTCTCATCTTCATCTCTTCTCATCTTCAAATTCAATTTAAAAATTCGTTAAAATATAATTAACTTGAATTTTTAAATTACTTTTTATAAAGTATGTTTTAATTCTTATACTTAAAATTAAAGACCAAAAAAAAATTTTCAAATGAAATATAGCGTTTAAGATGATCACAATTTAAAAACAAAAGAAAAAAACTAATCTTAATACTAGAATTAAAAAATTTACCAAAAAACTTAAAAACACAAAAAAAAATTTTTTATCAAAAAAATAAGTAACTACAAATAAATACGACTACAATTCTACAAATTACCAAAATTAATCAGAATTACTAAATACTATTAAAAATTCTACTACTACTTAAAAAAAAACATAATTGTAAATTTTTAATTGAAATTTACTACTTTTCTACAATCACAAATGCAAATTTAATTTTTTTTAGTTTTTCATTATTTTTTTTTAGTTTTTCATTTATTTTAAGATCCAGGCGCAAAATATTATTTATACTTTATATTTTTTAATTTACAATATGTTTTATTTATTTATATTTAATTTTTTAATATTTATATTTTTTCTTAAAGTATTATTTTAAATTAAAATACTAATTAAATTGTGATTTTCCATATTGTTTAAATTCGAAATTCCCTTCTTTCCCCTATATTTTTCAGTCTCCCTCTCTCCATTTCTTCAGTCTCTTATTTGAAAATTTATACTTTGAATTTATAGCAAACTAAAAGAATCGTCTCCAACATTAAATCTAAATCTAACATATATGTATTATTAAAGTTTTGTACGATCATGGAATCGAAATGTGCACTTTATCCGTCAAACTATGGAAACCTCATGCGTCAAATTACGAAATCTTTTCATTTATTGTTATGCTTTCTATGTTTGGGATGCAAATTCATTTTTATTATGCCCGATATGCTTTTTTGCCTGTGGTCTGCAATTTTTCATTCAGATTGATTTGGAATGGAATTATTATAATGAGAAATTTAATTTCGGAATATTTGTGCACTCGATTGTATTTGAATTTGTTGAGGGAGGCCCCGGTGATGTACACAATATTACTTTCAACACAAAAAAAAAAGTATTTTAATTTTTTTTTTTATTATTATGCGAAAATATTAGGTGATTATTTTATTTATTAATTTATAATTTAATTTATGTAAATCAATTTATATTAAATTTAAAATATTTTTTATAACATTTAGCATTTATTTTTTTTCTTTTATTTCGAATTCACTTAAAATAAAAAATGTACTGTATAATGTAAGCCCTAAAAAAACTTATTAAATTATTTAACATTCGAGAACTTTGTTTCTTGCAAATATTGAAATTTAAAATTATAAAGCGCAAAAATATAATTATATATTCATATTCTTATTATAATTTCTATTTCATAATGAATTTTATTTTATATATACACAGGATGTTTCCCATGAAGTGGCAAATAGTTTCAGGGATGATTCTTTGATCAATTTCCAGCAAAAAATTATATGTGGATGGGGGAAAGGTACCAGATTTTTCCTGCATATAGGTAAATGCTTTTAACTTCAGAATCGTGCGACATAAAGTAACCGTCTGTGGCTTGTTTTACACGCGACTAATTGCTCTTTATTTTCGGACTAACAATCATTTGATTTGAGCCATAGTTTTCGAGATAAAGCTCGTCAAACCCTGAATTTTTGTTTTTCTTTTTTAATTTTTTTTTTTTTAAAACTCGAAATTTCTAAAAAAAAATGGTGTTATTTTTTTTTTTATTTCTTTTTCGATGCACTACAATAAGAGCTTTAAACTATAAATTTAACCTATATAACATTTTTCTCCATCTCTTATAGTTTTGTCTGTAAAACGTATTTAAATGTGTTGAAAATATTTGCCACCTTATGCAAGACACATACGAGTACTAAAAATCAAAAATTCTGCCTACAACCTTGAACGAGATTTGAAAATCTTATTTTAGATATATTAAATGTACAACTAAAAAATTTTTTTTGATATTCCCTAAAACACTCCCTCCGTCTAAAAAAAACATTCAAAAACAAAGATTCTCTAAATATATAACTTCAAATTTACAATAATATCATAGTTATTAATAATCAATTCAGCGATTACAGTTTATCAGCTGAATTGTGGATTAAAAAATTTAATATAATTTTGAACTTAAGCAGAATTAATATGTAATTCAGCTTATGTAAATTACAATTGCTGAATTATAATATAAATAAGCTTCGCGGTTGTAATTTCAAAAAAATTGTGTATAAATTCAAGTATATTATTGAAGCTTTTGAAGTTACGTAGAAGCTATTCCGTTTTGGTTTATTTTTTATACTAAAAATACTAATATTATATATGATAGTTAGAATATTTTTGCATTTGTTTTTAAAATTATTTTTCCTTATTTATTTTTATTTATATATCAAAAATATTTTTTTCGGATTTTGAACACATATATTTTTGTTTAACAAAAAAAAAAATAAAAACCATAATTTTTTTCATAAAAATTTTAATTTCAAATTTTAATTTTTTCGACAAATAAAACTTTCTGAATAAATTTAATAGTTTTTTTTGTTCTTTTTTAATTTAATAAATTAATTTGCAATATATTGTATTTAAAATATGAATTTTGTTTTTCTCATACAATTTCCTTATTTTATACTCTTATTATTTTTTTCTTTAAGTTTTTAACCATTAATTTTAATGTTTAATTGAAGAACTATTTGAAATTTTTAATTTTATAAAATTTAATTACAAAATTTTTTTTTGTTAAACTTTTTTTTAAATAAAAGTTAAAAGAATATTTTTTTTTTCTTTTATATAATTTAAATAGAATATCGAGAAATTTTAAATCCATAGTTAATTTTTTATAATTTAAAATATTAAATTTAATAAAATTAATTTTTAAATTTTAAAACTAAAATTTTAGCAATAAAAAAAATATTTACACATTAAGAAATAGAACAGGAAAAAAATTTATTATTCCCGTGTTGAATAAATTGCACAGAAAAAAAATTTAATTAGTTATTGAGAACTAAAAAAAAATTATAATAAAGTTTTTTTATTGCGCGACGAAAATACCCAAAAAAAAAATTAAAAAATTTAATTAAAATTATTTTTAATAAATAACCGAATAAAAGGCAACGTATAAATGATGAATTCAGGCTACTCAATAATAAAATAATAATAAAATATTAAAAAAAAACAAAACAAAATCTTTTTTAAATAAAAATTTTTAAAATAATATTTTTAAATTATGTAAAAATTCTATGCTCTTTGTTTTTGTTTTGTTTTCTTGTAATTTATCGTAATTAAATGTCTCATACATAATATTTAAACAAGCGAAAAGATTAAAAAAAAATACGTACGTGTATATATAAAATAAAATTATAAAATTGGAGGGGGAATTTTTAAATAATAATAAAAATTTATGCCTTTTACAAAACAACAATTCCACTTAAAATACATATTATATGTAGATACAGTGTGATACGAAAATAATAGGTTAATACTGTAAAAGTATTTCTCCTTTTTTCACTCAGTCACTTATGCTCTCTCAACCACTCACTCACTGATCATCGAGTAAAAAAAAAAGAAAATCTATTCGTGTATCAAACTAGTCTGGTTTCTGCTGTACACCCTAACTTAAAAAATTGCAGTAATACGGTATTAATACACACAATTTGTGAATTTAAAAAAAACAAAAGGGAACTGGAATTTATAATCGAATTTTATTTTCACTCGGAATTAAAATTCTAGTTATTCACTTACTCTCTTCTCACTTGGCGACTAAGAAAGCAAGATATACAAGTCAGAAAGTTATATTTGCACATACACCAATGTAATTTTTACATGATGAAAAAATGAATACAAAATTCAATCATTATTCAAATTACTTTTCCTGTTTTTAAAATTAACAGTAACAAATATGGTGCTAAAATACAATTCAGCATATAAGTTGTATATGCTAAATTGTGCATTAATAACCGTATGCAATTTTGAAGTCAGGGGTCTACTATGATTATGAATTATAGTTACTGAATTAAATATTATAGTACCATATCATCAAAATTATGAACAGAGTACGTATGAAATTCGAAGATTTTTCGTATTTATTTAAATGCATTGTATTGGCACCATTTCATTTAAACGAAAATTTTTATTGTAAATTCACAATTGTATATTAAAAAAATAAAATATATGTACCTAAACTAAACCGCACCTAATAAAAATATGAAAATTAAAGAAAATTATTATTAAATTTTTATTACATATGCATAAAAAATTTTTATATAA